TTAGTCTGCCAGGGCTGAGTAAAATAATTCCTGAGTAAAAAACCATTTTTCTACGCGTTCCTACGGCCAGAATTGTGCACTTTTTATTCGAATAACGAATAAAAAATAATTTATTCGAATAATTTTTTTATATTCGACCAAATCAAAGATGATGTTTATTTAAAAAAAAAAATATTTCCTATACCTCCAATGTTAAAAAAAAATGTACGTATGAGATTGTCGGTACAAATAAGTACCACATAAAAAATACTGTTGTGACCTACGGTACTTTCTAGTACCATCACTATTATATTTAAAAAACTAATGAATATTTTTTAACTATTCAAATTTATTATAGTTTAGAATATGTATTTAAACGAATTTATTAAAAAAAAATTTGGTGACATTTGGTTTTTTCTTTGTTTTATAAGTTTAAAGTTTTGACGATTTTAATGTTATATTTACGTGTTAATTCAATGGGGGGAAATATGGTTTTATAGGAACTACTCAACCCTATCCTTAAACCTAATATCGCTTTAATAGTGGTTTAGATGTCTGGTCAAATTTTAAGTATAAAATATTTTGAAATTTCAAATAATACAAGTTAATATTCTTAAGTGTTAGAAATTAGGTTTTATGTACACTAAAACTACATATTGTAGTTTGAGCATTACTATAATTAATTTAATTAATCGATTTGTGTACGTTGAAAAAAACAAAACTGTTTACCAAAGCCGAGGGTGACAGTTTGCAGTAATAGCTTGCAGCTATTGTCTCGGCTGGGTTTTGGCCGTCGCGTCGTTAATCGAAATTATCCGTTGTTCGCCGCTTGACGATGAAACTGTTGTTGGTCTTATTGGCGGCTTACGACGCTGCGGCTATGCTCCGACAGGCCTTCCCTCCGTCGTCCGCCGACCGCAACGGATACCGTACTTTAGCCAATTGCGCCATCAGACTGTTGGCCACTGCACCCGATTCCGGGCGTAGGCCCTGGCCGGCGGCGTTCATCGCCGCAAGCCGTGCGATCGACGACGATTTCCGGTCTACGCTTTTGCGGTCCGCTTACCGACATCACAGACCGGTAGTTTCGCTGCACCGTTTCCACACGCAGTTGTTCGAGGTGAACGGGCTACACCTGTTGGTTCTGCCCGACGTCTATTTGATAGCGGCGCGAAACATCTCGGATCTGGTCGAGCACTTGGACACAATCAACGTCACCAGCATTTCGTGGCAGCCCACCGATACCATATTCATGACGCTGTTGATCGAGAGACCGGAAAATCTGTTTGCTAACACGCTTGGAACAGTGTTCCGGCGGATGTGGCGCGCCAACATTCTCAAGTCGGTATTGCTTGTTCCTAGCGCGGAGGCCAACGACTCGCGAGTGGACGTGCTGGCCTGGTTTCCGTTACAGATGGGTTGCGGTAAGTATCACCCGCCCAAGCTGGTAAACGAGTGTCGACGAGTACAGTATGACCGAGTGGACAGAGACGACGACGACAACGTCGACGTAGAAATACTACACAACGGTGACGCGGCCAAAACGTTTGAAGACCGCATACCGGTCACGTTCTTAAATAAAAGCTGCACGGTTAAGCTGGCGGGGTTTCACTGGCCGCCACTGGTGGTTTTATCACCGAAAACCCAAGCGCCCAGAGCGATGGTGTCCGGTATGGATGTCAAGCTGATGTATCTGTTGAGCCGCGTCGGCAAAGTAGATTTAAAGTTCAGGGAAGTCGACGTGAACCATCGGTGGGGTATGAAGTTGGCGAACGGCTCGTGGAACGGTGGCTTGGGCGCGATCAGTAAGCGCGAGGCCGACACAGTAATAGGCGGTGCCCTCTTGACCATCGAGCGTTTGTCCATGTTTTCGGCGGTGCCAACGTTGCAGATGCTCCGATTTCGTTTCTACGCGCCGCTGCCCATGAGACTTCCGTACTGGCAGAGCATGTTGAACGTTTTCTCGCCTAGTTTTTGGGTCACCTTGTTGGCCGTCTACTGTATCACTTCCACGCTGTTCTGGCTGTCCGACGCTTTCGTGATGTCCGAGAAACTCGCGGTCGCCGACCCCGGCCGCAGTCTCGTCGACGCTTGGGCAATACTGTGCAGCGTGCCCGCCAGCCGCCGTCGGTCCGTTTCCAGGTCGTCGAACACGATATTCCTTGCGTGGGTCGTGTACATGATGCACATTAGCGCCGTGTACTCGTCTATGCAGTTGATTTTGCTGTACAAGCCCATGTACGGACAGCCTTTGCAGACCATCGGCGACATCATCCGGTCCGGGCTGACCATTACCTCGGTGCCGGCGTATCAGCCGATCGGGCAACCGATGATCGAGGAGAACTTCAACTTGACCGCTTACGTTACGTACACGGACATGCAGAAAGCCGTGCAAAGGCTGCAGCAACAAAGGGACATTGTTATCCTGGACCCGGAGGAACACTTCGAATTGATGATGGCCAACAGTCATCAATCGCTGGACGACATCAAAACGGTGGAAGCGCCGCTCATAGTGTACGCCGTGGGCGTCTACACCCAGAAGGGCAGCCCGTTCCAGCGGATAATACGCAAAGCCGTGTCAATCGCTTACGAATCGGGCCTGTATAAGAAATGGCTGAACGACGAGATGTTGTCCGCGCGGACGGCCAAGAGGGCAAAAACGAACATCACGGCCAAAATGCTGACCGTCGACGAACTGCAAGGCGCGTTCATGATACTGTTGTGCGGCGCCGGTTTTGGTTTCATCGCGTTTGTTTGGGAACGTTTCAAAGCCAGATAAATAATATCAATGACAATTATTGCATGATTATAATAATAACGACGCAACACCTTATATCTCATTTTTGTCGGTTTTACAGGAGAGCAAAAAATTAAAGTTCACTATTGCCACCACGAACTAAGATACTATAACTAATATACCAAGTCTTAATAGTCGTTCCCCCCCCCCCGAAAATTTAAATAAAACAGTGTGGCCAACTTGATTTGGCAAAACAATGAGGTATGAGATGTTGCATGTAAGCGACGATTTATTAGTTTTAAAGTTTGATACGTTATACGCTATAGCTTAGTTTAACAGAAGATTGTATTATGTACATAAAATTTGAATTTATACTAACGTATTAACTGTTTTCATATCATTTACATATTTTTACACATCCTTATTTTCAGCAAAACTGTTTATTTCTTCAAACTTCAATTCATCCGGAAATTTTTAATAAAAAAGATTTAACAGTTTGACTGCATAATATTACTTTAGTAAATTTAGTATAATTTACTGTCAGTGCCTTACGGGTAATTTGGGGCATATGGATAAAATAATATAGGTACATTAGAATATATTATATTATTTAACCAATGCTCAGTGTTGGCCCGTTTGACGGTAGTCCACAGACTATAAGAAAACTATTCATATATTCTGTGGTACTTCTTAGTATTTTTATAATTATATGAAACAAAGGTCTTTGTTGTATTTTTATATTTATTATGTCTTGGACAATACCTGTAGTGCATTTAATTAAAATAACTGTCTGTTATAAAACTCAGGTTACTCAATGTTTGTGTCTCGAACATTTTATATTTTACCACTTCAAAACAGTGAAAAGTCCAAATCAATGAGTTAGGTATAATTTTCGGGAATTTTCCGATATGCTTTCTTGCCTTTGTCGTTCTTTTTCCAACGTGTAACTTCTTTTGCGTTCCAGCCGAACCCTTTCTTTCCACGTCTTCAACGTCCGTTTGAGCGTGTCCAGCAAATCCTTGCTCACCGCCACATGCGGTGTTTGAGCCACATGTGCAACGTTGTACTCACACGTGACCACAGCCCGCCTAAGCGCGTTCAACTGGGCATCTGTAATATCGGGTGCCTCCTTCGTGTCGTCGTACCGTCCACACTCTTCGACCAACGCGTGCTGCAAGGCCAACTGTATCGTTTGACTGCTTGACGGGACACAACAACCTTCGTCGGCCACAGCCAACGTATTAGCCACAACGTTCATCAGCAACGTCTGCGGTGTCAACCGCGGTCTGGACACGCAGGCAAGGGCCGATATCAGCTTTTCGGTAAGCGTGTCCGACTTGTTCAAGTCTTTGTTCGTCTTACGAGTGTTCATCGTGGCAATGCCTAGCGGTGTTGATGTGGCTGTGTTGATGGTATTTGTCAGACAAAGAAACTCTGACGCAGATACCAATATATAGGTTTAAATCAAAATTCGAAAATACTACATATTTTTTAACCATACATTGGTCTGTAAGCTTTTTTTTAAAATATAAACACCATAGCAATTAGTATTACTTTATTGTACAGCTGATGGTTTCGACGAAAAAACAATATACATAATTTGTCACAATTGCAAACATGATAGCGTAGAATAATTTCAAAGAGTCTCTAATACTAGTTAATAAACTATCAGCTTTGAAAATATTGTGTATTTTAAGAAAAGCCAATCGTAAAGTGCGTTTGTATCATTTATATTATGATACTTAGTAGGATAAAACTTTTGTTTTTTCAGTGTATATAATATAATCATACTATCATATATTATTATAAACGTAAAGCCATTTTAGTAATAAATAATTATTTTACCTACAGGAAAAGAAACGTAGAGTGATTAGATTTTAACATTTGGCCATTTTTAACATAATAACCAAAAACAAATGTTAAAAAGTGTAATATTTCAACACTTAAAGGGTGCAGGGGAAAAACCAGGAAAGTCACTTTTTAAAAATGACAATTTTGTTGTTATAAAATTCGTTTTGATACAAAACGAATGTGTTCTTTATTTTTAAGCTTTTCAAAAAGTCTTAAGTATTTTTTTAACATTTTAAAACATATTTTAGCGTTACTTAAACATGTTTTTGTTTGATTAGAAAAAAGTGACTTTCCTGGTTTTTCCCTGTACCCTTCACTTATTATGACACTAAAAATGTTTAAAAATCGACAATCAGCAGCTTGTAGACATACCCTTTCACACATAGTTTGGCGAATAGTTATTTGTGGTATAATAAATTACAAATTGACAATATTGTGTTATTTAATCAGTTTATTGTATCTCAAACTATAGTACAAATATATAGATTTTTGTTTTGTGCTTATGGCATTGTAATATGTAAATACTCTAATGTTGAGTTTCAGACATTTATATATATATATATATATTAAAATTAAGAAATATATGACTTAATAAATTATCAGAACATGAGCAAAAATTTGGATTGAAAATCTCTTAAGGTACAATACATATCAATAATATTGTATTTACTAAATGTTTGAATATTACATTCACTTAATTCCACTAAACAAGAGTGATATGGGGAGGGATATTTTCAACTAAATTTTTCATAGGGCTACAGCAACCCCTCCTACTTCTTCGGCAGACTACTGTAGACACTAAATAACTACACTATATTGTCGATACCTTTTCCCGACCAATTTTATAATTACACTTTTATACATTTCACAAATTTTCACCCTTAAACTAAACAATTGTCTGAATTTTAAACTAGAATTTTATTTTTTTAAGGACTGTAAATAAAGGCCTATACTCTTTTGAACGCGTGACGATTGCATATAGTCCATGATAAATTCAAGGTCTTCGTTTTTGTTATCAAGTAACCACTGGACGGTCGGTCGACGGATCATTTCTTTGGTGCTTCGGAACGCCCATTCTATAAAAAATAAAAATCCAAATTAGAGAAAAGAAACCCATCAACAAAAATAGATCATCATAGTTAACATTGTACTGTTGTCCCTCACGTGATATATTTTTAAATCTATTCAAGAAATCCACTCCTTTGGCGAGGGCACTATCGCGGTCGGGCGCACTGTCGTCGATCAGACCTATTTTCAACGCTTCTTGGGCGGTGTACATTTTACCAGTGGCCAAAGAAATCTCTGTATTCCTTTGGCCGATCACCGCGATCATGGTATCCATAAACCTTAAGAAAAATAGAAAATCGTATGTGTATGATATTAATTAGAAAAAATCTGCATGTTTTTGGTTTTGACGTCACACAGCTGTTGCCTTGTGTACAATGTATGAAATGTGACCATAAGTGCAACCACATGAGCCTATGGGATTGTAAACGGGGTCGCAATTTATAGCAGCTGTTTGTGAGTGCACAATTATTATTACCATTTCGGAGCAACGATTCCAAGCTGCGTTTCGTTGAGTCCAATAGTGTATTTGGGTTCGACCATCACCCTGTAGTCGCAACTCATAGCCAACAGGCAACCTCCCGCTGGACTGTGACCCTATGCAAACAATTTAGGTATTTAATTTATAAAATATGACTTTCTCTAAACGAAGACACCAAAAAATGATACAAAGCAGCAAACGTCTTAGAAGTATTTAAGTTTTGTATAATATTTATGGAAATATTGTACATTTTATATAATACTTAACATTTTGTAAAACATGTTTTTAAGACTTTAAATTTCTGATCAAAAAAGTACGTAAAACAGGTTTCTATATCAATTGAAAAATTACTTTCATTATGAACTTTGATCACAGTCGCGAGGACCCTTAAAACATCACCGAAGCCAAGTATTTTTTAACAATGATATTCAGTCTCTAATATCGTATTGATCCGAACCAAATAATGTTTTTATTTATATAAGTCAAACAATTTATGTAAAATTTCTATTTTAAAACAAAAAATTCTGTTGACGATTTTGGTGCAATGGTGTATTTTGTTGTCTCAATTTGTTTTTCATACGAGATCAAATAATAAATATAATAACAAATTTAGATTTAGAAAATTAAAAAATACGAATTCATATACATAGAACATTCAATATTTTAATTATTTAATAAGAACCCCCTCTTACTCCCCTCCTCCCTCTCAGTAATGGGTAAGTATAATTAATAGCAAAATTAATCCGCGTGAAAATGTTTTGATTGGAAAAAAATAATTGTAATTTATCCTATAGAAATGACTATGATAGTCTGACAAAAATAAATGGCAATCAACAATGTATCCACATCACTGTATTAATAAGTATACATTATGGTTCAAACTCTAAATTAAGATTTTTTCGAAAATTTTCCAATCTTTACTTCTGCAGTAAGCAGAGATCACTACGTGGAGTTGAAGACCAAGATAATATATATAAACACTTTTAAACTTAAAAGACTTTTAAAACTGTAGTTTATAATAAAACACACATGAACAATTTAATATATATAATTATACTATTTACTGACACAGCATTACTGACTATGATCTAGCATAAGTAACTGACGATTGTGGCTAATTAAAAGACGATTTATATAGTAATGTGTAAATTAGTGAATGACGTTAACACAAAAAACTAAGAAGGCTTAATAACAAATACAAAGGTAGCTAGACGTGTTTAAGTCCTATGATGTCATTTAGTTAATCACGTCATCCTGCACACTATTATATATCTACAAAATAATAATATATATATATATATATATATATATATAAACTAATATAATATAATATAATACGTTAACATAAATTAATCGACACTAGTTGGCGTCAATACCTAATCTGTAATTATAACAGTTATATTCCGTAGGTAAAAAAAAAGTACCGGGCTGATATACACAAGAATGCTACCTGTGTGGGCCACGGCGTATACCGTTTATCGGTATTACTACAAAAAAAAAAAAGGTGTAGGTTATGCATTGTAATAAATTGAAATGCGAATGTTTTAAATTAAAATTTTATTTCATGATAATGATCCAATGCACTGATCGGTTTTCGTCTGAACTCGGAGGAATTAATCAAACGTAATGCGCGTTACGAAATTGCTTTTAAAATTTTAATAGCAAATAAAAAAAGGCCGTGAAAAATGTATACTAATTTACACATCTTTAGAGGACGTCATACCCGTTCAAAATAATCGTAAAAAAGTGTACACTCATCAGAGTATAACACTTATAACTTACTAACTTATAACCAAGTAACTTGCAAAATCTATAAAACGTTAGACTTCAGATGTAAATTGTATCCATATATTTTTTGCCGTGCTAAAATTCGTGCTGGTCCTAAACTGAATAATCAATATTAATATGTATGTTTGTTTGTTTAACAAATTAAAAACGACGATTAGTAGTATTTTTATGGTCGACTAATCAAGGTAGTTTACGCTTAAAGGCATAACCGCTCAACAACAACGTTGAAATATAATAAATGAAAATGTTAAAAATTATAATATGCCGCGTATTTTTTTTTTTAAACACATCCCATTAACGCTAGCCGAATAAATAATTATAGTAATTTTTATGAAACGTTCTAAGAATATAATTTACTTATTTTTATTTTGCTTTTAGATTCCCGGTAGTTGTTAGTGCCCTTAAACTTAAATTATAATGGTAAAGTGCGTTTAATAAAATCACTCTACATAATAGCTATTGTCCGAGAGATGGAATGTAATATTTTAATGTTTTTTTTTTTAATCTTTCTTTTCCTCTTTCTTCTTTTCTTTCACCTTCATCTCAACTATTTGGTGCCGGCCACCCTTGTCCTAAACAGTAGACTTTTACTTTAGACTTCACATACACAAGCAGTCTTCATATCAATTACAATCGCACCTATTTTTTTTTTTTTAATTTTGATTGGAGTAAGTTAGTAAAACTTATCGAATCTAGTATTTTTTACAACGATTAATTAATAATCATCTGATTTAATTAAGTAACAACAATCAATCGAGTTAATTTCGCTATACTAAAGGCGTTAAAACAAAAATAATAATTACATTTATAACAGCTGCCGTCGGAAAAGGTGTTAAATAAAGTTCTATCCACGTTTCTTGTAAGGTTGACCAGAATTTTGCTAACCTTGTAGGATCGGGTTCGTGAAACTCTTTCAAATCCAAACCGGCAGAAAATACATTTTTCAAACCCTAAAAAAAATTACACTACGGTCACATTATTTACATAAAATCAACTGAGAAGATCAAACATGCAAAGTATCTACAATATTTTGACAATAATTTTACATATGACTATATGGACCATGATTGATAAGTTAAGTTCAAAGTAAATAAATAATTAGCATAAATTAGCTACTATCTATGTTATATCTACAATTTTAATAAGCAATTTAACATTTTCGAAATTCATATGACAAATTTTAATGCATAGAGCTTTCTTAACACTTAATTTAAAATTCGTATACCCATTATTACCTTAAGAATGGTGTTTTTTTATAATCATTTGACTGTGATTTAAATTACCTTATCTATCAATAGATAGTAAAATTATTCTATTCAAATAATTAATCCCTAAAATTTCAGATCTCTAGCATTACTCTAAGTACTCTGTGAATTTGTATTATGTTTGCATCGAAAAAACATCGAATATTAAAAATTAAAATTAATCATAGTAAACATTTTATTTTGAAAAATATCTGAAATGTTTTCTATTTATATACTATAAAAGATATAGGTATATACGACACTTCAAAATCACTCTCTTGATATTTTATAATTAAAATAATAAAATGTGTTTTTATCAAAATAAAATTATTAAACAGAAACTAAAAAAACTAATAACTCGCCAAAAAATTGTTTATCACAAAATCAAAAAAAATGATTTTCAAGTGCCATATTTTAGCTTTAAAAATCTTTTTTCAAATTAAAAAAAAAAGGTAATTTTAGAGATTTAATTTTTTGAATAGGCTAATATCGATTAAAAGCCGTAGGAAAAATAAAAATAAACAATTACAAATATATTGTTTTTTTTAAATATGAAAAATATGCGTAGCGCTTTAATTGTATGTATAAATTGATAAAAATTGACTTCTATCTCTCTAAAAGTGATTTTAAGTAAATACATCTAAGAGCATGCGGTTCTGCTGAATTGCGTTTTAAACAATTTTTCTTTTTGTTATTTATCATTAGATTTTCTAATATAGATAGTAGACGCTATTTTTTTTAACACGACACACAAAACGAAAACACATCACTAAAAAAAAACAAAATGAATTACATACCGAAGTTAATATCATTCCTCGGACGTTTTCATTTTTGAGTTTTTTTATTTGATCACGTAGACTTTCTAAAAATTCCAAGTTCAGAGTATTCACAGGAAGTTTGTTGAGAGTCACCGTGGCTATGCCTAAAACGATAAAAAATATTGTTAATAATTACCATAATACAGGGTGATCAATTTAACGTATGTAAAACACTGTTTCTTTAAAAATAATTGCAGTTTTGTAACTTTTCTTTTTGAAAATATTTTTGTTTGTGTTATTTTAAAATATTAGACTGAATTCAAATTTTTACATTTTGTAATTATTTCCTTAAGCTCTATCAACTTATAAACTCAAACGGTATAACGTATAAATTTAATAAACTTTTTAAATTAAGAATACAATTTTTGTTGAAAAATGTTTAACTGGACGATACTTTTAAAGTTATCAAAGTTTTAAGTTTAGGACGGGACAAGGGGGGTGTATAGTATAATTTTTATCTGCTCTATTTTTCAACCGCAAATTTAATAACACTTATAGTAATTACACAAAACTGGTTATCGACCAGTCGAAAATGTCATTAAATCATTATTAATTTAAAAGTTAAACAAATATATAAGTTACAGTTTAGGTTTTAAAAGTTAATAGATCTCTAGAAAAAAATAAAAAAGGTTGAAAATTTAAACATTGCCTAATATTGTAGACAAACATAAGCAAAAATTTTTTCAAAAAGAAAAACTACAAAACTGCAATGACTCAAAATGAGTGTCATACAATAAATTTATCACCTTGTAAATAAATGACAATAACAATAATTTACCGGTTTTTTCATCAACGACCGTCAAAAACATTTATATTGAGTACTATATACGTCTACGTTATGCATATAATCGACGTGTTTGTGATAACTGCAGCTAGAATAAAGTACTTACTATATATATATATATATTACAATGCACGGTACATCGCTGTACAAATACCCCTCTTAAATGTTAGTCGATGCCGCTTGAACCGAAATGATGGTATATCTATATTTTATACAATTTTATAATTGAAGATTTGTGTCAAATATTTAAGTATTACCTATTATAATTATTTGTTGTTTTACTGACGACCTAAAGATATTTATGTCTATAAAAGATTATGTGACGATTGTATTAAAATACAACCTGATTTAAATAAACATAACGAATGGTACACAATGTTAATGGTTAAGATATAAACATACTGATTATAATGTTAAATACCTAGGTGTTTGGTTATCCAGTGACTTAACTTTTTCAGAACATAATATTACACAAATGTAAAAAAATATTAACATATTGACGTTACAAAATGTATAGTTCTATTATTCTATATTATGGTTAGGTCAATTTTTGAATATGCTTTTATTTTATGGTCTACTTAAATGAAATCAACAAAAAATCCAGAAACGGTTCCTAATCTTTATACATTTTAAAGAAAATCAAGCCAATTCAACACTTCTAGAAGGAATTTAAATGATATACTTGGGATGTATACATTTCTAAATAATATGACATATTATACTGTCCTGAGGTATTAAGTTTATTTCTATTTAATGTACCAAATTGTAATTGATGATCCCATACACAATTTTATATATCAACATAAAGAAAACGCGTAGTTTTTTCATTAATAAATGTATAAATAAATATAGATATTAATAGAACACTTAATTAACTATAGTCTGTACTTTGTAACTTTAATACTTAAAGGTTGTCCTGATATAAGAGTCATGAAATTATAATTATTTTTATTCAAAAATAATAAACACGTTTAAAATTCTAATAACAAAACGGTCGTCCGTTAAGTAGATTTATGACCATGTTTGATTGTGAATTTATTTATAATTATAATACGCACATTCATACATATTTACAATGTACAGTAAGTACTAAGTTCATGATAATACATTTTATTTGCACCTAAATGTTTTTAATAATGCAAAATCATAAGAAATACTGTAAATTTAATTGCTGCATTTTTTATTTTAATGACTCGTTAAGAAAACTAGGTTTGATAAAAAAAAACTCGATTAATATGTATAATAATGAACATCATATGTTATACGAGCGATAGGTATTTTGATATGGAAATAATTAAATATATAGTAAATTCGTGTACCAGACGAGATATAATCAAGGTTATCACAATTAAAAAGAAACCCAATTATATTTTCTACGAGTACGTTGGCACAAAAAGGAGAAATATAAAACTTTTTTTGTTTTACAAGTTTTATCGGTTTCACAATTATGAGTTTTTTTTGGTCAATACCTAAACCAACTTTACTTTTAAGTTTAAAATAAACATCATGGTTCTAATAATGACTCAAAATTTTATAAATTTCATTATATTTTTTTACTATATCAATGTCAATGTTTCAAACAATTTTTCTGACACATCATAATCAATATTATGAAAAAAAAAACTCTTAAATTACAATTGTTCAGTGATTATGCATGTGTTATGTCTGTGGCCTTTGTAGACTTGGTAACACAAAAGGTTGAAGATGGAAATGGTTTATTTTAAAGAAAAGAATACTTGCAATAATAAAAAATAAGGTGAGATATGTATTTTACACGTTTAAAGTTAACACACAAACAGTAAATAAGTGTCGTCTTTCAGGTGAGTTGAGCATCAAGCAGATAGATCACTTCTGAATTCGCATGGCAAATCGGCTGGTATTTACGCACAATTGTCATCCGGGTAGATGGAAGGAGTCGATGTCGTCCCCGCATTGATTGACCTTTTGGCGGTGTGCAATCTTCAATCTATGTGGAATCTGGGTTTATGGCGATTTCGCTATTTGGCAAGCTGTCCACTACAATTCGCGGAACATTGTCGGATACATATAATTTATACAACATTTAATGTGTTTTTGCACATTTTCGCAATCTCCAGTTGTGACATAGCATACGGTTTTTACAATTGTATAAAATAAATTGAATTGTTATTCATCATTTATAGTGTTGTTAACTTTTAGTTAAATATAAAGTAGAAAGGAACCCATTTAGGTTGTACATAATATATTATTAACAGTCAGGGTGAAATCGACTTAAGTATTATAATATTGGTTAATCTTAGCTGATTTTTAGCAGCCATAACACATGGAATGACCCTTAAGATCAAATATTGTATTATATTATATAGGAGTTTACAATCTCCGTTTATTATAAGTATTCACCACGTGCGTTCTTCATAGAATTACCATAGAATTATTATTATAATATATTTTATTTAATCACTCATACCTACAAATTATACATTTTAATACATTTTTATAAAGACAGTTTTTTAGAACCATTACATTTATATTTATAAATATATTATTCCAAAAGTGTCGACTATCCTCAAAAAATTATTACAACAACATTGTGTAATGACCGTTTTGTCGAGAATGGGTACTAAATCTGTAATAATTATTCGACGACAAAAGTTGTGCAAAGCTTCAATAACACTTCCAGACCCAATATATTTTTATCAATACAGCATTTTATAATAATATAGTATACAATACTATTATTTCATTATACCATTCATAGCATAATTGTTTATATCGAATATTTTATTTTTAAGGTATTTGCATTTAGTATTGAATACATTTAAATAAGTACTTATAGTATTTTTTCAAACCTCTTATATAATATAACTTGTATTTCAAAATTCCAAACGGTTAAAAGTAGAAATCAACTTTTTTTTGTGACAAACTATGTTTATTTTGTTTAGGAAGATGTTCTTACTTCTTGCATATTTTCACGATGGTACAGAAAGCAAATATATTAACTTATATGTGTAATGTGCTGATAATGTTTAGATTGATGCTTACCAAAAAAAAAAATTGCATTATCGTAGATACCAAACTTACAAAAGCTGCCTACTGATAAGAGAAAACATTTTATTTAACAGAAAACAGTTTTGACATTAAAACATCGCCAAAATGGTTTCGAGAAAAAACCAATTCTAATTCTTTGAATGCCATAATTTAAATGCCAGCTGCAGCACAAACGAAGTTCTTCCATTTAGGACCAGTTTATTTGGAAGAATTATATTATTCTAAAATGTTTAATATAGTAAAACGAAATTTGATTTTTCGTTGGTTAGGCTGTCTTTATACTATCGTTTCAATGACACGATCGTTCAAATTTTCATGTGAAAAAGTAAAATCAGGTGATAAGGGGTGATTGATAAGAGATACGGATAACAACCGTATAAAAGTCACTGCCAGTGCGTTTTTTTACCATCTGTAAAATTGATTGACAATAATAAATATTATATAATAAGCATTCTGTTTAATTTATCCAAATTTTTTTCTTAATTTTTATGAATTTTAAATTTAGAGTCTAATTATTAAAGCGAAAGTCCTACTCGTATATGTTTAACATAATGGACAGTTATTGTTAAGACTCTTGTTGGCTATAACAAAACTGGTAGTTTTCATACAAATTTTAGCTGCAATCGCACTAGGCCACTAATTTAGTAGAGTGGGTAATTGATTTATTAACTACTAAACGTTTAGTAGCTGAAAAGAGTTCAGACAGATTATTTTAGTAAATTAGTAGTAGATGTGCTGTGCAGTGTGCTGTGGTACTGGAAGAATGTATTTTAATATGAAAAATCTCCAAAAAAATTAAATAAAGGAATACAATTTATTGCAACTGCTATTTTAGAAGAGGTGGAGCTTTTTGAATATGAACTTAATGAAAAGGCATAGCGAATATGGACCAGAAAATGGGTCCAGAGAAGGGATTCATTGGGAGCTACAAATGATATTATTAGAGAACTGGAACTTGAAGACCACGAAACATTTTCGCAATGCTGAGAATGACTGGAAGTTGTTTTAATTTTCTGTTAAAAAAAAATGCAACCACAAATTCAACTAATACACTTGACCAAAGAAACGCGTTCGGACCTATTTTGGTGGCCTATTTAGTTATTAGACAAAAGAGCGGAGAACTTTTCTAAACTACTCGACTAAACTGGTTTGTTCATACACGATTATTTATCAAAATACCCGCCACCCGACTAAATTACTGGCCTAGTGTGTGACTACTACAACTAGATGGCGCGGCCGTACACCCACCACAATAATAAGTTGCCATGGTTTGTTACTTTTCGATATTATCTCTGTTACTTACTTTTCTATATTTTTTTGTTTGACGACATTAATTTGGCAAATTAATTTTACAAATATATACACCTAACTCGAAATCAACTATTTACTTTCAACAGACACTTCGGCTTCTGCGATGACTGTGGCTGCAACTGCTTTACAGTGTCCGATTGAATGACAGTGCCGCAACTCGTGAACGGTTTAGCGGGTTGTTCCACGCTTGCGGCACCTGTCGTGGCAGGTCTATCATGGATGAAGTAATCGTCAACCGGAAATTTAGGCGTATGGGCTAGACGACGTTTCCGGTTGACGGAAGTGGACGTCTTCGACATGCCGGCGTCCGTAACACCGTGGGATCTCGGCAGTATCTAACAATAAGAGTATATGATTCAGGATACCTATGTAATTATTATTTTTACTATGAGGTGTATATGCTTAAGGGTAACGGAGAGTGCTATTTATGAATGGGCGAAGGATAAGAAATAATTGACAAATATTGATTTAGTAGCCATTTTTAATATGCCGAATAATTTTAATGGAAAAATATATATTTTGTGCCAGACCACCGAGGACTCAATTAGCTTACTACGTTGAAAAAAAAATTGAATATATATGTTAAGTTATCTAAAGACAAAAACATAACTAAACGTAATAGGTATAAGACTAAACTCACCGATGGTAATTTTGAGTTGAGCGATGATCGTTTCAATGGAACGATGCCTGCAAATTTACCCATTTTTAATTATTTAAGCATACTGAGATAAACATAAGATATAATATATAATATACTACATATGTTGTATTTTTTGTAATTCGAAGACATTGTTCTTTGCAGATAACTACAAAAAAGTCAGCGAATGTTTTAAACTAATTTAATAAATACAGATGGATACAAAAATAATATGCAGCAGCGAATCACGATGATAAGTCAAAAATATAAGAAATAACCGTATGTGTAAGTGTACAATAAACTTTTATGAACAGATTAAACGACAGTTGTTTACAAAAAATAGACACGTGTATTGATATATTTATATATATTATAAATACTTACTTTAATGAGACCATTTATTAAAAACTAGTAATATAGGTATGAATAGTATACGATTATTGAAAGTTCATATTATACTTTCTAAACGTTTATATTATATTATTCAGAGAAGGATAGTAAAATCAAGACAACATTTGTTTTGTTATATGTATATCACGGTAAGGCATAAGCTCAAATAGGGAGCATTATAATTTACTCTAGCTTCTGTGAAAATGTGAAATCTTAAGAAAACGCAAGACATAAGTAGTTTAAAACACACAGTTTTATAGCCGGATGAAGAAGACTTAAAAGTATTTAAAGTTGGTACTTTTGCTTACTTATTATATAAAAAATCTTGATCAATATGATAAAAAAAAAAAATGTATTTATAGTTTAAAATAAAATCTGTGTCTTTATTATGTCAACATAAAATAAGGTCACTTGTTATTTATGAATTATTGCAATTTTACTGCAACTAAATTTACTTTTATTTTGTCATGTAGTAATCATGTCCAGACTGTAATTTGTTCGTCTTGTCAGATCCGCACCGATTGCATATATCATACTATTAGTTTGTAAATAATATTAAAAGTTTTTATTTTAGTTACAACACTCTGTAGATGAATATCAATATCTTATCTAACGGTAGAAAGGGGTGTATTATATTATCACATTCGGTAGGATATTTAAAACAACGACCAGAAAGTTGGAAGACTTATCATCTTATCAAAATTTATCATCGGGCCACACGAAGACGGTACAAATAATAATATACACATATCATAATTCATATTAGAGTATAACAATATTTAATTAATTCCAATTTAATTATACATTGGACACAGTTTTAAAAAGTATAGAAACGCGTTTTTTGCTGCATAAAGAACTTTTTCTAAAATTGGAATGTTTTGACCCTCGTGGGTTCAAAGATATAAGCAAAAACGGTGTCCCATCAAATGCACCTACTGCAATATACCTATCAACTATTAACTTCTGTAGATGAAGGTGAACTTAAAGAAGAACTTGTATCTATTGCCACATCTTGGCCATTAATATGTAAAACAGATTTGCACAATGCTTTTAAAGATGAGATTAAGGAATAAGGTCCACATCCTCACAGGAAAATTTAGAATGTTTATTTTTAATAACGCGATATTTTAAATCAAGTCGACGGGAATCACACACTTGATAAGATGTGTTCTACAAGCCAAGAACTAAATCGATTACTTAAATCAATTTTACAACATTTTTTCGTTAAATATCAAAAGAGATGTCCTTAACTTCTTCTTCATGTAATATATTATTAAAAAGATATTTAAAAAAATATATATACTATTTTGTAATTATAAAAACATACTTGTAATTTTATTAAAAGGTTCGAGTTTACATTCTTTTTATTTATTTTTAGTACAGAAAAGCTAAACCAGTTAAGATTTTTAACCGGTAATTTAAAAACAGAGCAGCCAGTACGAGCCTGATCGGGTAATTTGGGTTTAAAGGTCTAGTTCAGAACAAAAAAAAATGTTTTGTTTTTAAATAATAGTGTACACGTTTTATTTTAATATTTTAACAATAATTACTATAAAAATGAACATTGTCACAACCGCAATAAGTCTGCCAAGGAGTATAAACGTTTTTAAACCAGATGGCATGCTATTATTTGGTTTGTAAAAATTAACTACACCATAAGCGCAAATAATCTTCTTCGGTGAAGTGGATGTACACATATAAAACTGGTCGTCTTGAAGAGTACCATTTGGTACAATTAATAATTGAGACGTATAACTACTTGTCGTCAAAACATAATTAGACCTGAAAGTTATTACTTATTTATTAATACTTTTTCAATCAAATGACTAAAGCGATTAGAATTCTAAGAATGTCACTATGTCATTGATCGGTGTTAATTATTTTTTATTTTTTTTCAAAATATGTACATTATGTTATTGCTTTTTACAAATACTGTCATTATATTATACCAAAATATCATGTAAAACGTGTTTTTTATTGATTTACATACATAAATTACACTATTAGTATTTATTCAGAAAATACAACAGTAATAATTATATAGTTATTGTAGTAAATGTATTATTATTTTTATAGTGGCTTTTATGTTTAAAATATGATGGGATTAATTAAATGGCTAATTAAATAGAAGAAGTCTGAGAAAGTTAAAAAAAATATTGAGGCAGAAGAACAAAACAATTCGTTAACTCTCTATTATTTGGTTTTTTACTATACACTATTTTAATTTTAAACAATTTTTTAATCATAAGTATAGTAACGTTTTTTGCCTAACATAATAATTAGAGATCTATAATTTTAGCCCCTCCCAAAAATATAACTAATTAATGAATATAATATTTTGGATGCAAGCCTCTCGTGCTACAAATAGGATTAGTTAGACCAAAAAAAAATAATTCCATGGAAGTTATCTAGATTCGTGGGGTTTAGTCTGCTCTACAAAATGCCCCTTCAACATATACTTACTCGCAAGGGCTTATTTTTTGTACATCGAGATTTTTAATACTGATCCACGTAATATCAACATTTTCATGTTCGAGTTGATTATTAACAATGCAATTCAATTTAGTTACGTCTTCCACGTTAGTTCTTATCTCATCATATTTAATATCTTCAAAAAATATATATTTATGTTATTATAATTTGTAGCTATTATAATACAAATAATGAAAGCAAATGTTTAGTCAGACTGAACAAGTACCTACCCGATAAATCATAAGATAACATATTGTATTCTCTAGCGGAATTTACGATAAAATCGTTAATATTCAAAATTTCTTTGTCCACTTTCAAAAATTCAAGAACTCCTCGAAGCTAGAATAGTTCCATTTAAATATTCTTAATACAATTATGCACTTTAGAATTCACTACTTACGTCTCGACTTCCAGTATAAAAATATTCATGACATATATCATTTGGAATGTCGCCGGGTGTTTCTATCGTTTGTGTTTCTCCGTTAACGTTAAAGTACCAAACGTTCATTTTTTGTCCGAGTTCCAAATGAATCCAAGAAGAATCGATTTCCTCGTACTTGATCAACGTCTCGTAGGAATAGTCTTCCACCGAAACTTTGAGTTTGAAATAATTGTTTACAACCGATACACATATATAATCTGCAGACGAGCTGTTCATGGTGATTACATCGCCATAAACCATACGCTGAAATCTTAAATAGAGCTCCAGCTAAAAGAAAATACAAGTGTTTAGGTAAAACCGAGAATCAGACTGAGACCACAAGTTTTGCTTAAGTCTTATTTCTAAAACTAACTTTCCACGCGTTTAAAACTCGGGGACAAGGTATTTTGATGGTTTGTGATAAATCAACGTAAGAAATCTCTTCTATTGGTTCAAAAACAGTGTTCCAAGCCGCATAAGGTAAGATCATATTATCTGTAAACTACATTTAAGTGTAATTAAATCAACTATACAAGAAAATACTCATTCTATAATATTGTAAGTAGCCCATGCAAAACAAAACTTTTTTTTAGAAATATTGTTTCCATTTTTATATTTATATAGATAATTAAATATTTTTTATGAGTATTGTAAATTGTAAATTATTAGCAGTCGTTATCAATTATGACGTTATTAGAAAATCCATCTTTCCTTTGAAAGAAAGACATTGGATTCTAAGCTAAGAGACAGATTATCAGTTGATCATAAGAAGATGTCCATGATTCAATGTGTTTCCTCCAAGGGAATGATAAATTTACTTTTTTTAGATTCTTTTCAATTGCTTTTTTTTAAATTTATACCACTATCGATACTATTGTCTAGATGACACGACCCAGCTATAAGGCATATTCATGTTAAAAAGGTGTTATAGATAAGAGAGAGGCCGGATATGACCGGTTCTAAATCCGGTCCACACTGTTTATAACTTTGTAGACGAATAACTATTTCGATAATTTATTATCGATTATTCAAGATGTTCCAAACTGATCTACGGAATATTTATTATTGTATTTAAATTTTCAATTGTTCATCTTTGAACATTTTAAAAATATTTGAATATATTTTGATATGTTTGTACTTGAAAAGTATTATCTGTTATTTAAGAAAAGGCGTAGACAGTTAAACTTAAAACTCACTTCATTGTTTATTGTTATTGCGTATGGTACAAAATTAACGTAAAGCTTCTCTATGTAACCTTCAAATCCTTCTCCGACGTTCATCACTTGATTTAAATTAACCGACGTAGAAATACATTTTAAATTTGACGAAATTTGTATTGTATTTGCGTGTAGTGTTATTTGTGTTTTTGTAATCATAAAGTACACTTCGTTCCAACCGATCTACATGATTTTAAAACAACTAAATTAAGTTAACGTTAAATTATTTAATATATTCGTATGAGTAGATTAGTAAGTATAAAAAAATTGTAAACATAAAGTAACTATTGTCTAAAATATGGCCATGCACATTATAGGATAAAAAGCAGTATTTTAATAAATCATTATTTTGTTTTTAATTCAATCCCCTCTTTTAATTTTTTAGCGTTAAACTGGCCTTGCTTGTTGTTATTGGCATAAGGTTACCTATGGATTATGCTTTTCTTCGGAAAAATGCAGCAAAATTCACTTAACATAAATATTGATTTCGATATTAAACTTAATAGTCCTAACATTCATTCTTGACGTAGTGCTCAGTGATGTATTGCAACCGTTTAAAACTGCACTCAACGATAATTTGTAATCTACTAATTTCAGTTCTACATTATCACACTTATCGCAGTTGTCGTGGAATCTGCGTATTATTGTACCAAAACCATCAAGTGGATAAAACCGCACAAATACATGAAGTAAAGAAGTTTCTGGGCCTGTAGATGAGTATTTTAGAAGAGCTTCTTTGTCAAACGTTGTTACCATAAGTGACGGCCCTGTAAATTCATTATTTTGTTTTCATTGGAATGATTTGCACGTATAAAAAGAAAAAAGAGAAATAGAAAGGTGAAACAAGTAAGACAAATTACAACAGAACGCTTTAGAGGCTAAAGTACAGCCAAAATAGTTTTTTTATTTAACTGGCCGACTTCATTTGTATGATATAAGGACAGGAAGACAATACAATAATTAAAAAAAAACTGTACGTGAGATACGTTAATAGACTGTACCAAAACCGTATAAAATATTATTATGAGATATTATAAAAGCTGTATTTTATTAGTTTGAAAAATAGGTATATAGATGTACATTCATCGTGTTTCATCGGTAATTTTTCAATCGCTGTTTACCACTCAGGCCAGGTAGTTTAATACTTTAGTTGAATATTTAAATTTTTTTACCTTTACACGGTGTCAAATAACAACTGGCTATTTCCATGGGATTTCCAACACAATCGATGCCGTCTCCATTGGGTTCTGGTCGAGTACAGCTTCTCGTTCTGTACCTAGTACCTTTACCGCATTCTACAGAACAGTGACTCCACCTTTGCCACTCGGACCATCCTCCGTTAACTGTACACATTTCACAGATTACAGCGTCTTATTTATTATATTGGCCAACTGTCGCCAATCGTTTTTTACCATCTGGCTTGTAGCATTTATCAATTTCCGTATGCGGTCCAAAGCACGACGACCCATTATTGGTACTGGCTAGTCGACAAAACCTTTTCCGAATCACAATACCGTTGCCCTGGCCAACGTTACATTGCGACCACTCAGACCACTTACACCAAAGTCCGTCTAACGTAGGTAATCGGTGTGCAATTTTGACAAGATCTAACAATGCACCTATTAGCGTTGTATTCATAAAATATAATACCAGTTTTCTTTTGACATTTATTTCCAAAACAATTTTTGTATTCCACGAAACTCCCGGTACAGTTGAGAGACACTCTGGAATTTGTCGGGTTGTCACAGAATCGTAGGCGATACTGAACTCCAGGACCGCAAGAAGCGGTACACTTTGACCACAAACTCCAACCACTCCAACCTCCCTTAACTGATCGAATACCACAATAATTATAGACTGTTTGTTTAACAGGTATCGCGTCAACAAAAATGATTAAACAACTCTCCTTACCGGGACAACCTAAGTTGTGTTTTACACACAGAAGAGCGTTCCAAAACCGATCCTAAATTTATTAGATAGGTATGTAAAGTTTTGTTGAAGTCTCGACGTTCATAATAATGTACTTGCTGTATCGTTTTTAAGCGTTTCCTCCAACAATTCGTATTCACAATAGCCCGTGATGCAATTATCCAACACCGTGCGGTGTCTACTATTTTCCACAGCAGTCTCCAAGTAATTGAACTCCTGTAACTTGAACACATTGCCTTTGACCAATTCAGAGTAATTACTTAGTGTGCACGCGTTTAAATTGCAAGTTTTCCACTCGTATTCAAACCCGCCGTAAGTAACGTTTTCATTTAAAGCATGATTACAATGTCGAGTTGTAATACCCACTTCACCACATCCACCTTTACAGTTCGACCATCTAGAACGATAATTTCACCAAAATAATTACAATACACTGCACCTACTATATACATTGTATCGATAGAACTCTAAATTACTCGTCCCATATAGTGCATTGCATTAATTGTTGTTTATTCCCATCATTGGTTTGAAATATACCGCCTAAAACACATACAATACCTACTATTACTTGCTGTTAGGTAATACTTTTACGTTTGTTAATAATAATTATTGTAACTCATATTTTCGTATTAACACGAACCGAATTTTACTCACATACAATAACAAAAATTGCCAAGCACCAATAGTAAAATATCAGTAATATAAACGGGACAGCCACCATCTTACACTATTTAGTAGGTATCTATATTAATTATGGAGGCACTCTTCAATCATTAAAGTCAGTATGGATTCAGTAATAATCTGTTGAATTTAGCTTTCATTCCTCTAAAACACGATATTGATACATGTATTAAACAGTAAAATATTTTTTAAATAAATAATGCTAATAACCATATATGTAGTTCTATCATAGTTATAATAATTCAATACAAATGGAAAAAACTTTTTAACTATTTATTTAAATGTATATCATTTAGATAATATAAGCAGAAATATTTATAAGTTTATAAGGCTTGCACTCAATTAAAGATTTTAAAGTTAGGGGTTTCGAGTTACGTTAGGTTAGTTTATAAAAATATAAGAATGTAAGATTATAAGGATATGCAATTAGTAGGGGAGAGAATCTTCAATTATTAGATTCTGTATGATTTGTTTTAAGTATTTGGTATCTAAATTAATTTTATTGTAAGATATCCATAGTTACGAAAATACCTAAATATATGACAAAATATCAAATATTTGTGAGATAAATGTAGTATATAGAAGCAATGACGATGAAACGGATATAAATATAATGTAATCTGCATACAATTATTTTTACCTGTGTAATGAGCATCTATAACTCAAATTAAACGATAAACTATTGAATATTCCATTGACTTTTTTACCAAGTTGTTTCAAGAATCACCATATCTTTACTGTTTGTGTGAACAATTAGAATATAAAAAAGTAAAATGTCATTTTAGAAGCAAAATATAAATTTTAGGTATCAAACAGTTTATTTCGAATAACACGGCTAAGAATAGCATTTTATTAATTTAATTTTGTTTTGATAATGATAATAACTATAATTATAATTTAACATTTAGCTGTTACAATTTCATTAAAAAATATTGAAACTAAAAATCTAACTTAACTTTTTTTTTATCATTAAATATTATAAACTGGTACTAGATATTAATTAATTAAATTGTTTTATCGATATGGTTATACATGTAACCATAACGATAACATGAAGTAGTTTTAAACTTATACAAATTGTTGATTTCCCAGAAGGTTTTCCTAATTGAAAGGGTTAGTGGTTAAAGGTATTAACTGACATATTTTGATAAATAATTTTTAGTTTGAACAGTTGTAAAAATAGTTTGCATGAATGGAAGGGTTTTATAGGATATAACTACACAATTTAACAAAATATTATAACAGTTGAATGTGTGCTGAGCTTAAAAATTAATAAAGTTCCAAGGATTTAAATATATATTGGTTAAAATGTTGCCTCCTGAACAGTTTTAAAATTAAATATTAACACCTTTATCCACTCACCCCTTCAGTTATTAGCTACTGGGCAACAACTTTTATGGCAATTTTTTATATTAAAACAAAAACTATACCTACCTTTTTGGTATAATTAAATGTATTAATGTAATTCAGTACTACATTGCAAAAAAAGTTACATACGATTTTAAATAATGAACATACAAAATTAAAAGTTGGTATAATACTGCTTTACTGCAATACTGGTGTCTTTTTGGTTGGTAACAAATTTAATACACTGCACAGTGACAAATCAAAAAAGGAAAACAAATGTAAGGTTGTAATGTTCGTTGCTGCGGTCTCTATAGAATTTTATTTGAAATATTAAGTTGTTTACAGTTAAATGCCGAAAAATGTTTCCATTTCAACTAATACGCAATTTGTTTACACTTAAAGAGTTAAACAACAAAAAAAAAACAGATCAAAAATCTATTCCTACAAAACCCAGCCAAGAGGACATATTTTTACTCGTGTCTTTTTACAGAATTAAAGTCGGCCCATCAGTAGTATATTGTGCAGTAGAAATTGTGTGTGTGGAGTTTTGTCCGAAAAGGCCAAAATATACATACCGCTTTGCCTCGGGCGCAGCCGGAAGTAAAGCGTTTTAGTTTCTGCGCCGGTATATTTTCTTTTTGGGACGACGGCTCAGACGCTACTGACCGAGACACACGCCGACTATTGATTTTTTGAAACAAGGCCACGGCCGCCATGACGGAATTGTGCGATATTATCATTTGTAATTCGCAACTGAACCGAGTGACAACTGGCAAAAGTGTTTTAGATTTCGCGCACTACATGTTATTACTTTTACTATGAATTCGCCTGTTTAGCGTTTACGCTTGAATTTTTCCTAAAATAATCGTTAATAAAAATATATATAGAAGCTTACAATCATTATAAACTCTGAAATTCGCAATCGACACCCGATGTACTGACCGAACAACATTTCGCCGATTCGTCAACCGTCTTTAATAAAAAAATATATAATCCAATTGACTGGCTTAATGATAAGTATCAGCGAGTAAGTCAATTATTATAATTATTCGATCTATTATTAATTAAATGTACTTTAAACTGTTTATTTACAAAATATGTTTATTACGTTACATTTTATTATTTCAGAACTCGACGCAAATACTTAACTACAAAATCATTACAAGAGCAGTTGTTTGAAGAACAAGCTACTTTAAAGAAGCAATTTCTCGTATCAGTCATTCAGTGAGGTCGTGTATTTATATTTTTACAGTATTATTTTATCTGAAATTGTACCTACTTCTTTATTTTTACTTTAACACTAATACACATCTATGTCGTCGTTTTACGTTAATTGTTACAAATGCAACATTGTGGTTGACGAACCTGATATTCCTATTAAGTGCGACGGCTGTAATTTATTAGTTCATAGTATGTGTTCGGGTCTAACCGCGAGTGAAATCAAATGTTTTTCTTTAAACAATCGTCGTTTGAAATACTTTTGTGATGCTTGCAATAACGGTTTACGCGATATTCCCGAATTAAAGCAGTTAATTAATCGCGTGTTAACTGGAGTTAATGAACTTAAAAATCAAGAAAACAAGAATGATGCACCACATAGTTCTGAAGAGGTCATAATTAACGAAGTCTGCCAGCCCAATATAATAGAGTCTAATTCAATAATCGACAACGTTCCAGAGTCCATTTTAGTTGACACGAATGAAATAATTTCACATGACTCTAATCTGGTGAGTATTAAACCATTGAAAATCATACGCTATGAAACACATTATAATTTTCTCTTGTCAAATTGTATCTTGAGTTTGGATCAATTCGGTATAAATAATAAGATTAGTAGAATCAAATAAAATTATATTTACTGGTCATTTTGTTTTTTTACTTTTTCTATGCATGTAAACATGAACATTTTCAGAATGTAGTCGATGAGTTTTTAATTTTTGCCCATAAAAAACTACATGAAATAAATTTGTATTAATGATCAATTTTGAAAAATGAAGGCATGCAAAAATAATTGTTCATGAAGTTACTGGTTTTTAATTGCGGTTTTAAATGTATCATGTTCTAATTCATATTTATTTAAACAAAAAAAAATGTATTTATTATACCTAATTGTTATTTTACAGAACACAATTCAAAATACTTCTCCAGTACACCATGGTAAAGAAATTCAATTGATAACAAAAAAAAATTTCAACTTTGAGAAACGACTAGGTAATACTAATTTAGTTAATGAATCTTCTATTACTGGCTGTTAAGCTAAAAAATATATTGAACTATAATAATCTTATTTTTTTAGTTGAAAAATGCTATCCAACTTTTCTTTTAAGCTTTTGTATAATACCTATGTAACTATAAATATCATCAGGGTTTTATTAAATAATATTGTCTTTTGTCTTACAGCTTTTTGTCATGATAAGTCTGTATTTTCAAAGGCTAATGAAGAGAAAATAGAGACTTTTCACTATCCATCTTTAATAAATGATAGACCGAGTACTGACATCATGGTAATACATAATATTATAGTTATTATTTTATTTTATTTCTATCTGTTAATTACCAAATATTTTTACTACACCTTTTGAAATTAACACATTTTCTTCATGAAGCTATTGTTCCTTCTTTAAAAACTCAGACTAATTATTTACGATTTATGTTTCAATTAAAAAGTTACAATAGTCTAATACACCTATTTGTATTTTATAGAAACAGTGTCCTTCTCCTCCATTATATAGCAGTAAAGGAATGATGTTGATGTTGAAAATGGGCTGGAAGCCTGGGGACAAAATAGGCAAGCCACAATCTGGACCACTGGACCATTTACTACTGGATATCAATTTTGGTAATAATTGTTTTTGATTAGGGCTGAATGATAATCAAGAAAAAAAACCGGCATGTAATAAAGACAATTACATCATAATATCATTCATACTATATTATGTACCCATCGAAAAAGATTATTGAAATGCTAAATGCTTTTATTTTTGAGCTGGGGGTTATTCTCTAATTTGCGTCACGTCTCAAAATATATGAATATAAGAGATACATATGGAGATAAGGATAGGAAAGGGGACGGGAATGGAGATGGGGACGGACCGACACAGACATCAGTGAAACTTCTATAGTGTCATACACTACTTTTACTAGAAGAGAGAGAGGAAGGGGCAGGGAAAATCTTGGTTGGGGAGAAGAATATAGGAGGATATGAAATGGAGGGAAGGAGAATAGATCATAAATCATCCATAGATCATCTATTGTATTGTAATATAAAAATCATGTTAAATAATGCCGAAGTGACGTAAGGCTAAAAACATATCAATGATTCAATGTTTTTCCGTGAAGCGAAGAAATGATCTAGTTACATTTCAGTGAATAATTAATAAACGAAACTTATTGTTACCTACATTAAAGGTACCTAATATAACTAATTTACAATATAATGGATACTATTTCGATTCTTGGATTTTTAGTCTAGATAGTATATGAATTGCTGTTAAATAATATTTTTGGCATTGGCTGCGTTTATTTAAAATGTTTGTAAACATAATATATATGTATTAGGGTTGTCCTTATACTGGATTTTTTGTAAAATTCCACGTTGGACATCTATCAATCGGCTCCGAATATTGAAATTTCCTTATTTTTCAGATTTTTATTGCATTCTCTCAGTCTTATATATTTTCCTATTAATTACTAAAAACTTAATGTGCAAACAAGTAGACTATAAGGGAATTAGGGAACTATTTTTTGAACATTTGGAGTCGAATGACGGCCGTCTAATGCCGTGTTTTATTTAAGAAACACCCTTACATGTGTGTGTGTGTATTCCTATCAAGGAAACCACTAACAATTTAATATCCCTTATCTAAAATATTTGTCTTACAGGTAACATTCAAATACTCTCATCGCCAATATCTGATGAAGAGTTAGGACAGCACATGTATTCTACTATAGCAAACTGTGATGAACGACTAGGACAAAATCAATCAGGTTTTATAGAATCAGCCTATATTGGACCTATATCCGAAGTGAAATTCAATAAAAAAGGTTATACTAACCATAGTCAAAATAAATCTTTATTATTAAAATTGCTTCATGTTCTGTATAATATACAATATATATATATATATATATATATTGTGCATTTATGTTAATGGTTAGAACTGATAAGTACTGATGAAAAAAGAGAAAAAATAAAAGATATTTAAAAATATGCTTAATTCATATTATTACATTTTTTTAGAAAGCTTACTTCATAATATTATGAAACTTTCTGGTAAACAAATTAAATTAATTATTACATTAAAAAAAGGCGCATAAAAGCACACTAAAAAAAAAGTTATTTAATGTTGTTATATTGTATGTTTATGATTAGACTTCGTAAGTGCTGAAACAAAAGAAAACATCGATCACTTGTCAAACAAACCGGAAATAAGAGGTATTTACTTTCAGTTAGTGATATTAAGAAAGGTTACTGAATGCTAAGTGAAATATTTTGGTATTTAAATAGAACTCCTTGCTACATTTACAGTAACGCTCTTCATTTGAAGTAAATTAGTTACTTTTTGGATATTCTAGGTTCTATATTAATTCTGCTCATTTATACTTGAATGTTTCTTGACGCATTTACTTTCTGAAACAGGTTGTTTGACTGTCGTTGGAAGGAGGGAAGACAGCTAACAGCTAATAGTATTAATAAATAATAAATAGAATAATGCATGGTTTTATACATATAATACTAGCAATGTGTGAGATGCTGTAGTATAAACGCTAAAGTTTGTGATTGCAGTATTAGTAGTATCAAATTTAATTCCCGCAATACCTCAAGACAAACGTCTACCATCTATCAAAAAAAAATAAAAGGTTGAAAAAAAACAAAGGTAAAAGAACTTATGTTTGTAATATATTATTTCTTATGTAAAATTATTAAACAATTTATAACCAATAAATTTTTTACCTATACAATAATGCATAGTTTTCTTTATACTATACTATTTAGCAATGTGTGTGATGCAGTAGTATAAAACGTTGAACTTAGTGATAACAGTATTAGTAGTACCTACTAAATATAATTCCCACGATCTCAAATTTTGCCTATTTACCCAAAAATCACATTCATGGAAAATTGGAACATATATATTTATAGTACCCCTTCTCTAAAACATTTTTCTTACAGGTAACCATGAAATACCCTCATCATCAAAAGCTGATGAAGAGTTAAGAAAGCTTAAGTGTCCTACTGCAGTACACTGTAATAAAGGAATGCAATTAATGTTAAAAATGGGTTGGTCACCAGGGGAACGACTAGGCAAAAACCACAACGGATTACTCGAACCTACTTCAGCATTCAAAGTGAAATTGGATAAAATAGGTTAAGCTTAATATAGTCATAATATTTCTTTATGTTTAAAAGTGCTTAATATATGTATTAATGTTAACGTTTAGGACTGATAAGTGCTGATGAAAAAATAAAAGGTATTCATGACATATTACATATAATACTTAAAGTATCATTTTTTTTTACAGAAAAAATATTAAATGTACTTATTCTATATGCTTATGATTAGGACCCATTGGTGCTAATGCAAAAAAAACAAACAAACATCACTTTCCAATGATACCGGAAATAAAAGGTATTTCTATTCTTAATATTATTTTATATTAAGAATATTTACTACTTGAATGCTTAGTAGAACTTATTTAAAGCAAACTTGATTGCTGTTTTATACCTTTTTCTCTTGCGCTAAATGTTCATATATATAAGTATTATGTTCTAGAACCAAAACCATTAGCTGTGCTTGTGTCATTTTGTTTGCAATCTCGTTGGGATCATCCAAAGTTCTTGGAGTTAGATAAGACTGGACCTCCAAAAAATCTAATTTTAATGGCTGTAAGTAAAATAATTAAAACATTTTCACTTTTTGTATTTGAACTGTAATTATGATTTTTTAAATGTTTATTTTAGGTTTCTGTGAATAAAGTTTGGTATTGTTCTTGGAAATTTCAGAAAACAAGAGAATTAGCCAAAGAGGATGCAGCTAAACAGTGTTTGATCGAACTTGGTGTACCAATTTTTAGAAATTACTAACTTGAATTTTCTGATTCAGTTGGTAATTCATTAAATATCTTAATCTTCAATTTTTATCATAGAATTTTAAATAATTTATTAAATGTGAATTATTATTCTACCAGTTGTATAAAATTATTATTATGTCTAATAAAACGGCGTTAAAATGTTCCTTTTTAAACGATAGTAACTGTCAATTTGAACAGCACTTCCGTTATCTAAATAATATTTTAAACATCATTAACACAATCTTAAAAAATAATGTAACTACATTATTACTATTAGTATAGGTAGGTACTATAATTTAGAAAGTATAAAATAAATAATTGTATAAATTTGTGTTTTATACAGAGATTGGAAACGTTACCCATTAGCGCCTAGCGTTGCCATATGGCAACATCCAATTTTTTCTAATTTTTAAGTACACAATTTTCTTTCTTTTTTTTAATTCCATCAATTATTTAAAAAAAAACTCCGGCGTTAATGGGTTAAGCCAACATGTACAATACTATTTACGACAAAAATTAATTATTGTAATAGCTAAACAAATGTTGATATTAATGATTAATAATGAGCATCTTAGCAAAATATTCTAATAGCTTAATTGGGCTTAAACTTGTAAAGAAAAGTAAAAACATTTTTGAACGATATAAGCGTTTTGTTTCCATAAAATGTGTTAGAATTTTTTTTTAGTTCAAACCCGGTTAAACTATTATAGAATATCCTTATTCCTATTGTGATTTATTTATAATAACATTTGTTTCATTTTTATTTCCCCTTATGATTTCATAATAAGCCTTTTTCTTTTAAATCCATCACAGGGCATATCAAAAACATTCTGCGAAGGTTGTTTGATGTTTTTGAGATAGAAAACTGCGATTTGGGTGCAGTACCACGTGAGGTATAACCTATTTTTGTCTAATCTGTGCTTAAATCACAAATTAAATGAAATCGAAAATGTTTTATTTAATCTGTGCTTTAAATTCAAATCGTTACCACAATGTCGGATGTAGGAAGCATAGTAGGGTTGTCACTTGTCAGTTGTGAGCTAATAATCGTTTTTTCCTCCAAGAAAATATGCCAAGAAATATTATTACTGATAAAAAAAAGAAGGATTGTAAATAAGCTAAGGCAGCGTTTCTATATCGTGATACAGTGAACGTGTCCTTGGACGATAGCTAACCTGTATAGTTTAAAAAACCATGTGCAAATTGTGGATTAGTGATAACCGAGAATGTTAGTAAACCGAATACTCATTTGATAGATCGATGTTTCAAACTTAAAAGTAATACCTAATATAATAATTGACGAAATGTCGTCGTTTAAAAAATCGTTTGTACAACCATTTGCTGAAACATGTGAACCTTACAAGGTAGAAAATTCATACTGGAAAAAATTGACTGTGAGTTGTAATATTTTGTTTGAAAACTTATTTACTTTACCAGCCACCCTTATAAAAAAAAAGAGTTGTTGTTTTACGATAATTTGAAATCCAAAATCAGAAATTTGTTGCTAGGTCTGAAATCTATTGCTACATAAACTTGGGCAATGCATATTATTATGTTTCAAATTTAAACACATTTTATAATTAAATTAAAATATATTTTTTAGTTCAATATTCGATCTGAATAATGTGCTAAGAACCAATCTGTACGTTTTATAGGGTTCCATGTTAATAATTTTACAATGATTAAGTACGATAGCAAATGTTTATGAAGTGATGTTATTATTCTTCAAATAGGTTTCGATTTGTTCATTGTCTAGTATTCTGCAAAAAAAACCTAAAACTTAAAAGTAATCAATAGCATGTTATTTGGACCGAAACCTTTAGTTAGTTCTAAAATGAGAACTATAATGTATAACTTAATAAGAACGTAAGAATTCATAAATGGTTATTAAGTAAATCAACCCAGAAAGAGTAAAATTTGTTGCAAACTTGTGTCATTGCGTTGTCTTGTGCACGGTATACTTCCTTACTTGTGCAATGCTAATTACTATATACAGTTAACTATTAAGTTTTGAGCCAGTTGATTCTCCGGATTTGTATTACAAATTGAAAGTAATGTATAAAAACAAATATATTTAGCACTAAAAAATTTCAAAATGGGGGGTACCCAGTAAGGTAAATTTATTCCTGCTTGGTAAATAAATTTGTTGAGAACTTGTTTTTTTTTTAGAGTCCAGTTTTGATCAAAGAATTTGGTCCAATTGATTATGTTCACTTTTCAAAAAAGCTACCCTACCATTTCGCTGTATCCTGTTCAGCTAGAGTAAGTTCAAATTAATATTTATTAAGTTACAAAAATATATTTTGTTTAAATAATATTTTATTTTTAGGTTCAAGTCTATAATCCAGTTACTAAAGTTGTTACAAAAAATCTAAATAAGTTTAAAGAAGCAGCATACGGTGCAACATTTCGCGCAGATGGACAGTTACTATGTGCTGGTGGTGAAGAATCAATTGTACGCTTGTTCGAAGTCAATACTAAATCTATGCTGAGGCAGTTTAAAGGACATAAAGCGTTAGTTATTTCTATCCGAGTATTCATAATTTATTTTTTTATGCACTATAGTCTATATGTTATACAACATACAGATAAGCTAATTTATTGATAACAATTTCAACGGCTAATATACATTTAAGAGGGGTAATAGCAGATAGATTTCTTTTTTTTAATAACTTAACTATTATAAATTCTGATTTGAATACAAAAACAAAACAAAGTTAGGTACACGAGCGACAATTGATAAATATTTATTTTAAAACAGTTATATCAAAAGATATTGGAATTTAATAAAAAGTTGTATAAGAAAAGCAGTTCTACCTGTATGTATATTATAGAGTGGTCCTTACTTTTTTGTTATAGAAAATTAAAGACGACCTCTCCTCCCAAAAAAGCTTCAAATTGTGAAAAAATATTTCTCTAAATTTTTGTATTTAATCATTCTCCGTTTGTCTACTTATTTTAAAGAGAAACTCTTTACCTAAGACTTAGTCTTCGGCAACAAAAAATTACTTTCAAGCTGCACCTTTTGTTATTCCCAAGTTAAACGATGTTGTATTTTAGTAGATTGCAGCTTTGATAGAAGTATTATACCTCAATGTTTGAGAACTTTGTACACCACAACTACTTGGGTCACTCCTTTACTATCTACTAGCTTAAATATACCCAGAAGTCTCTCAGTTCCACAATTTGTTACTACAACTGGTAATTTGTCAACCATTTCTTGTTGATGCATATCATAATAAATTTAACTATCTCAATAAAAACAAGAGTGTTTAATTCCATTACTTCAAAATTTGTATTAATTTCTCGGGTCTTGATTTCTCAATTTTTTTCTATATTTTCAATTGACGAGCTATTGAGTGTCAAAGTTCAGAGTAATTAACATTCAGACTTTCTGCTAAAGCACTGACGATCATGTCTGTCACGTTGCACTTATCAAGAGCAGCAACGACTTTGTAGTTTTCAAAAATATTAATTGTTCCCCGAAATTTTTTCTAAGTTGATAAACTGGTTATCATAATTGTATTGCTTAACCGAAACATTGGAATAGGTGCCAAAACTACCACAACTAAGAAAATCCTACATCATAAATCGTCAGAATGATTCAAAAACTTTTCTTCTTTTTTTGACATTAGACTTTTTTCCTCTAATTTTTTGTAAGTCACAATTTACAATTGTACATCCAAATTTTTTTTAATTAGTTAGCATAGTTGAAATCCCTTCTAGAATGTATTATGTGAAACATTGAGTAGCTTTTGCCACTTAATACATTTCTGAGACTTTTAATTAAAAGTTTATAATTGGGGGAAAAAGGTAACGGGACCGTTACAAAGTTATGAAGACATTTTATAACTAAAAAATTACATTTTTAAGGATGGATTGTGTTATAAAATAATAATGCTTTTGTTTAATTTTGTTAATTTAGAGCGGTCCACCGTACATTTTTTACATATGATGGTGTTCACATTGCAAGCTTCTCAGATGATAAAACTGTATCATTATGGGATATTGCCAGTCAACAAATAAGTGGACATTATGAAGGATATCATAATGTAATAATAATATTTATTATAAAAAAAATAATCTTTATAGTAACTTATGAATTATAATAAACTAACCTCATTGTTATTTTAAGATGGAATATGGATATGTTTTTGGGCTGGATACACAATCAAAATTTGTATTTAATGACATTATTCAGTGGCTGAGTCTAGTGTGTTGAGCACAACTGGTTCAATCTCCAGCCATTAGTCTAAACTTTTTGCATTCTTTTTCGAAGTTATTCTCGAATTATAAACTTAAATGATCTCTTATCATTACTGACAACATTAAATGTGTATTGCGAGTCATTAATTACATGAGGCGCTAGATCAAGGAAATAACAAAAAACATATCCATGGTTCAATGTTCTTCTGTGTAGCGGAGAAATTAGCAGTTTTTTTTTCCAGGATTATATCCGGGCTGGATGTGTTTCTCCAGTTTCTTCAAATATTGTTGTGTCTGGTGGTTATGATAAAAAAATCAACATGTTTGATTCGAGAACGAAGTCTGTAACTTTTTCAGTAAATCACGGGGCACCTATTGAAAGTCTAATGTTCTTACCTTCTGGCAGTTTACTTGTTTCTGCAGGTAATGTACTTGATTTAAAGACCATTGTATTCATATTAATATTGTGTCCATAAAAAAAATAACAAATTCTTAAATAATAATTCTAACGTTTCGCTACTTGTTATTTAGTACTTAAATGTATTATAATTGTGTTATTAAGGTGGAACTGAAGTTTGTATATGGGATGTTTTGGCTGGTAAACTATTAGCAAAACTTACACAAAACCACAAGACTATCACTGCATTATGCTTAGCCAAAAAAGGATCAGCTATTGTGACTGCGTCATTAGACAAACACGTCAAAATATATGATGTATCTTCATTCCAGCTATCACACGACATCACATACCCCAGTGCAGTACTCAGTATAGATATAAGTGTAAGTTTAATGCAAACTCCATAAAATATCTTTGTATTGTTGTACATTATCTATACCTAACACCATTCAATTAAATTATTGATATTAGCGAATATTAAAACTTAAGTGTATGTTCATTAGTGCAATAAGGAGTCTTTATTTCTTGTCCATTCATATTAGACGGTCATTTATTCAAAATTTTTCTTCTTAAATATTATTCATCAGTAATTAACCATTCTATTTTATCAGTAGTGTTTATGTTTCTACTTAGTAATAAAAATAAAATAAATTGTTTAGTTTATACGTTAGACTAGTTTTATTGAACCACTTTTTTCTTCTTCTATTTGAAACTTAAACATATTTTGTTTTATTTTTATTTTAGAGTGATGATAGAACTATTGTAGCAGGTACAGTTGATGGCATAGTCAATATTACTAAACGTAAGCCATCATCAAAACGCAATGCAGAAAATAATAAACGACAAGCTCGATCTGAAGTTATTGTTCGCTCTGATGGAATTGACTCTAGTGTGCCTTTAATGCAGGCAGATCAAATAGTCAAATACGATAGTGCTCTAAGGAAATTTAACTACAGTCAAGCCCTTGATATAGTTTTATCTCATACTATTGCCTTTAAAAAACCTCATGTCACTGCTTATGTCTTTGATGAGCTGTGCAGGTCAGTTTTATAGTTTATTAATCAATAATTTATAGTTATAAAACACTATTTTAACTTATTGTATACATTTATTTATGCATAGTCAGAAATAAAAAAAAAATATTTGCATATAATGTTTTAGTTTCACTATGTTTAATATAAAATATATAATCACATATGTGAATATATATTTTCTTTAGATATTTATGTACATTAACATGTTAATAAATTCATCAAACATGGTTTGGTATATTAGAATCTGTTAATTTTAGTACTCCATAATTATGTAAGACAGATTATTTGAAATCTAAATGTCTTTAGACCACTAATCAATCATTTTGTACCGCCAAACTAGATGTACGCAAGTCATTACTTACAGAATTTAGTTAAAAAATCTGGTTTTATAATTTACTTGGGTTTTAAGAGCGTAAGTCTTACCCTATGTATGATAAATTTTTCAATTAATATGCTCTACGAAAAGTTAGCATAATGTGTCTAACGTTAATCTGGTTGCGAGGTAATAAATGAATTTATTTTTTTTTAAATAAATTTAAATATTTAATTTTATACTATTCACAAAATATATTTGAATAAATAACTTTTCGATTTATTTGAGTCTCGGAAGTCTAACTAAAATATTAATAATGTATTGTGGGAAATACTTTATAACGAACCATTAATAATACAAATTCCTATAAATAAATTGACTTAAATTTGAACATTTTGCTTTTTTTTTTTCAGGAGAAACGGATTAGTTCAAGCCGTTTCTGGTAGAAATCAAAAACAATTAGCCATTTTACTAAATTATTTAGTTAGATATATCGGTGTCAGAAAGTTATCGAAAACATTAACACATGTTGCTTCAACAATAATTGGTAAATATACATATATTTATGTACACATATTATTTTAATTAACTAAAATAAGTACTTGTAGTACTTAATAATAACTAACTAAGTAATATATAAAATTATTGAAACTTAAATACTTTTGTTTTTGTGTTTAGATTGTTATTGGGATTCATTCGATAATTGTACACTTGAAGTACGGGCATTGTTGATTAAACTTCAAACTGTTGTTGAAAATGAAATTTTATTAACAAAACAATTCCTGACAATTGATAGTTTAGTTAAAATGTTAGTTATAAGTTCTGAAATATTACCTGATGGTACTTCTGTGTAACAAGTATTTTTCATATTAAATATTTTGCTATACTGCAGTATTTTTTTTTACAAAATTATTTTGAACTTGCTTTAATTTTTTTTCGGTTGATCGTAAAACTGGAAAATTGTAATATTTTCTATTCGAATTTAATGAACCAATAATTATTGGTCATTAATTAATCATCACAGACGAATAATGTGATTGAAATACATAAATCGCTCATAATAAAAATCTTTATTTTTTATTTTCATTTACTTATTTTAAAATATATCGACGGCTAACCGGCAATTGGCCGTATCAGCCATAAAAACAATTTTTTAGAAGAGCTAAAAACCCAGTTTTCTAATTTAATACTATTTTTAATAGTTAACTTAAGCTAATACAGTAAGACGTTAGATGACACTAAAGCAAATTACTGATGTTAAGCTACATGATGATAATGATATACTTGTATATCATATATTAATCTAAATTCATAAAAAACAAAATGTATTTATTAAAGAAATACAAGCAAATTTTCTTAAACATAATAGAAATAGGAAACCGAGTGTTTTTTAAAGACAGGATTCTGATCCAGAAAAAATATCTCAATAAATAGTTGAAATCTTCATTTCTCCCAAGTCTATCAATGGGTTAGATATATGGCTAAATATGATATTATTTTAGACAAAATTAACAAAGTTCAACAAAAAAATAAAAAAGTGCGATGAACCATTGATAAACATTGATCGATTGAGAGGAATGAATACTTCATCTATTTATTAATATATTTTTTTATGAATCCGAATCCGGTCTTGGATTTTGGGCAAGCCATCATAGGTTCTCACTGGGGCATTTTTAGCACAATTTTACTGGGTGTCCACTTTTTATAAATCCTTCAATTTTTTATTTTACGAGAAATACTTATCTTTTATCAGAACTTTTTAACTTAACTTTAAACCTGTAACTTTTTTCTAGACTATAGTTATTTGGATAGAGGACACCCAGTGAGTCAATTATTTCTATACTGGGCGTCCAACTAATGTCCACTGGGTGACCATTTGGACACAAAAATCAAGCTTAAAACATGTCCTGGTTCTCACGTTCAAAGGATCCTAGCCACCCATACAGTATTATTCTTCAAAAATGCCTTATGCCGGTCAAAACATCGAATGACTATAAAATATCAATACACTTTAGTCTTTACAGTGAATTTACACGTCTTAGGACTAAGATCACAATATAACAGTTAACACCTCAAAACCCGGCGGGGTTTTGTCCGTTTATCGTGTTATCAGTTTATAGATAATATTATCAATAAACCTTGGTCAGAACGCACCTTTTTTTACGTTATCACTTATCAAGCATAGCTATCAAATAATATCAATTCGCTTCGCTAGCAATCAACGAAAAACAAAGTTTTACCGTTACAATTAATTTTCTTTTTACTTGTCTATACATTAATTACCAATATATATATATAATATATGTATATTTATATAATTTGTAAATAATATATATCACACGTGTATCACACGGACGTATGTTACCCAATTTAAGGGACACAAATTGGATTAAAAAAAATGTAAATAATGACCTAAAAATAATAGAAGTGTTTTACTAAACATCTTTGCAGGTAAGCGTTTCAATTAAATAATACGAATTTGAAACAAAATGTTAATTGTCGTTTTTAATTACATTTGCTTTTATGTTTTAATAACCTTTAACAATTTGCACATCTTAAATAATATTCAACATTATAATAATGTGAAGTCGGTTGTTAGACACATCACAGGTGGTCTCTCTCTGGACAGGTAATAGTCAAGAGAGAGAAACTACCATTCTTTTCAGAGGCGACCGAACTAGGGCCTTAATCCTAGGTTCTCCCAGTTAAACAAGCTGAACAAAAATAATGTATTATTGTTAAATTTATAATAGTTAGAATCACTACCTAATTGATACATTATTACCTATAAATCTATTTCTTACAACACTACGTTAATATTAGTATAGATTAGTATTTAACCAAAGAAAGTAGTAAGTAGGTATTATATAACTACTTTTATTGTAATTTGTATATAATTATGTCTTGATTTTTTGTTTATACAGCCATTCATTTCCCATAAATTTCAATGTTTACAAAATCATTATGAGATTAAATATAAGAGCGTTATTCTTAATTGTGATAACATTAGTCTTAATAAGCGTGTTATCATTATGGTCAAATTGCTCTGAACAAAATCTTGATATATTTTCAAAACAGGCAGATGCTAAATATGAAGTAAGTAAAAATCTGTAACTATTTGTTAATCATTATAGATGAGGCGAGTTAAATAAAGTTTGGTTGGGTGTGTGAAAAGAAGTAACAGGAGTGTTGTGTGGCAGGTTAGATTAGGTTTCAGAGTGAAAGAAAAATTGTATAAAACTATAATAAGGTCAGCAATGATACGTGTTGGGAACTGAAAAAGAGAGTTGACCTTAGTATGGATATGGCTGAATTAAGAATGTTGGGATCGATGTGTGACTAAGCTTGACAAAATCAAAAGTGTGTATAATATAAGTTTGGGAGTTGCGTAAGTAGCCCATATTTTGCCCATTAAAAACATAAGAGAACAGATAAGATGATTTAAAGATGTTAAACAAAGGAGGAACGTGAAATACTTGATAAAGGGATTTAGATGTAGACCAAGAAAGAAGTTTAAGTTATTAATCTTGTAAACTAATATATAAAAAAATTGCATTTATAGTATGATACCTATTATGTTTTACAGGCTCAAGTAACTCGAGATGTTAAACCAATAGACTGTCTTATTAATGGAGACAACAATAAAATAAACTGTCTTCTCAGCAGTGACACAGTATATGTTCCTTTTTCATTTTTAAAAAACTACTTTGAGGTTTGTAAAGTAATATTTATATAGAAACAAAATATTGCAATTATGAAAAAAATTTACCATTAAAATGGGATAAAATATGTGAGCTTGGGTGGTCGCAAGTCTTCACTGAAACTGATAAAATCACTCGCAAGAAGGTTCTGTGCAAGTCTGTAGAAAGTTAAATAGTCAGTAACCACTATTAAATCAATATTTTGTTTAACAATCATGTTACTAATTTTTTTCTTGAGTAAAATATTAAATAATTAGATTTATAAAATTAAACTTACAGTCAGTGAAACATTTGAAAAATCTAGTGAAAAGCTGTCATACCCCACTATGAGGATGTAAAAATCTTGTTTTTTTATTTATATATAATATATCTGATGTCAATCAATACAATCAACCATTTTTAGTTTTTTCATTCATTATTTTTTTTTATTATTTATAGTAACAGTACTTTGGCAGTGTAAAATACAGTATGATAAACAGGCGTATTAAATATACAGTAATTATGTTAGGAATAATTATTCTAAGCTTGATATTTTTTCATAGAAAATAGTAGTCTTAAGAATGTATTAATGGTTACACAGCAAAAGGGTCTAAGCGATATGGCATATTCTATTTGACAAAAAAATATTTGCTTAGTCCAATGTGCATATGCAAAACAGCTGTTATCATTATTAAACAAACAAATTTGTTCTTAATACAACACTTCATATTTTCCCTATTAAAAAAATAGGGTCTAAACGACAATGCTAGGATTTAGTAGTTTATAATATTATATACAATATTAGCTTATATAAAAAATATATGTTACATCATGTTATTGCTATTTGCAAAAAAAACATTAATAAAACCACCAAAAATATTAAATTGTTGTCACTTGAATATTTTAGTTTTTTTAAAAAATGTCCTATACTTTTTGATAGTTGGTTATGCTTTTGGCAAGACATTTTTTTCTTAAATCGTTAAGCTACTTGATGATAAGCTATAAGTTAAAAAAAAAAAATCTTTAATTTTTATAATTTTTAACTAATGCTGTTTTTAGATAAGATTATGTATTAGGTAATAATACATAATATAGCTACTACTAGGAATGTTGTTTCTTCATTGTATTATTAAAATCTGAATGATTTTTATTATGTAGGTAATAAAATAAAATCTAATTTTATTATTTTCAGATTTATGGAAAATTAGTTGATAATTTTGATCATCAAAAGGAGTTTCATTGGTCACACAGCTATTCCAAAATATACCATCAGAGTGGAAAGTATGATTCACGTGGCGTATTCACTAATTTTCAAAATTACAAAGTCGAAGAAAGAGATAGGGTAAAATGTGTTAGTGCATCTGAAGGTATGCATTTAAAAATGTTTCAAGTTATCAATAGTTTTATTTATACAATATTTCTTTGATCTAGGGGTTCCAGTATCTACTCAGTGGAATCCTCATGGGTATTACTATCCTACGCAAATAGCTCAATTTGGCTTGTCTCATTACAGCAAAAATCTAACGCTGCCATCACCGAACATACAAGTTTTGGAGAATGGTCAGTTAAATCCTAAATGGATTATTCCTCCTTCATCAAAGTTACAAACTGTTATTAATTTGCCAACAAATAGTAATGTTGTGGAGTTTTTCAGTGCAGGTATAATTTGATTGACTAATTTTAATTTAGTTAAAACTAACATTAATATTTTTATAATTTAGATGAAGGAATAACGCTGAATATTAATGAAGAAGATGATTTTGTTCTAAGTTTTGATGTAGCTTTATCTATTTCAACAAGTAGTAGTATTGTGATTACAATGAAAGAATATAAAGATTCAGATGAAGTATGGAATCTTCATTATACATGTTCACATTCATTTATATCTGCTAAGGTAAATTTTCGCAGTCAAAAATAATATTTTTTTGTGAAATTAGATACTCATCCCCTCCATGTTTAAATGTAATAACTTTTTTAAGGTATAAGTTAGAGTAAAGAATATAGGTAAATCATTTTTTTTTTTTTTTTTATCTATTTAATAGGGTCACAATATTTATCATGGTATGCGTTGTCATAAAGATTTCAATTGGAAAAAATTAACGAGAAACGTTTTAGTTGATTTACAGAAAGGTCTTCATTTTTTAAAAAAGACAACACCTAAAATGTTTCGTGCAAAGTACAAGGTACAACTTATAAAATACATTTTAGTATTAATAATATTAATACTAGATATGTATTTAGATATGTGATTTCAAAGTGTATGGTATTGGATATCTTGATAATCTGACCCTCAGCTCAAGCAATCACATAAGCCAGTTTTATTCGGCTGCACATTGGTTTGTTAAGCACCAAGATAAAGAGTCAGGAGGTTGGCGTAATCCAGTTACTCGTAAAATATACCCTTCAATACAGCCTTTAAAACCAGGCTGGTAAGTTTTTATTACTAAGAATTAAAAATATATAAACAGAGACAATTGTTAAATGAGTCAAATTTTACTTTTTTTTTTATCGGCAAATTTTATTATAAACAAAAAGCTTTGCAAAATTTTTAATTGTATTATTTGGGATAATACAATGACAGTTTCAATATTTTGTATGTTTTACAAACAATTTTATTGTATCAAATATAAATCTTATGCGATTAGCACTTACGAAAATGTTTGTATGGCGCACAAAGTAGTAAACCCTATAAAAAAAAATGTATTACTGTTCTAAGTGAACATTTACATTTTAAATCATAACTCATAAACCATTAAAAAATTCACAGTAGCCAGTTTTAAATTTGTATGTAAACTAATTATTTTGCTTTTAGGATATCAGCCATGGGTCAAGGGCAAGCAATATCTTTGTTAGCAAGAGCGTTTTACCATTCAGGTGGTAATAAATTGTACTTAAAAAGTGCTTACTCTGCACTAAAGCCATTTAAAGTTCTTAGCGAAAAAGGAGGTGTGTTGGCCATGTTTATGAATATGTATCCATGGTATGAAGAATATCCAACATTCCCGCCTATTTTTATTTTAAACGGATTCATGTATTCTTTAATTGGTTTGTATGATCTTTTTTCATTGGCTCCAAATGGGTCTGAGGTAACGTATTTTTAAATTTTGTTTATGTTATATGTATTTTATATGAATTAAAATATCAATTCATTTTTTTTTATAGATTTCACAAGAGTCATATGTATTATGGAAGCAGGGAATGACATCTTTAAAAAAATTGTTACCTATGTTTGATATGGGTTCGAGATCAGCATACGACCTGCGACATCTGACGCTTGAAACATCACCCAACATTGCAAGGTGGGATTACCATGCTACACACATCAATCAGTTGCTTTTATTGGCCACTTTGGATAATGCAACAGTGATTAAGTCCACTGCTAAAAGGTGGATTAGTTACATGAATGGTGCTCATGCATCTCATAATTAGTTGAATGCGCTATTATCAAATAGTGTTACTTCATCTTCTTTCATCTTTTTCTACAACAACACAATTGTAAAAAAGTATGGCTGTGAATTTTTTAAAATTTTAATTTGCTTAAAACTATGTTTAAAAGAAATTTTATTGAATAACTCGCATTAATTATATACAATATGGGCAACATATGCAATTGCATATTATACACTGAATTATTAATGAGATCCCTCTTTATAGGATGTTATGCACAATTAAAAACAAGGTTCAAAAATATTAGGGTGAATATTTTACATAAAGTATTTTATTATTGCTTGATTTCTATAAAACTATTTGTAGCTTTCAAAAACTACATCTAATATTAAATTAATTAGTATTAAATAAAATAATATGAAACACCATATATTTTGTACTTAGTAGCGAAATCATATTAACTGCTATTCTTTAATTATTGGCAAGTTTTTGGAATAGTTGTATGAGATTTAAGTAAAATATGCTAATTCAACCTATAATTCTAAATTAATTAAGTCCTTTGATTAGTTTAGCAACAGTCGTTAATAATATCTACTATCATGCGTTTAATATTTATTCAATATTTACTGTTATAGTTTATGCACTACATGCAAATACTGTAACAGTATTGGGTTATATAACTGAATGTATGTATTAAAGCCAGCTATTAGGTGATTAAATGTATTTGTTTAATATTATAAACAGTTAACTTAGTGCAAAAATACAATTTTCATTATAAATATAGTGCAGCTCAATATTTTCATTGAACAAATATAGTCCATTTTTTCCTATTCAACTGTATAATATGTACAATTTTTTAAATCAAGTTTAACAACAAAAAATACATTTTTTACTTTAACTGTAAGCCAAATTTAAAAAAAACCGAACTTAGTGAGGGTGGACTGAGTATAGCTGTTGTACAATTCTATCATAAATTTAAAGGATTTTAAAAAACTCTATTTTATAACTCACTTATACGTTATACCTTCAGACCTGCAATCGCCTTCGTCTTACCGTGCTATTATTTTACTATCACTTAAAAATATATATATTATAAAGTTATAAACTTAATTATTGTTAATAAACTTGATTAAACAAATTTTTAAAATGTAAATATTTTTATTAATATACAATAAGACAAGGATGAAAAGAGGTGTGTGCCGAAATTATTTGGTAATTTTGTACATCTATATTATAGAACAAATTATGTACCCGTATCGGAAAAAGGACCATTCTGTCATTATGTATACAAGTGTAACTTCATGAAATCCTTATTTTAAGTCTCATCATAGCCTTATAGTCTAATTCGCGTTTTAATTGTTGTTTTGAGAAAATCAAGTTTGAAATCACTAAATTAACAAAATGGGCCTTTTTTTGATAAAATCAAAGTTGTCCAATATCGTGAACCGATATTTACTAGCACTTAATTACATCTATACAAGTGTAAGTGAAAAACTAGAAGTCAACCAAGTGTTTCTTTTTCCAGTACTGGTGCACAATTATTATTAGTCATTAGTCAAGTATTTTCATGATGCTGGGATATATCAGGGTTTTTATTTTATTTTATATCAAAAGTTGCTTCTTGCTATGTGTGGCTGCTTACACTATAGACTTACAATTTCTATAGTAGAGAATTTATTCGTTGCATTTGAAAATAAATGCACAACTTAGGCTTACCCATATATTGTTATAGTATTTTTTTAATATTATAAATAGTGCAAATATTAAATGTATACATAGCTAATTAAGCTATGTATTTCTTGGTTATATTTTAAGTATATGAGTGGCGTTTATAAAAGTACAAAAGAAATTATAAAAGTTGATTTTAATTTTTTTATTTAAAAATGTATTTTATATATTTAACTTTTTAATTTAATTCCTTATGAAAAATTAATAGACACGCCACTCGTCACTATTGTAATTAGTAGTACCTTTAAGATTTATATGTTTTTATTAGTTCTTTACAAATAACATTGAATAATGAACATTAATTGAATGATAAACTGTCATATGTACTTAAAATTGTTTACTTATTGTACCAGTAGCGTTTTATTTAATAAAATCTATATGAATGTTCATTTTTCTAGTACGATTGATAGAACTAAGAACTAATAATTTTTTTTTAAAATTATAACTAATTTAGTACTTAACATTCTATTATAAAAGACATTACACTAAATGATAAATTTAGCTTATAAGTATAGACAGTAAGCGTTAAATATTGTTACCCAAGTTTGAACAATTTAACAATTCATGTTTGTTTCATGTCTTATCCAATACCGAAAATGTAATTAATCTGACCATTTCTGCATAAATATTAAACAATAAGACATTATTTTTGTACATTTTAGTAAAGCATATTATTTATGTTAATTCACACACAAGCTTTTTTTTTTTGGAAGGGGGAGGAGTTTTGAGAGGCGATGCCAATTCATAGTTGTTTCAAAGTATGAAATATATTTTAGATATATTATTAATCATACACAATATATATTAACATTATATTATATTGTTACATTATACTGTTAAATGTGTTAATAACATACTTTACATACTACACCTGTGCATATATTTAACGTTTTTATTAGTTATTAATAATTATTTATAGATAGAGACAATCAGAATGTATATTATCCCTTAATTATTTAACATAATAATTAAGTATATACGTATATATATATATTAAAATATCAAATATAAATCAAAACTTTTTTGTTGTATTGGTGATCTCATAACAAGTATAATGTAGAAATGCATTCTTCATAAAAGATACTTATTTTTATTTGTAAATACAAATTATATATTATATATTAAAACCACATAAATAAACATATCAGTATGTTATCAATGACTCAAAAATTGTATTATTTATTTATTGTCACTACGAGGGCAGTGTTCTACAAGTAATGAACATTTTTCAAGTAACAAGCCACTTAAAATGTTAAACATTTGACTTAATGATTTACACTCAAAATGTCAAACAACAATGGTAATTGACATTTATACAAAGAGGACGCCTACTTGTCTGTACTTTTTGATGTTAAACTAGCTATTATAAAAATTGTACTTATTTTGTTTTTGGTAATTGTAAATTCTTAAAGTTTTGGAAAACAAAGATAATATAGCAAGGGTGTATTTAGAATTTTTTTTTTTTTTTTGGCGGGGCGGCGAGGCACTGAGTAAGTAAGCAGTTGAGAGGACGCAGCCCATGCTAGTACTAAGGAGTAAAGGATAGGCAATTTTCCGAAAAATCTTAATGTATACTTATTAATACAGTAATGACTAATGAGGATACTTTATTGATTGTAATAATAATAATTCCGCATTCTAGAGTTTCGCTATTACGTTTTAGAAGGTAAATGTTAAGCCATTTCAACTTGGGCTTCCTGTGCATTTAAAAAATTGGCAAAATGATTTCTTCTATGGGTTCCCGTTTTTAACGACGAAGAAGTGTCTTTTAAAATTATTGTGTACACCCCAAGGTACCTATTAACTAGATTGGTACGATTTCTAGTCTATTGACCGGCTGGTCGAGTAAGTATATGGGTAAAGAAGTTTCCAAGTAACAGACAGACACAAAAGAAAACGTTTTATAATCAATACCTACGCGCATACGATCTGGACCACTCTAAAAAGCTTTTATATATGTATATAATACAAGGTCTTCTTTCGATCTGAGCAGGTCCAAGGGGGAGGCAAACTGGCGGTTGCCAGGGATGCAAAATATAATGAGTTATCCAGAAAACGTCAAATGAGACATGTATATTACATTAAGTTGACAACAGTATCAAGATTAGGTCTAACATAGTTCTACAATATGTAATAGTTTTATAATTTTATTAATCGAAAAACTCTTCAGAGTTAGTGCACGCTGGTTACAAATAAAAATATTACAATTGTCTATATTGGTCACCCTGTATGCACTGCAAAAATGGCCGGGTTGAAAATCAATATTATGTTAACCAGGGGTTAGCCGGGAGGGCATCTTGCTTAGTTACTGAGCTTTAGTCTTTAGTAGCTGGTAGGCTGCTGCAGAAGGACCTGTGTAGTTTCTCCGTTCTCGATAAGCAACAACTATATGTAGACTTACCAACAAGAAATTGGACAACAGGTAGATATAATCTGCAATATATTATTTGATATAAACGCGACTAACGGCATAATTATTATTTAATGGTATAAATAACATAATTATACACCACTTTTTATTTTAAGAATTTTGTTTATTACAAATAAATGGTGTTCATTTTAAGAGTAACAATTAGGCGGCGTAGGAAAGGGGGTGGCGCGACGCAAAATCTTCACAAGTTGTTGTGTATACACAACAAATTATACCATTTATAGCATGTTAATACATTGTAAAAGCATTTAAATATTTTTCTCTTTTAACATCGAGTCCCCGGGGTGGTTGATGATCCAATATGGCCACTTCCCTCTGTGGTGGGGTTACCTATATAATAGACCTAAAGTATTCTCTGCTCGTCGCGCAAGCCAACTGAAAGGGAGCACAGTGAGCATCAATCCCTCCAGTATTAGTTATAAGTGGACATTTCCATTAGTATAACAATAGGCGGCTGTAGCGAATGCGGCGGCTTAACTATACACTTGTCGGCGACCTGAGTGCGTTCTGATACAATATTATTAGTTTATTTAAATAATAAATAAATTGTTTTTTTCAAATAAAATTTACTATTATAATATTATCACCGTTTTATTGAACAATATAATTTTCTTAAGTATTAAAGCTTTAAGTTAGTAAATTGTTAACTACCTATATAAAACAACTCCCTACGGCTGCCAACGACGCCCCCAAACCACCACCCCCGGAGGTAAAAGTAGCTTGTCTAGGAAGCGTCAATTAATGATATTTAAATAACTAATTGTAATTATTCTTCCATAAATTGATAATAATATGTCGACACTTATATTCTTATTTAGGTACCTTTAATACAGATTAGTTAATTATTAGAAACTCAGTAAAAATTGTTTATATGTACATTTTTTCAGATAAACACCTTATTTTGTGTTGAACGAAATTTCAAAATCATACACAAATACATCAACACTTGAAAACATTTAGCAATATTTAGTACTAGAGTATCCGTGAATATAATTACCTACACATAATTAGTAAAACGTAAAGGTATTGAAACGTGAAGTCTTTTAAGAAAACATGGCTGAAGAACCACAAACAAGTAATGTGACCTGTATATTTTTGTTAAGTTATTATAATAATGTTTATTTTAGTAATATATTGGGTATGAAACTTGCTGAATGAAAGAAAACATTATTTTTAAATGTTAATTAAATTGTAAACCACTTCTTTTAAAATAAGACAGGTTAAAACTAAATTGCATAACATATGTATAAAACATTCATAATAGTACCTATTAATTTGTGGGTGCGCGTGAAAAACGAGTTAAGTCAACAATTATACATTTTTTAAGAAATTGAAAATAATTTTTAGAAGAACATGTTACATCGTGCATTAGGATAGGATAGATATTTTTCACTAGGATAATAAAATAACTTATTTTGTACTTTTCTGTATACATTTCATTTTATAAAACATAAATAATAAAATAACAAAAAAAAAAACTTCCTATGTGTTAAAACCCAAATGTTTAGGAGATACTAAAACGTGTAAAAACGATTTATAGTAAGTGAATACGTTGGGAGGTATTATTTTTTACTTATTTTACAATGAAGATGGCAAGTTGGAGATTTTATCATAATTCATATTATGATTGCTTATTTTTTTCTGTATCCAATGATACCAAAATCGTAAAATTGGCACATGGGCGGTTTTTTCGAGGCAACGACGATATTAATTACAAAAGTTGATAGCACTACCTGCTATAGAAAACATTTTTTTATAAAGCCGGTTTTATCATGTGTTGGTTGTACAGTGTCGCCAAATACATTCTTTTAGAGTAATATTTAAAACAATATTATTTACTTATTATCTGTTCTTACAGAAGTATCCCAACTGTATTTAATTTTGAAATAACGCACTTACCTCAACAGTCAACGAGGAACTTAAGTCTTAACCCACCTAAACCTATAACTAATTTTATACAAAATGTTAACTTAACTTCTTTTTAAGGCGCACCAAAGAATTATTCCTTTGCTTATGTTATTTTGTAATTTGTACTTCTTATTTTATTGACAATTATACACTTTTTGTAGTTACTTTACCAACAGTAAAAGTACGACGAATGTTAGAAGAACTGAGCTGCAAATTTACCTGTTTTGATTGGTCAGTTGATAAGCAACATATTGTATCATCCACTGAGGTATTTCTAAATTAAGTTACCTAAACGATATTTTTTTTTAAAAATGTACAATAATACATAAATTAACAAAAAATATTGTTTATTTTGTTCTTTATACTTGCTTGATGTCGGTATACAATTATTATACGTGATGATTTTAAAATGTAGAGTGGTACATTAATCATTTGGAACGCATATAGAAATAAAAAAGAAAAAACAATTTTGATGCCAAATAACTTGGTGTTGACGTGTGCCTACTCACCTTCAGGCAATATAGTCGCATGCGGGTAAGACGTAGGCATATGGAAATACGTATTTTGATTGCACGTTATATTCATAATTAGTCATTGTTTAAATGTCATTTAATAATGTAATACAATTCACTTTTCACTTTACCAAACCAAATATGTGTCTAGCTAACTAAGTAGTAAGTTATGAGCATATGTAATTATTAAAACATGGTAGTTATGATATAACTTTCAAATTTTTTGTCAAACAAAAAAGGATAAGACTCGATAGAAAAAGTTTAAAAAATATCTTTACAAATCTTAATTTATTGAGAATAATATTATATGAATAGACTACCTACTAAGTTTAATGACCTAAACTGTTGTACATTGTTTTTTAATTTATATAGTAGTATAAACAAAAATAATTAAAAACATTTATCAAAATATGAAATGTTTGTTATGTTGCTAAAGGCTTAATATTTTGTTGAAAGTTTTGAACTAATGATGATAAGACCATAAAAAAAAATTGTATGACATTTTGGATAACTAATTATGGATAACTCAAAACAATTTTTATTGAATTTTGTAAAGCTTTTTTATTTATTTGTTTTTAGTGGCTCTGATAACAAAGTCAATGTAATAAATATATTAAGTTCTGTGGAGAGTACATCTAGTGAAGTACACAATGTTGGCACTCATTTGAGTTTTGTGTCTTGTTGTTCATTTCCAAATTCAGATCATCAAGTATATTATATTTGCATTACTTACTTACCAACTCAATACAAATTTTTAAAAAAAATCACAACTTTACTTTTTTTTTTTATCAAGATTTTAACTGGAAGTGGAGATGCATCGGCTGTGCTTTGGGACATAGAATCTGGTCAAATGATACAGTCATTTCACAGTCATGTAAAGGACATTCTTGCTATTGATATTTCCTCTTCAGAAATTGGCAATATATTTATTTCAGGCGTATGTATATTACTTACATATTGATATAATCTTTAGCGTTTAGGTACTTATTATAAAAAAGTATCTAATTTATTTGTTTTATAAATGAATCGTTTGTTAAAAGTTTATAATAAATAATTACACCCTATTTGTTAAAGATGGTACAATATTTAGTTTTTGTTTAGGTCATCGAATAAAATAGATACAAATAGGGAAATGACTTATGTATGTTCATTGTCCTTTAAATAATAAAAAATGTAGATTCTTTAATATTAAATTCTTCAATTAAGGAGTATGGAAAGCGCTATTTATTTAGTGGCAAATATTAGACAAAAATTGATCTAGTAATCATTTTAAATATGCTGACTAATTAAAATGTAAAAAAATATTAAGTTTTTCTAGTTATAAAACTATTAAAGTTATTTTTCTCCAAATTATAGCGAAAGTTTAATAAAAAATTACTTTTTAGAAGTAATTTTCACGCAAATCTTTTGGACGGATTTCAATATTTATTTTTTATTTTATGTGAAGCTTACCATTTTATCTATGGGGCTAATTGCCGATTTTTCAATTAGCTATTAGAAACTTTGTTAGATATATTATACAAAACCATAAAAAAGTAAAAGTATATACGCTTATAATACAATTTTGAATTTGGTTCTGTAGACACTTCAAAAAGTCCCTTCTTGTTTAAGTCCTGATATGTATACAATGTGGCGCTTTCCGTTCCCCTTAACACATTTTTTTCTTGCCTTATGTTTCAATATAAAATAATAGTTCATATTTATTTGTATTGTTATTAATTTATTTTTTACTTTTATTTATTTTATAACCCTTGATTTTTTTTTATGTAGGGTTGTGATAAGAAGGTTCTTTTGTGGGATATGAGAGCAGGACAGAGCGTTAAGTCATTTGTTGGCCACTTGGCCGATATAAACTGTGTTAAGTACCACCCAAGTGGTGATATTATAGCGTCTGGTTCTGATGATGGCACAGTAAGAAAGAAACCTTAAAAATGTATTTTTAAACTTTTAAGTATTTCTATTTGTTTTATATGTTATAGTGTCGGATGTATGATTTAAGAGCTGACAAGGAAATTGCACTATACTCAGAAAATAGTATTGTTTCGTGTATTGAAAGTATTGACTTTTCACTCAGTGGTATGTCAACATCAGTATTAACCAAAGCCAGCATAGTAATGGGACCACGGGTCTTCAGGAATTATTACAACTGTAGATGTCAAAAAAAACTATATAATATAAATATAAATAAATTAATTGTCTATAAACTTATTTATACTAAACAACATTACATATTTTGTAGACAATTAATGTGTTTCTAAACAAGTCATTTTATTTTTGGTTTTGCTCAACTAAAAAAGTCAAATAGGCTACAGGCTTACAATAAAGTTAGTTATTTTGGTTTTGCTCAACTAAAAAAGTCAAATAGGCTACAGGCTTACAATAAAGTTAGTTGAAAATGACCAAGGGAGAAAAAAAAGGCCCCCACATCAGTTGGGAATAAAAAAAAACCACCTTCCGACTTCCACTTTAATAAGGAGTCTTAGATCAAGCAGACAAGAGTGTACTAGAATAGGGTGAACATTATATTTTTCACAAATTAACTTGTTTGAAATTTCTAGGTCGATTATTTTTTGCTGGATGTACAGGCCATTTGATTCGCGTTTGGGATAATTTAACACGTGAAAAAGTTAGAGTATTGCAAAAACACCGAAACAGAGTAACAACTGTAAAGACTTCGCCGGATGGAACTTCATTAGCTTCTGCTAGCTGGGATGGAACTTTGTGTGTATGTGTAATAAATTGAGTAATTTTAAGAAAAAGTTTATTTAAAATAACTAAAATTATAATTTTTTTTTTCAGGTATGGGCTTGAGCAGTTCAATCAATAAGTGTTGGTAGTCAAAAGTAGTGTTTAGTTAGTACATTTTTTTTTCATAAATGTATGCTATTTAACCTCAACAAATAATATTGTATTATCTACAAATACCAAATTTGATAATACAAGTTGATCGAATATTTTTAATTATATTTAATATTAATTATATTCATAAATTACTTATTTCTAAATATATACAATATTAATACTTACTCTATCTATATATTACTATATACTATATTAACTATAGTAGTTAAAATAATTTTGTTTGTTTCAAAAAAAAAAAAAAAAATTGAAAAGATTTGCTACATTAGTATATTAAAATAATGTTTTTGACGAAAATATAATTCTATTAAAATAGTTAAAAAACTTATGTGTAAGAATTATTAACATAAAATAAAAGTTAAAGTAAATAAACATAATAATAATAGTTTGATGAAATAAATTGGCAATTTCTTCAATTTATTAATATTATAATTATTATTACTCTTTTAAATTAAAACAAATTTTATGTTACGATCTCTTTATATTATTGTAGTTGCTTAGAAATATTTACTTTTAATTAAGATACATTAGGCAAATATTTAATGTTATCTTTTATGTTTGATATAACTGTATAATATGTCCAATATATGTGTGTAATATGTATATGTCTATTGATATAATTATAATAAAATTAATAAAACCTTCACAAAAAAAAAAAGTTGTTTTACTAAATTTGAGTCATTTTACAGTTACTTTTCAGCGAAAAAAAGGCATCGTCTCTAATCTTATGAATACTGACCAAATAAGAGCGTAATTTAAAATTTTAAAGTACAAAATTATATACGACTAATTTCAATAGTTAATTTATTGCACTACAAACATAATATAGGAATATTTTTAACCTTATTGTCATTTTTTTATTATAATATTTGTGATGAAATCATGACAAAATACGCAGGTATGTCAGCAACTTGTTATGGCCGCCAGTTTTCTCAGGCGGCCGTGTATTTCTTATGAGACTGGAAACCGGCAGCCATTGAGCCATATGGCAAAAACTGATAACAAAAGTTGCTGACGTACCTATTTGTTTTTTCATTTTATCACCGGCCGCTTGAAAATGCATTTGTGCTCGCGCGCCATCACTGTTATCTCTTTTATTGAACGGCGTTCAATGATAAAAAACGGCTCCACAGTCCACTTGAATTACATAATTCCAATTTTGACAATTATTTCTACTCTAATGTTCAAAGGACTACAATTTAATACCATTCGCACATTGTCAGTTTTTAAAAAAATAACCATTTTTGTGGATGAATTGCGTTGAACATATAAAAAAAGTTCTCATAAAAAGTGTTTGCATGATTGGCATGTAATTAAATTTATATTATTTTTAATAAAATAAATATAATATAATATTCCAAGGAAATAAATTATTAAAAAGTAATGTACCTATTTTATGGAAAATTATTACTACTAATATATCTTATCATATTACATTATTTGCTATAACAATTCATAGGTAAATAAATTGGTTTTCAGGAACAGTAAAGCGTAAAATTTCAATTTATGAATTCAGACAATGAAGTTGCTCATATGTCGTGGTATTTACACTGTGCAGCTGGAGCGTGTAGTGGAGCGCTCACACGCATGTTCGGCCAACCATTTGATGTCGTCAAAATTCGATTTCAAGTGATAAATTATTTTATATAGATTATTTTTCATATTTACATTTCCTAATACAATTGGGTGGCTTTTCCTAATCCTCTTTCTCACTTTATTAAACAGATTAAAGTCCAGTACCGGACACGATAAAAAAGATTTAACAGATGCACTGCTCCCTTATCCTTGGGTACAATCATAGACCTTTAAACTTTTTTCTTCTTAAGAGGACGCTACCCATCCGTAATTTATCCGCAAAAAATTGCTTTGCGGGGGACAAGAATGTGAAGGCGGTAATTACAGTAGCCGTATACAATTTTTACAATAGATAGAGAAGAACTTTATTTACGGGGTAGCGATTTTAGTATTTTGATAACTTAATCACAATTAAAATTATTTCTTCGTGAAGATTCTATTTTTTTTTTTCAATTTTCATTTGCTTATAAAAAAATATTAAGTATAGATATCAAACAAATAAAATCGCTACCCCGTAGATAAAGTTCTTCTCTATACATTGTGAAAATTTGGTAAATCTACTGTTAATACTGCCCTCACATTCTTGTCCCGCGCAAAGCAGTTTTGATGGGGGAAAAATTGTAATTTATCCTATAAAAGTGACTGTGATAGTCTGACGAAAAAAATGGCAATCAATAAAGTATCCTCATTACTGTATTAATAAGTATATAATATAGTTCAAAATCTAATTTAAGATTTTTCGAAAAATTGCCTATACTTTACTCCTCAGAAATGGTCTGGGTAGCGTCCTCTTAAGGATGTGGCCAGGCCCATTTTTTTTTCATTGTCTATTTACCTGACCAGACGGATGTATTAGATACTTGACCATCAAAATTACAGTACCACGCATGCACAGGGACATGAAAAAAACACAACCACTAGGGAGAGGTTAAGTTATTATCAATGGTCAAGTATCAAGACAGGTACAAGTCAGAATTAGTTTTTCTATAATATCATCTTAATCAAATTATTGCCCTATTAATTTACAAACTTTGACTAGGTAATATATCCTAATACTGCAATTTGTTTGTAACCAATTATGATTGAAAATTAAAATGCCTTAAAACTTTATTGTAAAGTGTGTTATTTAAAATTATACTGTCCAGTTGAGATCATGTGAGTTGTGACCTAATAAAATTAGTACAATTATTATTTTTTTAGTTACAAGTCGAGCCGATATCAAAAAAATCAATTATTTCCAAGTATAAAACTATTCCTCAAGCTATGTATCTCATAAGCAAAGAAGAAGGTCTTAAAGCGTTATGGAAAGGCCACTTACCTGGTCAATTATTATCAATTACTTATGGATTAACACAAGTAAGAAACTTGATATTTTGTATTCAGCTACAAAAATAGTATACAATGTAATCAAAGTAATGTCACACTAATTTTTACCACATAAGTCAACAGTGAGAATCATTTGTGTCTCTCTTGGTACATAAAATTAGTTTTTTTGAAAATAGATCTGGTCGTCAACGTGTTAAGCTATCAAAATGGAAATGTTTCAGTTTGTTATGTTTGAAAAGACTTATAAGTATTCGTTGGAAATAAATCGCAACACAAGTACAAATTATGATGCCCATTTTATTAGCGGAGTGATTGCCTCAACAACAGCTAGTATAATATCTTATCCTTTTGATGTAATGCGAACAAGGCTTGTTGCACAAAAATCTAATCAGGTATGTACTATGTCCAACTACTAAATTATTTATTTTCAATTATGTTTAAAAAAGTTTTAAAAATGCCTACTATGTATATTTTTGCAGTTGTACACGAATATGAGACACACCGCTACTTCTATTTATCAGACTGAAGGCATAGTTCCATTTTACAGAGGCCTTTTACCAACATTACTACTAAGTTCAATACAAGGAGGACTAGTGTTTACATTTTATTCTGTGTTTACAAATTTGTTATTAACTAATACTAGTACCAATAAAAGTAATATTATAATAGATTGTTTATTATACAAGGCTTTTTAATTTTTTTTTTTCACTCATTTTATGTGTAGGTCAGAAGAATGATAATCTTAATGGCTTGAAACAATTTACATCTGGATTTTTATCAGGAATTCTATCAAAAACATGTGTATATCCCTTAGATATATCAAAGAAAAGATTACAACTGCAAGATTTTGTTGAAAGTCGTAACAGTTTTGGCGAAGTGAGTTTTTTGTTTTTTTTTACATGTTACAAATAGTCTATATTATTTTTACCTTTCTTTAAATTTTTGATTCTCGCAACGGAATCATATTTAATTTCAAAAAAACACTTAATAGTACTTAACGAATAAGTTCATCATTAATGTGCTATTATTAATTTTATATATTTTTTTTTTTTTTTACAGAAGTTTGTTTGTAAAGGGTTGGTAAATTGCATACGTAACACCATTATGAAAGAGTCTTTTTTTGGGCTCTTTAAAGGTCTAGCGCCATCACTTCTTAAAGCCGGATTTGTTACAGCATTGAATTTTACTTTTTATGAACAAAGTTTAAGATTTTTTCACAATCTAGTCGACACATTCTAGTTAGTTTTACATAAGTTACAAATTTAAAAACTAGTATACTCAATTTTTTTGTTCGTTTTATTTATACAGATTATATTGTTTTAAAATTTAACATTAGTTAAATATATTTGTTGTTTCTTTAAATCAAAAAAATGTTTTTTGTTTGTTTTTAATAAATAATATATATATAGAAAAAGATTATAGTCCCATATGATTACACAGCAAGTAATATTTACGGTTGTAGTTTGGCGGTGTTCCCAAACAGCCATACAGACTGTTTATTTTTAAGCAATCGGTTTTACTCATCATTTTCCGTTGTCCAATCGTCTTTCCAGTCATCTTAGGTACTATAGTGGGCTTACCTTTGCCAACGCTGTGAACATATTATGTTACTACTAACTGTACACAAAACACACATTTTACCACGCTCACCTGAAGAAGTTCTTGCCGTAATGCATGACGCTGTCGTAATCGTACTCAAACTCATAGGTGGTGTTCTTTAGACTCTGTTTGTCAAAATTCGACCGGTATTCTAGAAAAAACAAAAGGCCATCATGGAAACACTTAACATGTAGTTGAACAATTTTCACATACGAGGTATGATGTTTTCAAAATTGATTTTCACAAATTTATCTCTGTCGGCTCTAGATTGTTCGTGGAAAATGCCCAAAGCGTGCAACAGTTCGTGGATCGGTCTTCCGTCAGTGCCAAGACAGTTAGATCCAGTTTCGTCGGGTGGTTGCAATGAGACTATTTGGGGTCCTCCATATCTGCCCACAAACGACCAACACCTGGTCGATGACGGTGTAAAGTAATAACGTAGTTGTTAAAATTTTTACTTAAAAAAATTAACAAGGCAATTTATATACATAGGTTTGAAGGCGTTAAATAATTTTCTTTTGTTAATCAATAAAATAAGTAATAACGTAACAAAAGTAATAAGTTTTTTAAACGACGTTACTTTTTTTGTAGCTTCTGTACCTAAGCGTAGTTTCATCACATTATATGTCTAAGCAATGAATATATTGTTTAAAATAAGTAACGCGTTCCAAAAGGTTTTGAAATTCATTAAGAAAAATAATTTTTTATTTAGTTGAAGGTTTTTCAGCTTGTATTTTTTCGATTAAATAATTAAAAATGTCTTTTCATAGAATTTTAATCTAATTTCCCAATGATTTGAAGTAAACAATTTTTCCCCTCTAACTAACTTTATTTATATGGCGTGTTTTGATATTTAAATGACTGATTTAGGTTTAAGAATTTTAAGGACAGAATACTTTTCTAATAAAATAATGTCTTGTCACTAGGTTAATATCTATACAATTCGCCACTTTATCAATTTAACTTTATAATGTAAATCAAAACATGTTATCTATTTGTATCTAACATTTCAAGCAAGAGCTTTTAAAGCATTCAGTTAAAACAAGCGACCCAGTTAGAAAAATGCTCCATTAGTATAGCAAACTTGTACAGCAACTTGTATGTAAAAATATAAAACTGTATACCCTGCAGGGTATTTTACTGGCCATATCAACAAATAGTCTTTTTCTTTGCCAGTCCACGGTACGAATTTGATACAAGTGAAGAAGTTAAGTGTTCTGATTGCTTGATATATCAAAATGCGATGTTCGGTTTCTAAACACAATAATCATGTATTAATCATATTAACTTCTACTCGCTGATTATACTCGGTGATCGAAACACTAAATATTAGTTTAAAAAATAATTCTGTAGTTTTCTTAATACTATAATTATATTATTTTAGTGATAATTATTCTTAGATTTCTACAATACTTTAACAACGTTTTGTAAATAATAACTATTGTAGAACACATAATTTCTAGATAAAAAAATTAGAGTGTAATATTTTTAAAACGTTAAAAAAATGTCTGATAATACCTACTATGAAAAAATTTGATTTTTTCACTGACTGAGATTAGTGTAAAATAATTTCTAAGTACACAATTTTATTCATTTTCAATTCCTACAAGGGTAATGAATGCGTTCTAGTTTTTTGACGTTTTAGACAAAATTTCGACTATATAGTACTACCGACTACAGATTTTTTATTTTGTGTTTTTTTATGTAAAAAAATTGAATTTTAATATTGAAAAAATTGCAAATTTAATTTATCTAATCATACGAAACTGAAAATTGTTAATGAAAATCCGCTTCTTACATAACACAGTAATTAAGCCAAAGAACTCGAATCTCTTAAACAGAAATTGAAATTAGACCATCCTATGTAGTCGAAATGTTTGGCTTTTTGGTGTTACACACGTTTTATAATCTTGGAAATCCACCGACAGTGATAAATTTCAGACAAATTTAGTGTTTTAATCACCAAGACACAACTAACCGTATAGAGGACTGATCAAATAAGGTACGGTCCGATTCAACCAAAGTTTTTCTGGAAAAATGTCCCACCGCAAACCGACCCGCCAGTAATCAAAAATCTGCCGAACAAAATATTATTTTTCATATTTTAATTGCAAAACATTTTAGTTCGGTATTAAATGCCACATAATGTCAGTAATATTTTAGTCGCACCTCGTTGTTCAATGCCATGTCTCCTTGAAACAAACCAGGTCTGATTTCCGGATCAATATCTTCCAATGTCTGAAGATGGTCCATATCGTCGACGCTGATTCCGGCTAGAAATCAATCAATTCTTATTTTTTACATTCGAGTACATATTATTATTATGGCCAAAAAAAAAATTATTTAATTTAGTTAAACCGCGAAAATTGACCGTCCTAAACAAATGTCTAAGTTTCCTTAGACATTTGGATTGTCTTACAGTTGACTATAGTGAGTATGTTAACCCCTATATTATATAGTTTGACTATGGTTTCCAATAAATAAACACGACCAACCAAAAATAATGTATGCCCATTAAGCAAATACAATGCAATGTTTAACGACAAGTCATCTGATAAGAATTTTAGGTAATGTGCTAAACTATAATATAATATGTTCTGTACCTAGGTATAGTGTGTAATAACGATTTATTAACAATAGTCGTTAATTAATAATTATATTCCCAAGAGTCTAGGACTTGGGTATCTAGTTTTTAAAATAATACCTAATATTGTCATTCTGTATGTCAATTATATACAGGGCGATCCAACTAACGTAAGACACTCATTTTCTGTGAGAATATCATTTTTCCTAAACTTTTAGGTATATATTTTACTACATTTTTCAATATATTGAGCATTGTTTTCAGCAACCCTTATAAGCCAAAAAGAAGGATTTTTGGTTTTTTTAAACAGCAACATGTTTATAATTACATAAATATGTTGACAAAAAATTAAAAAATATGTTAGCGCTTGAATTTTTTATTTTCATTTATCTGTTCATTATTATTATTATTACTTGTAAAAAAAAGTCATCAAAAACCATTTTAAAGCTAATTACTTGTATTAAAAATTATTACCTACATTGTATTAATTATTATGTACATATAAATCGTCTATGAACACAATCTACTTTCTAGTAGGTATATAGCCTATAGGTAAAAATCACCGTTTTGTGTGTATTTAAAGTCGCACGAACAAACCGGTTTATAATCGGTTAAAAAAAATATCGCGGGTCATCAGTCACAAAAAATCCGGCTAAAATTGATTTTTTACTCTCCAAATACAAAATTCAAATTAGACCCTAATCGCAGTTGTACTTTAAGAGAAAGATGTATGTAATTGTGTATAAATAAACATTGAAATATTTATGTAAAAGATACGTCGGTCGTTATGGACGCTTTGTAACGAAAAAGTTCATTTTTTGTTTACAACTAAGTAACTTTTTTTTTTTAAAATACATTTCTACAAAAAAGTGATTTTTGATGCCATTTATATAGTACGACATCAATAGCGTAGTAAAAGAGTCATAAATAATAATAATAAAAATGAAAAAAAGTATGTGAGTTCAAACAAAATACATATTTCTAAGAAATTATTAGGATAATGGCCAAAATGCTTTCACTGTTTGAATTGCGATTATAATATATATATATATATATATATATTAGAGGGATTTATGTAAAATAATATTAAAGTATATTTTTTATGTATTCGCATTGTCTAGATTCTCAAAGACCAAACGATGGGATTGTGTATTGGGAAGTGAAAAATGTAATGTATCGTTAAAAAATAATATTTTATAGAACAGTTTTCAAGCATACATTGTACATAACCCATCAATCACACTTCACGGGGTTAAGTGGCAAATTTCTTATAACTTAAACTTTATATCTGATTTACCTACACAAATATTATTGTAATTATTTATGTAGGTTTATAGGTAGGCACATGTAATATAACAGGTGTTTTTGTAAATTACTCGCCTGATATTTTATATTTCCATTGACATTTGCAAAATTCTCGATTTAAACCATTTTTAAATTTATTTACAGAGCAGAAGTATTATTTTCCCAAGCGGTGTAAGCAAAAACGTGGCCAGCAGCAAGTCGTCGAAAAAACGCATTAATTATCTACCTACGTTGACACTGAAACTCCATTATAATTGTATAATATATCAGAACATTTTTTCATTTATCGACAATATTAGAATGGTATTTTAAAACGTATGCAAAATCGTTTTTGTTTCGTACCACTTGTGATTATTATGTAACCGACCGAATGTATTTGTTTTTAAATGAAAATACAGTTCTAGAGGGAATCATTACAACTGTAAGTGCTGGCAGAATTAAAAAAAAAACGACCTAATCTTGAAAGTGAAAAAAAACATACCTACTTAACCTCAAAGTAAGAAATTAACGTTACCGTTGAATTGGAGCCATTGAAGTTTCTTATAATTAAAAGAATCACAAAACGCATGTTATAACACTATAGAGATACAATGTAACTATAGGCGATAAATTCAAAAAGCAATTTCAAGTAATTTTCAATGGCACGTTATTGAAAGAATATGCGTGGTAAGGTAATTCGGTGTTTCGTGAATGCTATACATAAAATGTTATAAACTCATTCTAGATCTACCTCAGGTACAATTTCCAGACCTTAATCCTTAAAAGGCTAAATAAAGAATAACTGTCCACCCCTTCTGGGGGGAGGGAAGGGTTTATGAGATTTGTTTGGTTAGCCGACGTTTATCTGTAGTACTTTAAAGGTATAAAGAATATTTTGTACAAATTTGGAACTAATTCGACTATTTTGAAAAAAAAAGAGCCCGTAATTTGAAGTTAAAAAATATGTACATTTTTTCACGATTTTGAAGAGGGAGGGGTAACATTTTTAAAATCAAGTATTTTCTTGTAGTTAAAAATATTTGTTGGTTCAACATAGGCGGAATTTGCTGGGCTCGGGACCACAAAATTGTTTGTATAATATCTTAAATTGTAAAAAGTGGAGCCTTAACTCATTCAACGCATAAGCCCCCCCAGAGAAATTGCGACCCAGACGTTTATGAGTAGTATTATAGTAAATAATACTAGATTTGAGTAATTTATCTCTTTTACTTTTATTTCATGATTTATCTGTAATTACAGCATCTCGTGGCCATAATGGTGATATTTAAACGAATAGTAAGTAGATTTAGAGGACACAGGGGGGGGGCAGCTTAGCCTGAGGGCTACACTTTTGGATGCACCATACTGATCATGTGGGTTTCTCGCCATGGAAAGAATGAAGTACTTACCTTCCGAAGGGATTGGCGGGTGGACGACATCCGGGACGTTGGGTAACTTCAGAAATATGTTTCTGCACGTGGCCACTTGGACGGCCACGACCAGCGCCGTCAGGGCTACCGCAGTAGCCCAGCGCCGGCGACCGCTACTGTTAACCATTTATGATGTTGCTGTAGTTGTTGTTGTTGCTGTTGCTACTGTTGTTGTTGTTGTTAGTCGACAATGACGAAGGGCCATCGGCTGTGTGTGGCCGTTCCGCCGTCAACATGGTTTGAGAGCCATCGCCTTTTTTGTCGTGCGGCAGTGTACGCAACAAAAAGGATAAGCGAGAATAATAAAATAGAAATGTACCGCACTTAAAAAATTGTTAAAAAAAACAAAACGCACAACCAGGATGCGTGGAGTCACAGGTATCGCCGGCGACCGTGTCTGCCGTTTATCTGTAGGTAACCCGTGCGCCTCGATCGCGCTCCAACCGGTGGCTTTCGTCGACGGCGGGGCCGGGCGGCAGCTACACAAGTCGGGTCAGTGGTTGGCAAAAGGTTTATGTTTGTACCTACCAAAAAGTAGCAAAATTCAGTACCTACTTGCAGCCGAACAAGCAAGTCGCCCTCTTTAAACAAATACTAGGCAAAACCGATTGGCTACCCAACTGCATTGTCAGCGGCTTACTTAAGCAAAAAACCACAGCTATTACACGTCGCTAGTTTCATCAAATGTATTTACACTTGATTACTTCCGTAGAAACAAATATAAAAATGCACGTAACACTATTGCGAGTTTTTAAATAGGAAATAGGAACAGTCTCGACGGAGACAGACGGCAGATTTCACAGTTCTGTACAGCGTTTGGTAGACACTGTGGTCGACCTGAGGTCATGATATTGTGATAAATTCAAGATCAAATAATATCTTCGGCGGCTCACCGATTTTTAATATACTATTATAGTGAACCAGTGCCTTCAACTTGACCCGCTCACCGATAGCGCCGCGGGATTGACCCACTTATTCCTTCCACGTACAACCTTAATATATATTATATTATGTGTCTGCAAGTATAATATAATAATTGTACGCATACGTTACATGCATATAGGTATGCACGCTTAACTATAATATATTATTATAATGATATTGTGTCAGCACGTGATATTAAATGGCTTCGCTTCGTCCGGAATTTCGAATCCTCTACTCTTATTTGAGTAGGTACCTACGTATTACAGATATGAGTTATTTATTACGACGGTCCAATAGATTTGTATAAAATAAGTATTGTCCGGTTACACCTACAAATAACGTAACACCAGATTATTATCAGACAGGAAAAAAAAACTGAACGTATTGGTTTAGAAACCACCCGGTAGAAGTGAAACTCGTTAACATAATAATAAATAGTGTTGACTGTCGAGAGTTAAAAAAAAAAAGGAAGCCAGTATTGTTATGAATATTGTACCTAGGCAATGTTAGTATAGGTATAGTATGATAAATGAACATAACAGGCAAGTCAATAAATTGTATATTATTCCATCTACTATATAGTTAGATAGTGGCATATGCTGGATTTTGAAACGTGAAGTTCGTCAGTACCGTATCCTCATTAGGAAGGCTCATAATGTATTTTATTACTTAAAAAATATACGTTTACTTAAAATGTTGCGCGGTCGAAAACCAGTTTTGAGAAAATAATTGTAGTTATTTCCGTTTTAAATTATAAGCGATGGCGCAGGGGTTGCATTCCCCTTTAGTACTTAGGTAATTAACAATTTTTAATTAATAATAATAGAGCGGCTCTATTCAGAATTAAATGTTGTATAAATTCTAAAATTTTAGACGTCTCATAAAAAAAAAACCGTATTTAATTTACATTATAATATGTTAAATGAAAACTACTCACTTTACAATTAATTAACTAGCTGTATAATAACACTGTGGACAATTGAAGGAGTTTCGGCCTCTCCTACGCATGACACTGATAAATAATACGTCAACAATGCGTTTGTTGAAGACATTAGGTTATTGATAAAAATTTCGATTGAAAAACAGGTCATACGTACAGTTTTTTATTTTGGAAAAAGTCCAAGGTTTTAATTTTGATTTAATATTTGTAATGTACACATATATCAAGCATTCCAACGTCACGGTTTAAATGGTATGGTAAACTATTGTAAGTAGATGAAAACAAATTGGGCGCAAATTTAGTCACATCGACAGAGACGTTATGGCGGTTCTCGCCGAGGCCCTGAGTATACCTTATGTTATGTATTTGAAGAAATTTTAACCATGAAAAATCATTGTTTAAGTAAAGTTCTGTACAAATTGTATTATTCAACATAGAACAATTTTACTCTAACAGCCTTTTTAAAATTCAATTTCTAATCTTACCAACATAAAGATGGTATGTTCTCATTTCTTAGGTATTAGCCAATTTAGCCAGTATACGAGTACATTCATAAAGTTGTATATATTTGAGGTTATATAAATACTTGTTGGCGCCTTTTTTTAATGTGTTCATCTGCATATTATGATACAATGACTAATAAGTAATATTACTTCGTTTATGACTAGAGTTGTATCTAATTGTCCTAGAGATTTGGAAGAAATTAAAAAAAACAAAATACAATGATTCAATAATTTCACGATAATAACTCAGTATATATTAATAATAAAAAATAAGTAATCAATACTTAATTCATGCTCGACTACTATACATAGGAACCGTACAACTTACATACAAATAATATTTCAGTTAATATAGTTGTTAAACAAGCGGAATTTACTATTGGTTAAATTTAAATAGCCATAAATAATTAGTTAACATTATTCGAATGAAATATAACTCAATAAGAGCGTGGATAAAAAAAAACTTATAATTTTTTTTATTGATATTTTTCAATGGGAAGTAATTTGCCGCTTCTTATACTGTCCCAGAACCACTGAGCGTTCACAGCGATTGCACTCTTTGGCGATTTCTAAACAAAACACACATAATTTTACACTTTGTCGATTAAACCGGGTGACTCGGCTGTCAACGTAAGGCACTCACTTTCTAGAAATCTAATTGAAATTTTGTAATTTTTCTGTTTGAAAACATTATTGTTTGTGTTATTTTAAAATATTATAAAATTAGTAAATATATACAATCTTTGGTATTTTCCAGAATACATATTAAATTAAGAATAATTTGTTGACATTTCGTGACTGCTCGATAACCTGCATTGGATAATTACTTTTAGTGTTATATGCGTTTAAAATTTGGGACGGACAAAAGAGTGGTGTAGTACTATTATTATCAGTGGACATTACTTTACCGCATTCCACCCTCGCCCCCACCCCGTTCTAAATTTTAAATTCTAAAAAGCTCGAAAAATAATAAAAAACATTCGAAACTGTTTAGCGACCACAGAAAATATTCAACAAATTTTTCTTAATTTAAAAAATCTATTAAGTATTAATTAATTGTATATGTTACCTTTTTAATTTAAAAGTTGATAGAGCTCTTAAAAAACTAACAATTTTGAATATTGTGTAATATTGTAAAATAACATAATATTCTAAATAATTGTCCCAAAAGAAAAACTAGGGAATTGTAATTATTTTAAGAAAAAATGAGTCTTATACCCTGTATCTATGTTTTATTAACTTTTTAAAAGAAGAAGAACTTTCTGAAAATGTTGACTCATCAGTGTTTAAATTTAGGACAGGAGACGGAGTGTGATTGAGTATTAAAAAAAAAACATTTTTTTAAACTGTGTGAAAAAAGACATCTTCAAAAGAAACTCCACGGGAAAATGAAAAATAAAAGTATTTTCTTAAACTAAGCACATTCTATTTAAAATTAATACATATTTTACCTACAAACCGTGCTGCTTATATTGTGTTTCTAGAATCAATATTTAAAATGATAGTATTAAGCCCAATTGATTATGAATTACACGGTAGCAAATTAAATTTTTCATATCATCAAATATATTTCATTATATTGTTATAAGCTAATTTAGCGATATATATTCGATTTATTAAAAACTTATACTATACTAATATTGTACTGAATATTTTAATTTTTCGGGGGTGTATAAAAGTTAACCACAGCTCCTAGACCTAAATCATTTTATAGGCAATATCACAATTGTAATATTGTGTTATGAACTTTTTTATTTTTTGGTTTTACTCTTTTTGTAAGAAAAATTATAATTTTTTAAACTTTTAAAAAAAATCATCAGTTTAGACATAAAGGGATTCCACCCTCGTGCACTTCTCAAGTACCGGCTATAATAGGACTCGTTAAGACTTACAGGTGTTTGATCCGAAGGACACTTGTTGGCAACTATGACATGAGTGGCTGGAGATGTGTCCGAGTCGTCTATGACTGTTCCTCCGTAACTGATAACATAGTTTTCATTAAGGACAACTTCCAACACAATTGTCATTATAATGAAATAAATTCGGTTTTTGTGCATATAATTTGGTCAATTTCACGCCAAATCGAGTTTTTCCATACCCTTGCGTTATAGAATACAAGTTTTTTTTATTTTGTTTTGTTTTTTAAATATTTAAAAGATTGCTTTAAAAGACAATATACTTAAAATATCAAACAATCAATAGTTGCATAAACGAATTTTCCATATTCGATGGCCTTAACTTGGCAAAGACTAATTTTTAAATATCAAAAAACAAGCGTTAGTCATAGTTTTAACTTTAAAGATACAATGCCAAGTTAAAGGTTGATTAAAAATGTTTTACATAAAAAATGCCCGGAATGTAATTTAAATGTTTTTTTCTTCTAAATTTTTTTACGTTTAACATATTTTAAAAGTTGAAAAAGTCTGTACATACAACTATCTCAAAAATTAGAAAGCTAACGTAAGCACTCGACGCCTATAATATACTTTACATGCACAAGCTTTTTTTTTTAAAGATTGAGCACCCGTCAACATCAACAATTACCTACGCTTAAAAAAAAAAAAAACTGAACGCTGCATAAGATTAATAAATTAACATAGCAAATGAAAACTCTAAATTGTTCGCTGAAATGCAATCATGGTTAAAAAGAAGCGTCTGCAACGACCTACACATTTTGCAAATATACAAATTGCCTAGATTAAAAATGCAACATATTCTAACAGATGGGATAATAATAGAAATAAAAAGGATACGCAATAAAATACCGCAGGAACTTGTTTTTCTGCGATGAATCTGGAACGACCACTCTTATGCCAGTAAACAAGTCGGGTAAAGGCTAAACATTTTATTCAATCTGATAAATGGATCTGGATCTCACAACGTATATAAATAAATAAATATATATATATATATATATATATATTTTTTTTTTTTTTGTTAACGTTACTCGTCACAAAAGTACAAACTAATGGCATCAGACATTTGGAAGAATATATTTTTGCATAACAAATGCATGTATAATATTTGTTTCCCAATATCCATATTTGTTTGTTGAGATTTTTTGTACTTCTGTTTGTATGTAATATATGTGTATGGTAATAAGTGAGGAAAAAAAATCTTACCCTCCGTGGGCCGTCTTCGGTGAGTTTTATTTTTTTCTTACTGGGCTCTGCTATAGTCTTGGAATTAGACGACCCTTGCAAAACCGAATCAATAGTTCTCTACGGAAATAAAAAATGTAATAGTAACTATTGTTGCAAAATTCATGTTAATATTATTCCTGTTTCGATACAATAGCATATCAAAAAGTCATCTAAATGACTGGAAAGGCGATTTGTTTAAGATTCTAAACCAGATACTCAACAGTCAACATGGAAGGGTGGAATTCTTATTTGTAATTATAATTATTTTTTCAATTGACGCAACATGGTTTGAACTTTTTTTTTAAATATGATCCTAGATTTTGTGCTGTACATCACGATTTGTTGTAAAACGTTTTTAATGTTGTCGAAACCCAGTTTTCTTAAGTTTTCAACGTGATTTATTAACTTAAAAATTCCAAAAAAAATTTTAATTGTAACAAAAAAAATATTTGTTAACTTCTGATCAAGTGTCAACATAATTATGTGATTTTTATTTTATAAAAAATAAAATGTGTACATTTTGATTTCTTTGAACTATTTACTATACTTATATATAGTATGACTTTGTTGTAAAATCGTTAGTATTCGGAATTATAAAAATATAAGGTTGTAATGAAATTCAATGGTGGAGATAAACAGTGAAGTTTATAAATAATATAAGTAAGTATTTAAATTTAAATTTTTTACACGATATAGTTAATAGTTTAATGGAATGAGTGGCAAGTTATAGGTTTGAATTGACTAAATACTTAAGTAAACTAAAAAAATCAGGCTACATTTTATGTTTATATTATCACTGCAAGTCGCTATGCAAGATTTATGCCAATTTATAAGGCTATCAGGTAATATTTGACTGGTTTAATATTCTGGCTTACACTCACCTTAATTTTTTTTTGTTTTTCGGGCGACGACTGAAACGAACTATTATCGGAATCCGAATTTTTCGATGGAGACTTTTTCCCTTTGGGTGAATTTTTGGAAAAAAGATTTAAATGTTCGGTTTGTTTGGATAAATCAAATAATCTCTAAAAAAAAAAACAAATAATTAAATTTAACATAATTAAATTAAACGAAACCAGTATTGAAAATTGCTGATACCTACTGCTTCGAGTAGGCTGGATTTTGCATATATATTAATTGGATTAATTATATTTGAATGTAAATAAATTCATTTACTCGTATTGTTATGTTATTATTTCTACAGTAGATACGTCTTAATAAATAATTGAATAACGAGAAAAACGAGAAAATTTTTCTTTTATATTAACTGAAACTAAATAAAAAACTACAAAACGATTTTTGAAAAATTGTTAAATTTTGATTATCAAAAACAAGCTTATTTATGTTATTAATTTTTTATTTATTTAAATAAGTTTATGAAATATAAAGTCCGATATGTTAATCAACAATTTTGTAACATTTGTTATGTATTATTTGATGATGTTGTCGATCTACTGAATTTAATGAAAAATCGTTGGTTCATAATAGCACATCGAACTATACTTAGGCAATATGTCTAGCGACACTGAAATATAAATCGTAAACGTAGTTTCAAAGGGTTTATTTCGTTCAAATTGATCGTACGGTTGCAACATGTTGTTTTGATAGTATTTAACCGACGCAAAATAATATAATAGATTATGTTATGTATGTATGTTTACTCAATTTAAGGCGGCTATCATTTTTGAGACTTTTAATTAAAATAAAAAATTGACCAACTCAATTGTGACATGATATTTTCATGATTCCACTGAAAATTGTCAAGTCATTAATACATGCGTTGTCGCAATAAAAAGATAGCCACATACGAGTTGATGGTAATTAAAAATTATAGCCTGTCCCGATTTCTTCATCAACGAACCCCGTTGGTATTGTTTTACTTAAATAAATTCAGCTATCAGTTTATCACGTCGTGCCGCATAATTTGCAAGTAATGCAGGTAATATTTTTATTTGATTCCGGTAATAAAATAAATAGAGTAATGTTTCGTTACAACAGAAACCCGTTATGGCGTGTTGTCTAGTCATTAGATACGAATCTCAAGGTACAGCGCAGTATTCTTCATGTTACATTAATAAATAAGTAATAATACATTAAGTATTGGTATACTTATAAATAAGTATTATTGTACTTGTGTTTTTGTCTTTATTTTTTTGCAGTAATTATAATGTAATATAATACACCTCATCAAATCACATACACATAGTTTGCATGCAATCAATTTTGTAACCATACAGTGACTATCGAAATAAATTTTTTTTTCCGTAATTCGGTAAAAAAGAATAATATATATTTTTATTTGTATAAAACACGACTCTGATATACAACTGTTGGTATCACAATTAGTTATTATAATTCGTTTGCTTTTATAACAATGTGTTTATTTGTTTCCTCGTCGGACTGATTTTATCAGGTAGTCACTCCAATGATACTCTCTTAAATCGTTCACCAAAGGTGCTTTATGCGACCAACAATTAAAAAAGTTCAGCATTTCCACTTAAAAAATAGGAAGTACTGATGATGGCAAAAGGAAACACGAATGCAAAGAGTTGATACAGAGACGACAAAAATAAGCCGGGAGATGAGATAACATGAACGGATACAAATATAAATTAGATTGAGGCAGATTAAGGTCCCTGCACCAGGGACGATGAATAATAATTGGTAAATAATTTAATTTTTTGGTGGCCACCGGCGTATATTGATCAGCCAACACGTTTTTTTTTGTGTATAAAACATTAACGCTGGCGGTCGCCACATTGGAAAAAACGTGGTTTTCGGCCGAGGGAGCCATGTGTTTTTGTATAGTCTTTGTCTAAACCCTGGCAATGTTCTAGATATAAATTAAAAATAAAATCGTTATAAAAACCTGTAGTTCCGCAAGACTTGTAGCGCTTTCCCAGTGTTTGTCGTCTCTTATTTTGGTGACTCTGGGAAATCTAATGGATATACCGTTTGCCGTGTGTACGTCCGCTTGTGTAAACTCAGCTCCGGAAATTTCCCAAACGGGCATTTTCTACACACAGATCAAAGGCCGTTGCCAAAAACGCATAACGGTGTTTTTCATAAACAATTGATTTCACTCACTTTTGGGTCTTCTGCTACGAAATCCGGTATCATTGTTTTGGTGCACTTCAGCCATCTCGGCACTTTGTCGGCGTCCTTGCTGATCTTGACCATTTTTAATTCGCCCTAAAACCCAGGCACGCCGTTAAAAAACAAGCGCATTCAATTAACACTATAATTTTGTTGATACCGTGCAACTCGACGGGTAATACATACTTGTAACCTTTCCAGGGTTTTTTCGTCGTGCCCTCCGTGCACTTTAGTCACAGTGCGCCAGACGTCTTTGGTGCCGTCGTAGCACCCCATTAAAAATATTGACATCATACCGCCTGAACAGTGTCAAATAAATTTGCATACTACAGGAGAAAGAACGTTTTTTTTTGTTTACAGCACTCACCTTTATTGCCGGTACCAAACCATGCACCGAGGACCACGAGATCGGCGCTGTCTGCCATTGTGCCGTCAAACAAATAATCTTTTTTCACTTTTTGCCAGTGTCTCTTACCAGGCTCGTAGATACCCTATAATTTCCAGTACAAGAAACGCATAATTTATAAATCACTTGATTATTTATGATATTCAACGGATTAACAACTTTTAAATTGGGCAAACATTAAAAGGACGATGACAAAAACTATAAAAATATAGGTTCTAATGTTTAAAATATTATTTTTTTAATTTCATTGAAAATCATCATTTTTTTTTTTATAACACTGTTTAAATCGCACAGAACATTTTAAACGTGCTAACCTTGCCTACCAGTGTGGATAAATCTAACATGTATAATTTTAAGGACGGTTTTTATTTTGAGATTAATTTTTATTTATCAAAGATTTGCAAAATTATAAGATAAACCTCTAGTATTGACAAAAAAGTCATAACTCAAAAATGTAATTTTCTTTTTTGCTTTAGTCGTTTTCTGTAGTAAATTAATTAATAAGTAACTGCTAGAGTAGATTATCTATTAACTATAGCGTTTATAAGTGTTTAAATCTCTAATAAAAAACAAACTATTCTGTTGAATATCATCATCGCGATTTGGTATAAAACTTAGGCGTACTTAGTTAAGCTAATGAAGTTTTGGAATAAATAACGCAAAAGAGTTCTTATTTATTTCACAACACCAGATAGCAAGGATTGTTTGTTATTGTGTCGGAAATAAAAGAACCTCTTTATTTATCGAAATTGAGCGCTGTTTACATATACTAATTTAATTCAGTGCAAGTATATAACTTTCAAATTTCCGTTTAACTATTATTTTACAGTAAATAATCAATTGTTTTTTTTTTTGCTTGGACAATCATTTTTATACGTGATCTTACGGTTAAATCTTTGAGAACTAATCCTTCGAGACCTTGCTTAAGTACGCATTCTACCATTTGTTCTAATTCTTTAGTATCCTGGAAAAACACAACAACAATACTATACATTTTATAATTTGCACATTTACAATAATTACAAAAGTATACTTTAGGTACTAACGTGTATTTCTTTGACTTCCGAAAACATAATATGCCCTTTGATTTCAGTCATATTCTGCACGAGCACTTGCCGACGTTTAACAATCGATCTACGGCCAAACGGTAACATTTTAATTAATCAATTATTGCGTTACTTTTTTAAACTATCTGGTGATAGATCAGAGTCAAATCAATCAGATGTACTCTCGATGAAATTATTATGTTATTTCATTATCTGGATGAGTTTTCATTTTGTACCTACAATACTTGGGGTGGGCTACTTGGAAATATGACATAAATAATTTCATAAAAGTATAAATGAAAAAATTTTAAACTAAATTGTTTTTTATCATGAAAACCAAACAAAATTCTTATTTTTTAATAGTGATAAGAGGGTGAGAAGGGATTGATGATGAGTCAGAGTAAGTAGCTGGACATTTTGTAGAAAAAAGAGTAAGCTTTTTAAGTTGCATGAGATATACATATAAAAAATAATATAAAATAATTTTTTCATATACTTAAAAAAAAAATTGTTTGATAATCTTTTCAACGAGCCCACTCTAAATATTGTAGCTTCAAAATCGATAAAGACGTAGTCAAAAGAAAAAAGATCATCTTACAAAATAGCTTCGAGACAGCTCTAAATCTGATCAAGGTCATATTTTGATATTTTCTTTCTTTTACCCTCAATTAAAGATTTTTCGAGTTAATTTTAAACTCTAACTATATTATCACTGGTTTAAAGTGTTATGTTTCAGCTCTGTAATTATTATACATACTTGTCCATTAAAGAAACACCGTTGTAGTACATGCAGTCGAAAACAAATAAACAAGGGTTAGCGTCTTCAAACTGACTTTTCTGTAACGCAATGCGAGAAATTCGTAAGTTTATTTTTTATACGTGATATAGCATAGTTTACCATGTCTAAACTATTTGACACCAATGTAAACCATTCTGACTGGTTAGTGACAAAACGTAATTTTTAGAATAGCAAAAATTAATTAATTAAAATAAATTAGTAGCCTAGAATTAAGACAATAGATACAATTTAAGTAAACTAAAATACTGGCATTCAGTATGTCACTATTTCTGGAAATTTGTTCTTTAATTTCTATAGTTTTAACAATAAAATTACTTTATAGCTACTACAGTACCTACATAATTTATAGTAAATAATTTAATACTAATTGGTTAACCTGGAGGAATGTGACGGTTTCAATCCTTAATGGAATGCATTCAGCAAACATAATAAAAAATTCATTTTTCAAAAAAAAAAAAAAATGATTTGTTTGACGTTTTGCACGGTCGAGTTTACATGGTTAATTGTTTTTTGAAATCATTTTCCTATTTAGACAAAAAACGTAGCACTAGGTAAGACATAATAAAAACAAATACCTTATGAATGCCCAAAGTTCCGAATGGAAGAGGCTTGTCAGTGTTTCGGTCGTACATTAGCACTTCACAATCGAGTATCATTTCTCTGCCGTGTTGAAAAGCTTTAGGAATGTACTCTTTAAACATTTTTACCTAAAAAAAAAACCCCCCCGTTTGCACGAATTAGTTTTACGTTTCACCGTTCAATTTTCAAACATTATTCAATAATTATTGCTATTTCTGCAATCATACTTTGTGATCCAAAACAGGTTTCAAACTCCTAGAGAAGAATTTAAACTCTTTTTCGCTCTTGTGAAGTTGCACGCGCTCTCCGTCGTACTTGATTTCTGAATAAATGCCGGCGGGACACTTTTTAAACACATCACTAAGACACTTGCATGGTTCAGCCTATACAATAAACGATTGGAGTTAATAAGAGACTACACAAGTGTATAACGACCCGGCATGATTACTTACCAGCATGGGTAAAATCGGTGTCAAAAGCGATAGTTTTACGTTTATTTTCGCTCCGTTAGCATTATCAGATGTCTCAATCGCTGCCGCATTCAATTCTTTATGTAAGCAAACATTTTTTATTATAGTTTCCATGTTATGCGAGGTCTGGTATGCCTCGTAAGCGTTTGGATGAATGGCGCCGAGGCTATACACAACGTGAAAGATCAGTTAAAGTAAACATGTCTAAGTATAAAAATGTAACATATCATTATAGGATTTTTTTTTTGTGTCAATGAAAAAAAAATTCTTGCAGTATAGGGTTAGAAATGATCCTTCATTCATATGCGGATAGAGTATAGGCACATGATCGTTGGTTAATTTTAACTTGTAAATAAGCATAAATATATATTTTGATTAATTAATGCGAAGGTGAGTTTTTACCAAGGAACATGAATGGTTAAATTTATCCAAAATAATTGACCAGGTGAATGTTGCCCATAAACCAATTAAAGTTAAATTTTAAAAAACTTATGACCACATCATAAAATTAAGACTATACTATCATCAATCATCATACATCGCAAGGAGATTATAGATCAGAAATAATCATTATTCAAGAGCCAGCAGACTAAAGCATGTTTCATGTTTTATAATTTAGACGGTAACTATTTTTTTGGACAACATAAAAGCTTGAAATTTATACACAATGTTTAGTTTCTAGCTCATTTTATTCGAAAATCAACACTGATCATATTAAGCATATTAAGTAAAGAAACATTATAATAATAATAAAAAACTTAAACTAACAAGAATATTAAATTCTGTGCCGCGTACCTATTAATTATTAGTCAAAACATTGAAGTTTATTTTTGCAAAGGTTAAATATCAGATTTCAAAATTAAAGTCTCAAGTTAAATTTATAAACCTTTGTTATTGCTTATTACGTATTTGAACCAAAAGTAATATCCGGTAGTCTGTTATTATATTTTTCTCATACAAAAGCCTTTTATTTCACCCGGAATAATTATTAACAAAATCGATATGACGCAATACAAATTTTAATGGGTTATGGCGAATAACCTTTTTTCAATCTCATATTAAGCACTAAACTGTCATAACAGACAATTGGCATTTCAAAACACACCCAACAATAAAACCTTACCTACGACTAAGACACTTCACTTCGATTTAAATAAACATCAAGCCAAAGCTTCTCGTTAAACTTTATAAAAACTTGCGATAACTCCCAAAGATTTTGCTAACGGTATGTATTAGTTTGAATAGGTTTTGAAACCAATAAATAATTTTTATTTAAATAAAAAGCGATATTTTTCTTAAGTCGAAAACTGAGAAATGTTGACTCTTTAAAAATATAAAAGTACTTACATATATTTTGGTCCGCAATTAATTCTTAAGTCGTGCATTACAAGTCGAATAATCATTTTCAAATCGTTTCCAGTGCATCTAAAATATAATTACAAGTGTTTTTATAGATTAATATACTTCAGCCAGTAGCGATCTGGACTGAAAAACAAGTGGGCAATTCAAAAATGTTAATTGAAAATTAATTTTTTTGTACTGAACGCAGACACCTTATTTGTTTGCTAATTAATAACGAACAATAAATACTGTACTACATAACATTTTATTTGTATACAGATTAGATAGAATAAAAACAAATTGTTTACTTTTATTTGCGTCACGTTTTTTTGCAATTAAATAATTAATAAATTAAGAGTAGTAATAGGGATAGTTTAATCAAAATTTTCAAAAATGTATCTTTTGAGACTTGTATCTGCGTCAGTATTCTTTTTTTCAAATCAACCAACATTTTTCCTTTTTTATGTTGCTAATTGTTATGGCCATGTAAAAATTAAAAACTACAAAGAATTATATTTTATAAAAAAGCGCTACCTCTAAAAAATTGTTAAAAACCTGGAAAAGATAGAGAAATTTTTTTTCACACAACATTTTTTTTTCGGTCCATTCTACATTTTTTCTATAGGTATATAAATATTTAAACTTATGACTTGTGTTATTATTACTACTTAAGTTGTATTGGCAGTTATTGCTTGCCTTTACAAAACATGTATTTTTTAATTAATTTATAAGTAAAAAAATGTAAGTTAAAAAGTAGGTATATCAGGTATGGATTTTAGACCGCCTGTGTATCACTCTTATTTTATAGGTCATGAAACAGAAAGTTTATATTATAATATTGTCTCATGAGTTTATCATAAACAAAACATATAGACTTATATAGGAGCCTTTTTCTATATCGCCATGACATTATTGGAGTTTGGCCATAGACATAAAACCATGGAATGTATATAAAAAATTATGTTTTGACAACCTACTCCTATAATTTACAAGTGATGAGCACGTCGATCGGTCGATTTAAGATTATATTATCTTAAATCGTGGTAAAAAGTACCATTAATGATAATAAAAGTATTGTCACTTCAATTATTTATGAATTACCGTTTAATAATGGGTTTTATTTAATGTGACTGCACTGTAAAAAGGAAGTACTTTTCGTGACAATTTTAATGACGGAACGGCTCCTCTACATCATTCTATTAAATAAAACAGCAATATTTTTTTAACTAGTCCTTTTGATGTTCAGCAAATCGTAGTTAAAAAAATAAATTTCCTTTAGGTGAGAAGGAAATAAAACGCACTTGGTTGAAATCGATTTGAAAAGCTCAATCTGAGCATTCTCGGTGGTTTCCGCAGACAATTTGTCCAAGAATATGTCCACGTCGGTCATTGTCAATGTTGATTTCGACGCGGGTCTCATGTCTGCATTATTGCTTTTTTCGAAAAATAACCTTAAAGTCTCGGCTACGTCTCCTTTCTCCAAGTCTTCCAACATGGCAGCCATATTATGTTTGCACATCTAAACGATCCCCAGAAAACATACAAACAACATAATACTATAGTTGAATTTGGCGATTTATGATATGAGACAATTTACTAGACTAAACAGTTTGATCAATTGTTTCGATTGTAAATTGTAAATCCTTTTTTCCGAATTTGGCAACAGCATTTTACACCACAAATATAAGCCATCTGCTCGAGCTTTGTCTGAGCTATCTAAAATAAAAAATATATAGAAATTCAAATAATTTGTTCCATTAATTTTAAATACTAATTTAGTAATTTCACGAGACACGAAAAAAATCATTAAAGACAAGTAAGGACATATAAGGAGCACAGTTGCCTACGCAGAGCTCCGGAACATTTAACTATTATATTTCAGTTTCCCTATTTTGCTATGTTTTCATACCTCAAATTTATTAGAGATTTTATTTTTGAATCCCACAGGCGTAATAGTCACACGATGTATTATTATTTTTGTTTTGCCTAATTAAACGGTATAAATAATTATCATCTTGTAAAAAAAAAACAAAATTTCTAAAAGCGTTCGGTTTAACTGATTTATTCAACATTAAGTAGATATGAAATGTAAAAATAAAATATTAACGTTAAGTGTTAATTTAACAGCGGCGTTTTCACCACCACGAATACGTCATAAACATTCGACTTCAATATGCTAATACAGAAAGATGTATGATCAAAGATGTAATGATCAACATAGAGTAACACACGTAAACGAAAATGTTTAATGTTAAATAATATAATATGAAGTTTCATAAAGCACGCAATGATTATTAGGTTTTTGGACGTAACTAAAGATTACAAAACGTACGTACCGGAAAGACGTTAACTTATTATTCCTTTTCGCAAACCCATTTAAGATACACGTCGAGTAGGTAAACTATAAAATGTAAGATAACATAGGCATCACTCATCGATTTAACCATTACCTAACATATTATAATAACACATAAAATAGAAAACCCACGACTTAAATTTTAAGTAAAAAAAATCGAACAACACATTAGCACTACTTAGTCAAGTATTCTGATTAGATATTCATATTATAAATTATACATTGTACTTTATATTCCATCTTAAAAAAATACTTATAATTGGACCAAAAATATTTTAGAAAAGTTTTTCCAGATTGTAAAAATTAAGCATATAATTAATAGTACAACTAATGAATAGTATTCTAGAATAATTTTTACTAATGAATCTACTTTTAGATAAAAAAAAAATGTTATTAAAAACTATAATAACTAAATTATTATAACATCTAGTAGGTAGGTACAGTTATCGCGATAGCTGTAATACACTTGTATAAGACTTTTTTTGTTTGTTATTCTTACGGCTTATCATTTTAATCGATAGTAGCCTATTCAAATAAGAAATTTCTAAAATGTCAGATCTTGAACTCAACTCTAAGTATTTCTTCATAAGATTGTTTTTTGCATTTGATTAACATTTAGCATAAAAAATTGTATTTATTTATTAAGAAAATTTTAACTTGAAACTAAAAACTAATCAACATTTTTTCGATTTGAAAAAAAAATCTTTAAACTAAAATATGACACTCCAAAATATTTCGTGACAACATATTTTTATCAAGTTATCAGAATTATTACTTTCAATTTGTTGTAACAGCATAAGTAAGAAATACCTGCTCAATTGTATCTTTTAAAACAAGAACTTGTAGACAACTTGGAAATGACATCTGTAGTTACTTCCAAAAGGACAATAATTTCACAACAATTTAAATTAAAAATGGTTCGTTTAACCGATATATTTTGTTAAGTTTTTATGATAACGCCAACGCCACAAACGTCAAATACAATTTAAAAGTACTGAGTAAATGAGAAGAGAGGGGAAAAAATGCATAAGCCAAATATTTAAATATTTAATCGAGACGTTCAGGTTGACAAACCGTCAATCAGTACCTATCATATAGATACAATATATTTTGTTGATATTTTATTTTCAGACATTTAAACTGATGGATAATATAACGTGTAAAACAGCACTTACCTTTAGCCAAAAACGCGTTAAAACATTCTTTAATGATGGCAGTTTTTTGTATATAGCTATTTTCTTGAGAAAGTTGCATGCAGAGTTTCCGAAAGTTTTTAAAATAAAAGGTTTGTTTTGGAGGCATTGGAGGAGACGGTTGAGGTGCTTTGGTCTTATTCTTTTTCTTACTGGGCGTGACTTCAGTCGGATCATCTTTCGTTTTCATTCTCTCTTTAGGGACTGTAAACACCACGTAGGATAAACGTAAATTACAACATAAATAATATTATTATTTATACTTACTGTCGGGGAAGACGGTAAATATTTCTTTTTGGTGATCCATGGATAGATCATCCCAACCACCGATATCATCGACACAAGTGATTTTAGCTGTTGTCGCTCTCTGTTTGGCGAACACTGCCACTAGGCACGAGGGATGATGCCAAGCCATCATTTTTCCATCGCCAAAAGGGTTGGGCATGACTTTGGCAATTCGAAGGGATCCTTGGTTCAAGATTTCCTTACATTTCTTACACTTAGCCCTACTGCTCTTTGATTTTTCGGCTACGAAATTCTTCTCTTCCGTTACTGTGGAAGTGCCCTCCTCCATTTTTCAATCAGCACTGTAATTTTAATATTTTTTTTTTTGTAAACAAATTAGTTGTTAAAGTTTTCTGTATAACTAGAAGCGGACAACGGTTATCGATTGTTAATAAAAACCCAATATAACCGTCAATTGTGTTTAAAATAGAAAGATCAAAAGCTCAAACTCACGCTAACTAATTTTTGTATTACACTATTTATTGTCTTAACAGACTTGACTGTTGATCTCTATTTGTTCAACAGTATTATAGTTTTATAATATGTTAACCTAATTTATGTTTATAAATAGTATATTATGTATACATTGTTATTTTCTGATACTCAGTTGCAAGAGGGAGAAAAGTGTGCTGGGGAAGTCTCCTAAAACATAATAGTAATTTTATTTTGAATAAAAAAAGCTGGGAAGTAGCCTCTCCCTTTAGTTCAGGGAACTAGTTACGCCTATGACAAACACCGTTAGAAATACAAATCTATAAAATGTTTGTCTTGGTTACAAATACAAATAGTAACCTAAATAACCTCAATAAATATTAAATAATACATATTTTTTGAGCTTTGTTATCTAATGAGTACTGAATTGGGATCCCTAATTTATTAAACCAACTTAACCTATGCAAAAATCTCAAGAACTTATTTTGTACTGTAAATTATATTTGCAGACTGTACATTATTTTTTACTTAATTATTTCATTAATTAAAACACTTTTGTCATATTTAACTGATTAAACTTAGATAAATAATTAAATTTAATGATTATATATGAACCCAATTAATTTTTAAATATAATTAAGTAAAAGTATAATTTATAAAAATTTCGTTATACAGTAAATTAATTATTCGATAGACATACATCCAGTTGGCGAGCCTTTTATTAATAAAATAGATAGAACATTACCAAAAGGATACACACACGCAAAAGGTACCACACGCAATGTATAGTTTCAATTAATACTTTACCGAATCAATTACAAAGTTAATAATTATATTTTAACGGGTAAAGACTTCATACTTGGTTATAACAACATAATATACAGATAATCCTATTGAAATTAAATTGTGCTCGTAAACAGTCGTCAATTAATAACTGATGAGTAAACTTTCTTCATTTCTATAATCTTACTTAAAACATAAATAATCAACGCCAAGGTGCATCATTATATAAAACCTACCACTCTACTTAGTAAAGTTTAATAACGATATTTCCAAACCCTAAACTCATACTTCTAATAGATTATAAAATACACGTATGTATGTGCATCTACGTCGTAATACTAAACCTTAGACCCTCTAAAGTTGTAGACTGTAGTAAATAATCGTTTAAAATACATTTCTCAATCCAGTATTTAAATAGGTATAATTATTATATGAATATATTTTACCTATAAAACAACTTATCTAAAAAAACACACAATTATTAATGAGCATAAAACACGTTTCTTTTTTCATTTGAAAAATGTATGAACATTTTATAAATAACGATACTTAATATTAGACTACTTTTTTAAATAAAAATAAACAAAACAAATTAATCCTACTTCCTTACACTATTCGACTAGATATTAAAATTCTGGTCTTGTACATTTCAATACTCATAACATGTTTTTGTTGCAAATCTTCAGGGAAATTTAGCCTAACCTTACAATCAATATGTATCTCCAATGGTTTACATCGGTTCAGAAAAAACAAGTTGTCTAATAATACACTTATAGTAAATCATCCAATTCATCTGATTAGAGTGAACCGCGAACAAGAACAAATAAATAATGATATTAAACAAATCGTAAATCATCGGCTCTTTTGACACTTTAGTTTATGTTATTTTTTTTATAATATTAGACAATATTCAAATGTTCATATTTTTTATTTTTTTCTAGAGCTGTATCAACTTTTAAAAAAATTTACGGCCATGAATAGTGGAATCCTGTAGTGGTATGTGGCGGTTACATCACAGGTGCATTTTTATTTTATTTACATTTTTTAATTCTGAATGAATACCGATTAAAAATTAAAACAACAAAAAAGTATCTCTGGAGACGATTGCCCCTACGCCCCCCTTGAATACGCCACTGTTAACATACAATATTATAATATCTATATGTGCAATAAAAACTGAAATACATCGAAGAATGCAAATTAACTCGGGGTCGTGAAGTCTATTCTTTCTAGTTTTGTAATAATAAAAACAATTACAATTTAGTTAAAACCGTCATTCATACACCAAGGTGGCGATATATTTACATCATGATTGGAAACAAATAATCACACTTAATATTTAAAAAAATGTCCATTGGGAACAAGCTTTACACACCCCCTTACCCCATCCGGGCGTGGGTTGTGACGAACAGTAACTCCCGTATTGGCAGCAGCAGCAGCAGTAGCAGCAGCCTCCACTAGCAACCAACGCACGCTATATAAGGGTGTTAAACGTTGACTTTGTGCTTAAACAGTCCACCGACTTAAGTTCCAATAGACCTAAAAGAGTTTTAAGCGTTCTGTATAAAAAAAAAATTGACTCCGAAATTAATTAAAAATAATATAAGAACATTCGAGTGGTTCCTGCTTTAATTCAAAATCTACGTTTATTGAATCTATTTGATCTACGTTGTAACTAGCAACTTGCCGGTCTACCAACGAGAAAGGTATAGATTTGCTTATCTTTACTAATTAAAAGTGCATGACAGTGTTTTTAAATCTTAAGTAAGCACAAATAAGAGCTGCGAATTTTTAATTAACGTTTTAATACATATTGAAAAAAAATATTGTTTTATAACAACATAACATAAAACTTTATAACATTTTTATGGAAAATATATTTTTTTTATATAAAACAAAAAACATCTACATACATATAAGTATGCTAACATGAACCCATGCCTGATTGATTGCGACTTTTTCAAATACATATCAATGAATATCACCATAAAATATTTAATAACTAATTCTTATTTAAAACTTAGAATTATTGGAATTTTGTTGAAATTTGAAATATACTTGCCGATTGTTTTTTTTAACAAATATAAATAAAAACGAACATAACTTACACAGCCTAAACATTTTTTCATAGTTACAAATTGACTTGCATGACAAAGTTTCGGAATATACAAGACGACTTCCAAAACACTGTTAGACATGTCAATAAGTAAATACTTATCTAAACATTAATTTTGAAAATTATGTGAATACAATCGATGAACCCCATACAAAGTTTACCAACTTATAAAAAAAATATTATAATTTAGACATGGAAACATGTTTTACGATAAAATAATTGTAATTAAATGATTACAATATTATCGCCTAATACAATTTAATATTGATATTAGTAAATAAGTACCGTACAACGATAATAAATGGCAATACACGATTTTAATTTTATTATTAAATCTAATTTTAAAGATAAAACTAATTATTACTAAATTGATTATCTATTTTTTTTAAAGTATCGACACAAAATTAATTAGGACTTTAGAATAATAAAAGTTTTACAAAATCAATTAATAAAAAACCTAGAACTAAAGTCTTAGCTCTGGAGTTATTATTATAACTGAACATAATAAAATAAATGTCGAAAAATGGTTCGAAGCAAATCTATGGATGGTAAAATGTATTAAATATCATTATAAATTGCAATACAGACGTCAGACACTAAATGATTTTATAATTGTTTTAAGTTTTTTTGATTTTTCTCAAGATAAAAAATGTGACTAAAATGTTTTTCCTAAAACTACCTCCGGAAATTTAAATGAAAAAAACGTTGCATCTCCTCCCGGAATTTCTTTCAAAAATGCCAGGGTTAATAATATTTGATTGAATCTTTATTGCGCTACAGACCAGTAAATCTAATGAATACCTGGATACCTCATTAAAATTTAATAGTAATTCTACTATTTTTGGAAATTCATTAATTTCCGAATAATTAAGGCGTGTCGTATTTTTGTTAAATTATGTACGTACATATTTTGGGTAAGTTTTTTAATATTGAAGAAGAATGGGTAAACACTGTTGACTGCAAATCAATCTACAGATTAGAGAGAGACTTGCTAAAATACCTACAAATCGGTCTAGCGGTTAAAAAATGATTGTGGATCAAGACAAAAATAAAAATAAAACATTATAAAACCGATGAGTTTTCTCTCAGTCTGCATAGAAGATAAAATAATTATGAATAACACCTTCAATTTAATATAGTCGTATAGACTATAAAAATATTACTGTCTAAAAAGATGTATTACTTATCTCCCACCTTCTTTAAATTGATAGAAAATTATAAAAATACAATTTCAGATCTCTAGCTTGAATCTAAATACTTCATCGCGAATGTTTTTTACATTTCAATAACATAGGATAAGTACAATTCAATAAAATTGTAATTTTCCATTAACAAAATGTTAACATAAAAATAATCTAAATATTTACAATCTAAAAAAAAGTTCTTAAAGCAGAAATAAGACACTTCAAAATCACTCTCTCAATATTATTTCACAATAAAAATTGGTTTTATCAAACTACAGCTATTTGAAACTGTTAAAGCGATGACTTGATATTATGTTAAAAAATAAAAAGGAACGAAATATCAAAAGAAGAATTTCAAGTGCTATATTTTATGTTTAAGAATCTTTATAAAATTGTAAACATTTTTAATAGTTTTCAAGTTTGAATTTTTTTAATGAAAAATTAAAATTTCCCATGTTAATCAAATGCAAGAATAAACCATAAGTACTTAGAATTAAACTAGGGATCTGAAATTTCCAAAATTTCTTACCATTATCAATTAAAAAGGTACGCCGTAGAAAACAATAACAAATAAGAAATTTAAACTGTCTTATAATTGAAAATATGGCTTTTTAAATTGAAGTATAAAAAATATGTATGCTTATGCTTATGAATGTGTATGCATGCAGATGAAGGTTCGATATACATGATTTAGGCATGTGATTCAGATCGTTATTTCTAGTTTAAAACGCCTCACCCCCGGCAAATAAGCAGATATTGTACGTGGTGATAATACATATTATGTTAAAAATATCACATATTTTCAAATAATATTTATTTGTTTATTAATTGATTTAATTTCGTTAGTATCAACTAATAACTACAGTTTTTAAACTACGAACCGATTTTTTCACACATAGTCAGACAGAAAGTCTTGAAATCTAACACAAAATGTACAATTTTAAAGCGAACAGAAAATGTTCGCTCCTTCGACCTTTCCTTTGGAAATTGATAAAAATCATGATAAAATGCAACATATTTTTCAACTTTAGATACTGCACAATATTCGAAAAATATTCAAATAATATAATATGTTTTTTTCGCTTTTTTGGTCGTAGTTTTTATACTCTCAGGATTGAAATTAGATAGAAAGTAAACCACAGACCTATAAAAGCCTACCCAAAGTACATTTTTTGAAATCACTACGGCTATTGAATATTTAAACAATCCTATTATTTGGCAGGATCTCCGCCAATGTATTTATGCCTAAACGTTAATTTTTTCTCTATGGCGATTTGTTTTAATGTTTTAAACACCTGTTAAATTGTTAACGTTAAATTCAATATAAATAATGTAATTGTATTATTTATAATACCTATATTGGACCAATCCAATGCACGTAATATAGGTATAACATATACAGGCGTTTGAAACAGTAAAAAATCGCATATAAAGTAAAAATTAAACTTAAAACAAATTTGATTTCGTACTCGGTACACAAATGTTATATTATGTTCGCGAACAAACATAAGAAATGGAAATTGGGAGTTATACTAATAAATATTTATTGGTGTAATATTATCAATAAACGCAATAAACAAAAAACGTTCCCTAGCACTACCATCATTTATTAAACATTGAAATTAAAACACGGTGACTGAACAGATTATTGCATTTCAATAATAGATTTTAGGCGTAACAATACTAAAACTACTATAAATAAATATGATTATAAAAATAGGAACTTTGTTGTTATATTTTAGTTAATCATATGAGAAGTTTTGTGGGGTCTAGTGAAACTTTTGAATGGGAGAGGTTTTCGAATAACACCTATATTGTCATTTCAAAACGACCTTGTAGACACATTGCAAGCCAAAGGCTCCTAACAAAAATGTCTCATGATACATTTACACAAATAACATTTTCAAATGTAACACGACCATGCAGAGACGTTCTGTATGCGAAAGCCATTTGTTACATTGAACACAGTCCGTTCTAGTTTTAGGGACATTGGCGTTAAATTAGATGGACTATTTTTTCGATATTAATCGCTCTACCTGTGTTTCACTGTCAAGTACCTACCTACGCAAGCAAATAGAACCGAAGCACCGAGTTGTCAGCCGGTTCAATGTGCAATGTCACTCACAATCGCCGTATCGGACGTCGGTCATTATTCAAAGTGAACAAACTGATAAGTAAATTGATTAAGACATGCAAATCGTTCGGAAGCGCATTTGTTCAGATGCAAAAAAAAGAGTAGTACAGTCCGCGTCCTCGATAATAGTCAATTATTGTTTACATATAAATGCAAAACAGTCGGCTACAATACATGTTTTCTAGTAGGCCAATGCCAAGGGTAAAGTTATAATACTTATGGTTGGCATAAATAAAATATACAAGTTACAACTGCTGAAATCGGAATGATCGGTTTTAATTTTATTAGAACTTTACTTGTTATGCCAGATAAAAAGTAAAAGAATATATTTATAAAAAAAAAAAAATAAGTGAAAATTTAATAAAAATATTTAATTTGGTCGTAAACAGTTTCAGACATTTTAATAACTATTACTATATTTACATTTTTGTTGTTCCGTATGGGTAATAACATAATATAACACATTAATTGACATTTGAAAAGCAATAGTTGATGATATTACTGGTAATTTGAGAGGGGGACACCTTTGTAAAACTAATATTTTAAAGACAAATCTGTGTCAGAGAACCTACAAAATTAAAACAATTTAAATAAATATAAGTGTAAGACAAATTTGCTGGGTCATAACACCGGTAAATTCCAGACTTTCTTAATGAATGATAACTATTTATTTTTTATTTAACACCAAAAATAAAATAAAAACTCTTAACGGTATAGTCGATTACCAAATGACTTTATAGTGAAAATGGATATTTCGAACTTTATTTCGTGTAATTTATTTATTATTTATTTTAATATAAATATTTTAGACTTTTTTTATTACTTTTGAATAAAACCTACTTTGCCCAAAACTAAATGACATAATTTTAACGGGTTAATATTTTTAATTTAAGATAGAAATTGACTGACATTTAAGATAATCATTTCGCTTTTAAATATTATTACAATTATTGACTTACATTATATTTTAGACTTCCAAATAAATTAATATCACAGGTTCAGCTAACGAGAAAATAACATAAAACGCATTAAAATATTTTCAATTTTTAACACTATCAGTTTTATATTTTCAATTTCTATGAATTACTTATGAAATTGATTTCTCGTTTTTTCCTCTCAAAAAAGTGATGTTTTCAGTGATGATTTTAAAAAATACCTTGGCGTTTTAAGAATACATACAAACGATGAGAAAAAATACAAAACTAAACGACTACGGAATGCCAAACTATAAACCAGTGTTTTATTTATTGGTTGAACTTTGGTAGTAAACCAGTTAGTGGTTATTACCAGTTACCGCGGATGTGTTGCTTCAAGATTTTAACTTTTAGCGAGGCCTCGAATCTCGATTGTAGAATCAATGCTCTAGCATGAAAAAATGGCAATACAAATAATTAAAATGGACTCGTGGGTTAATTTCCCGTCATAAATAAATATCAAAAACGATCATACGGCCAATTTCCAAGTGAATTAATATACTAAGCCATCTTTCATACAATTACCTACTCCATTGCAACTGTCTTTTAAATTCACATAGTTTTACTTTTAACCAATTCGATGTTTTCTTTAATAAACATAATATTATGAATAGCACATAAACACTTTGACTGACATTTTGAAATATTATTGCACATAAAGCGCTAAGATTTTACGAGAATGGAAATTTAATTCTGGACCAATTTCCGTTTTAAGAGTAACGCAAACAACACGCAAATTAAAATCCTTAAAGAGTTTAAATTTTCAACTTTAACATTGCCATAGGCTGGAAAATACCACGACAAATGAAATATAAGCATTTTAATTGAATACAAGTTATAATTATCATGGCTAAAGAGAGAAGAAACCGAAAACTTCAATACTAAGGTGTAATTATATATTAACCGATTAACGTCTAGATGTACAGTTGAAACAATTGAACAGTCCCCACTTATTACATGTATAAAATAATTTAAATGATTATAGGTACTTTATAAAAATATTTGTTGATGTGTAATTATATTATACAATATATCCATGGAATAAATTATGTTTTTTTTTTTACTTACAATTTACATATTTTTTCAAAAAACTTAAATACATAATATAAACATAAAAATGTTTTTTTTGAAATATGAAACGAAAAAAAAATATTAGATCCCGTCAAGCTTTTTATATTATGTATATTCAAAAATGGTACAACCAAATCCTAAAAAAAATCTGGAAAACTAAAATGTGTACCCTAATCATAAGATAATATTATTATTTTCAAATATAAAAAAGAACTAAAAATTGTAACTCGTAATAATGAGAGTACTAACCATGATAAATATTTTAGCGCATCCTAACTATATTAGAAGATTTATTTAATGCACTTAATTACACTTATTGATGATAATACTTGTTAAACAAAATATTAAGATGCAATTAATCTCAAATACAACTTATGTGAAAAATAATAATTATATTTTAGGGGATTATATCATGTTTATTGATTTTCAGAGTATACACATATAAAATTACAGTTCTTTGTATATTAAATAGTCTTGACATTGATAAAATGTCAATTTTACCACTTTTTGGTCTAAATAAAGTATAGTTGTACATTTATTTAAAACATCTTTAAACTAACTAAAATTGCATTACCATGCTTTTTCAGATGGCATTTTTTACGACATCCTCTATTTGTTTGAAAGTTATTTTACTTCAAGTTATATTAATCAATGTGGCAAGTTCAATGGTGGTAGACATTGATGAATATTCAAGGCCTTCAAATGAAAATATATTGACACTGTTTAACAAGTTTTTAGAGGTAATTTCATATAAATAAATATAACTGTATTCGTTTTAGTTTCAATTTAAACCAGATTATTAATTTTAAAAAAATAAATTACAGGAAATAAACAAACGTCGTATTTTTGAATCATCTAACAACAGAGTAGAGCAGATTAAAAATGTGTATGATGAATTGCCGTTAATGCTACCTAGTCATAATAGAATGATACAAACCTTTGAAAAATCAATCAACAGTGAAAAAAAAAATGAAAAATATTTGATGCCTCCTTTGTATCAGGAAAATTCCGGCTATAATAACATTGGTTATGATAGCAGTGGAAAAGACAAACGACGTTGTAAGTCATTAACTTCATTTACACTTTAAATAATGCTTGGATAAACAAAAATATTATATTTTTTACAGATGAAACAATATGTCATTTCAAAATATGCAATAAAAAGTAAATACGGATCGATTATGGAATCCTTTTTAAAGTTGAATCTGCCAAAATGAAGCAGAAACATGTAGCTATTTTTTTGTTTATTATATTTTACGATTAACTGTTTAAAAAATGTAGTTAATGTATAGTAACTTGTATTTTATTGTTGTTCACTAGGAAATTTTTATTTTAAAAATCTAATACTTTTAATAGTTGCTATTCACTTACTTATTATAAGGTATTATAGTATAATATTTTAGTTTAGTACTCTTATTAAAATATTTACTTAAAATGTACACATATGAAATATTAGCGCTGAATAAATTTGTCTTAGACACAAAAAAATTGATAGTTTTTTTCTCAAATTAGTGTTTTTTAAAAAAATGTCAACAAATATTTTTGATTTGAAGCGTATCCATAATGAATGTTAAATTTGTTATAATCAATTTTTTAATTAAAATTTTTTTGAATATTTGGTCGTTGCCGCGAAAAAAACTTCCATGTGCTATAAACGAATTTGAACAATTCGTTCACCTGAACGGTGACACTAAAATGTGTAAAACAATTTATAGCAGGTAACACATAGAAAGTTTAATTTTTTATTTTTCATTTATTCTACAATGGAGATAGCTTGTTGGAGAATTTATCATATGATGCCTTATTTTTTCTGTATCCAGGGATAACAAAACCTCAAATTGTCAAGTTGTCACATAGGAGGTTTTTTTTTTGCGGCAACGACAATTTACAGTCATGAGGATTTTTATTCAAATCTTTTTTTACTAATTCATCACGGCTCTTTTAATAACGTTTTAACCTAAATACAATCACGCATATATTATGTACAACGACATTTTACATCTAATCGTACATCCATTTATTAGTATGTTCATTATATATAGATATATAGATACATACAGTATATATTTTTTTTTGAAGCTATTAAGAAATGAGTTAATTGCATTCTTTGAAGTTTAGTTTTCACGCTAAAAAATTGGGGTATAACTAACTCTTAATCCAAGATAGGCATGGACATGAAGAATACATTTATTTTCGTCTTATTAAAAGATTACAAATTTTGTTTTTTTTTTAATTGATACTAATAATAATTAGTATGAATGCTAGAAAACTATAAGACACTAAACATAATTTTGTTAATCCTGTATGACTGATGTATGTTTACATTATATCTTTCATTTTTCATCCTAAAAAATTTAGCCTGCAGGTTAGGCTTAAAACTAGTACGCACTTGTCCTACCTCTGTACATTCACTTTGTAGGAAATAACTGTTATAAATAAATAAGAAGCTAACATTTCAATGGTTAAATATAGTCTATATAGATATTAATGACACGACCAAGATTTATTATCAAGAGTTCAAAGTATTTAGAGTAGATTCTCTAATATGATATAGAAGTAAAATGGGCATTTTATTAACAAATAATAAATCCTTAATTGTGCATGTGATGCTATCCACTCAGATGACACAGTCTTACACCACTATATTAAATTTCAAGACCATTCAACAATGGATATAGTAAAATTTTAATTGATTTAATAAAATACTATGTTATTCAATTCTAATACTCACATCAAAAACAATTTTGAATGATCAGTATACTTAATATTTTGTTCAGTAGAATAGATTTTGGATAAATTTAGCAAAAATTATAATTTTGAACACATAAAACTATGTACTGATAGAAGATTTGGAAAGCCGTATTAAAATATATTTTATGTAAAACTATATCAACTGCCGAAACACTAACAATTGTTTTAAATTACACTTCATAATTATTAGGCTCAAGCTTTTCGGCTTAGGCACATGTCCGGCTTAGGCACATAATAATTTTGTTAACATATTTTAATCTTTACTATATATTTACAAAACATAGATTATCAATATTATTTCATTATCTGTAATAATAATAATGATACCAACTCTCTATATTTGATAAGAAATTCCTAGGGTCTTGTAAGGACTAAGGGGGCGGCAGTGGCTACGTTATTGCCATAATTTTAATAGGAAAAAAAATATAATTTAAGAGTTAATTAACCCTAGGGTATGTAGAGGTGTTTTATACCCACAGTATAAGTCAGGTATATACCAAGTCTGGATGAAATTGCTTCAAGCGTTCTGGAGCCATCGCCATGCTGGAACATACACGCACATACAATGTTCATTTATATATAATAAATCAATAATAATTATAATTATAAAATTATTAATTTATAGATATTATGTACATGGGTCAAAACACCAAACATGAACAAACGTTTAGACCGGCTGCTTTTTTTTAGACAAAATTAATACATATCAGTCTCATGTAATATAATCTCAGTTTTCTGAAAAAAAATTGATGAGGTAAAAATTCATAGAAAAGTCGAAAAGACTGAAAATTATCTTATTATTTTACACATAATTATTTCAAATATATTTATTACTGGTCGTTTTTCCGTTTTATCTACTTTTCTATGCATTTTTACCTTTTGTTTTTGTTTTCCTAATAGAATTGCCGATAGTTTTTTTTTTTTAAACAGTAACTAATACCGACTAAATTTTGAATTATGTATCAATACTTCGAACCAATTCGTTAAACTTTTTACCTAGGTACTACATTTTAGCTCTTTAAATAAATAAAAAAACGTTCATTATCAGTTGGCGGTGTACAGTCGACACGTAATGTTAACGTTATCACAAGTTTTAACACGTTACTCAACACTTACACGTTCTCGTTATCAGTTATTACAGAGTAACCTCAGGGATTGAACAAGCCAAGCCGCATCGGTTTTCATTTTAATTTTTCACAAATTCAATATTATTCATCGATTACCTACCTGGTTAGGAAATTATTTGAGTGAAAATATTTCATTTCGTCACGACCTCAAACCACGGAAATAGTACCATATTGACAAAACCGGATTATATCAAGTAATTGTGTATCGAGCATCATTTGAACGCTTATTTAACATGAAACCCATTAATTCCGAGCTGTCGTTTGTTGTACTTGTGTTGGCCATAATATCGTCGGGCAATTGTATAAGGTGGCACATGCAACCCAACACTCAAAAATGTCTCAAAGAAGAACTCAGACAACACATATTGGTAAAGGGCGAGTACGAAGTAGTTCCGGTCGAAGGACAACATATAGACTACATCGTAAGTAGTGGATAAGAAATAAGTTGGTACATTTTTGGACGCTGTGAAATATCAATATCCATTAGGTGTCGATTATCCACAAACAAAGTAGATGCAATTAAATGGCACAGCGTACAGGTGTGATAAATGCACTTCAATAATTTCACAAGCAGACAGTTTGAAAGCTGTTAATAATGCTCTATATTGTTCAATGTAATTCATTTTTCATGTTTTTATCAATAAAATCTTGAATTTTTGGCCTTTGATGTTTGAACATAATGTGTATATATTATGGTCAATGTTTTAGGGAAAGGTATGTGGTTTGGAAAGCGAAAAAGGACCTGAGTTGGGGACCAAAGTGATAGAAAAACATCACTTAAGATTAAAAGTATCAATAATTATACCTTAAATTTTTTGAAAAATGCAGACGTGGTCCCTTTTTGTTTCCACATTTACATATGTTATTTTTTTTTTTTTATTGACACTCCAAAGGGTAAAATGTACATTTATATACATTGTATACTTACGGAGATCAAAACACCAACGACATTACAGTGGCATATTGCAATATATTGCTTAATTTCTCAACTAATGATACTTTTATACCTGCACCATGCCTTTGATTTATATACAATATGGCATTCAACATTTTAGAAAAATCTAATTTTTCAAAACCAAACTGGCCTAACACAAAAAAAATTGAACCTCTAAATAAGAAGTTCCCAAACTTTTTGGTTCACGCTTCCTAAAAATAAAAAATTATCGTGGTTCCTATGATAAAAGTTAATTGCAAATACTCGTACTAGTATGTTAACGTTTAAAATTATCGTTGATCTAAAAATATCAATATTTACCTCCCGCCTCCCCTGTTAAGTGCCTCACAGATTGGGAACAGCTGCTATAAATTAAAGAACTTAAATTTTTTTTGTTACTGGCATTTAAAATTACTAATTAAATTTTTCTAAAACAATGGATTTGTGGGTTAAACCTCTGATGCTATGCGACTCATACCTAGTGCTTAATTTTAATGTACATTTTGATTTTGTGTTGGTCATGACTCATAATTAACTAAAATGTTTTTAAAACTTACATAATAATCATAGGAAACCCTTAAAATTATTATAAACCCTATCCACAGTAATTGAAGTACATATTGTTATTTTAAATAGTTTATTCAATTTTAGGTACGAGATTCCAAAGCTCACATATTGTCACAAAAAGAAGATATCAGTACGGGAAAATTTTCATTCATTGTAGAAAACTATGACATGTTTGAAATATGTTTTATTTCTCGGGCATCAAGCAGTAAGCTAATACTTATTTTTATAAATGTATACAAGCAGTGAATTAAACATCTAGGTGTTTGATTTTCGCACACAGCGAAATAAACGTTGACTGCCTCCATTTTACACAAACCTTACTTAAGGAGGGTGTTAAAAGTTAAAGTACAAAACAAATGTAACTTAAGATACAAGAGTTTAAATGTGTTCTTTCGCATGGTAAATATAAAAATTATATTATATCATAAGCCAGGTCTGGTGGCCGATCAGGCAATATCCAATTGGATTGTATATTATTAAATTGAGTCACGGGTCGTGAATCAGATATATAATTTTGGGCCCAAGTATTTTTAGTGACTCACCTTTGGGTGTTAAGTCACTATAGAAGTTACATTGCTGTCTGATCTCCATAGTCCATACTATAATTCCGTCCCCACATTAAATATCGGAACCGAGATCCTATGACACAAAATGTCCTCGCAAATTTTGGAATGACCCCCAGCGGTAAAACATATCCATGTTAATAGCCTGGTAAGTCATTTTCCACCAATCCAACATTATTATAAACTACATTTCTTAGTGTTAGTAGGTATTTGGTTATAAATTTCTCATGTTTTTACAATTAATTATTTTAACTTTTTAGGGTGATCATGAAAAAAAAATTACTACTACACTTCTACCTATTTACTAACATATTTTACAATATGTTTAATATTATTCTGAACAATTTTTTAAATTTTAACAATTATTTTTTATTTTTAGATCACAGAGTTGTCAAACAAGAAATTTATTTAGATGTCAAAACTGGCGTTGAAGCCAAAAACTATGAAGGGGTAACAACATTTTTTTAGAAAACAAACATAATTTCAGATTGAACTAATATATTAATCTCAATTGTATTTAAGATCGATGAAGCCTCAAAACTAAAACCCTTGGAGTTGGATTTGAAACGTCTAGAAGATATGTCACAAGATATAGTACAAGATTTTGAAAACATGAAACGACGGTCTGAAGATATGCGTACTACCAATGGCAAGTTTATAATATTATTATTATTACTAAAATGTATATTTTTTATTTTAATCATATTATTTGTATACTTATTTTAGAGTCCACCAAATCGAGATTATTCTACTTTAGTGTGTTTAGTATGCTGTGTTTAATTACCTTAGCAACATGGCAAGTATTTTATTTGAGAAGATATTTCAAAGCAAAGAAACTTATAGAATAGAAGTTTGATAAAATACAGTTCACTTCAACAAATCATCCCTGTCAAATTGACTGCAAAATGACTGAATTACTCTTCTTATTATACTAAATATTGTAAATTGTTCTATAAATAATTATCCTAATATGTAAACTATAAAGCAAAATGTGTAAAATAGTTTAGATTGTATTGAATCAACAAATCGATATTATGTTGTACTAATTATTTTAAGGAGTGAATATCAATCCATCACAGTTTTTTTTAGTATAAAAAATACTATCTAGTCTTTGACTATATATTTTTCTATCAATAAGCTCTTTATGTATATTATATAATAAAACGAATTGTTTGAAATTTCTGTTCACCTGATGGTAATTACAAATTTTAATAGGGAATTAAATGTACAATTTGTAGTAAACTCACTATAATACTTGTATTATACAACTATTAGATATCATTTCAAAAAAGTATTTAAGTACAATCTGGGATTATATAAAAATTACATAAAGGAATTATTATTTTTTATTATAATTACACTACTTGCTTACTAAGCTAAATATGACAGTTGTTACCAACTGTATTATCAGTAAGAGTGTTTATCAAGAAATTATACAACAATAATTACTTTTTCTAATATAATGTAATCAAAATTCTAATAAGTAAATACAGCATTCGGTTTCTTTGTGCACAAATTAGGTTAAAAATAAATCAAAATATATAAAGGAACAGGCTAAAACACTACTAAAATAATGTTAACAATTGAATGTGCAACATTAATGAATTAGACAGTATCAACATTTTTACAGTAGAAAAACAGTTTTAATGTGTCAACAGTACAATACAATAATATTATTTATACAATACTCTGAAAGTATAATCTTCAATAGTGTAATACAAGCATGACGACGGAAATACAAAATAGATTCTTTTTTGTATAATGAATACATGTATTAAATTGATATTTATTATCAATGAAAATAATTTACTAGTGACAATTGGGTTATTTTTTTATTTATGTTTATTTTTTTTTATTACAACTATAGCTATTAATTTTATAACCCAATCGGTTTACTGTACAAAATAATTTCAAGCAATAAAAATAATAGTTAAGTCTAGTGGTTAAATTTTAAAATATTCACATTTTCCTGTTCTGCTATACAATACAACTAGTTAAAATAAATATATTTATATTTATAGTTTTTTAATTAGAAAAACAATATTTATATAAATTAAATCACTATGTAAAGTCCAAACTGTCATTATTTGTTAAAAGCATATCAATTTAGCTTCGGATGGATTTTGCTCCATTGGACAATAAGGACATTTTAATCTATAAACACAAAACACAATATATATGGGATTGTGTTATGGTCATTAATTACTAATATCTCCATTACTTACTTGTTGGAATTCCCCAATTTATGTAAGGCGTCCTTAGATATGACATGGCCACAGATGAGCCTCATTGGTGGATTAGTATCTGAACTCTGCTGTCTAAGAATAGGGCAAGCAAACATTGAATGGTATCTATGCTCAGGGTCTAAATCAATTTCAATCTAAAAAAATTAAACAAAATAATATTAGAACCGTTTTATGAAATAATGTACTTGAACATCATTTTTTAATAGTGCATAATTAAAAAAAAAAAAAATACAAATATATATTATTTCTTACGGGTAATTCGTCTTTGCCACTCCAAATACCAGTTACTTGCCGTTGTTGCATGACTTGTTTAATATTTAAAAGAGCCGGTAGAGCCATGCATCCAGCATTGATACTGTTATAATTATAAAAATTCAGTTAAACCATTGGTTTTATCATAGATGGCTCATCGAGACAAATTTTAGTTTTGTACCCCAACACAGGTCGGGTGCTGGTTGTATCATTTTTATTGATAACTACAATGATACTGCTAGCCCGTCCAGTGTCACGTACAGAACTGAAATTTGTCCAATTTGGCCATCTATAATACAAATAATAAATGGTTAAATGTATGTTAAACATGTCTCGAACAACTTGTTTATTGTATTAACGCTGACAAAATACGCCAATTACCTAACGTTAAGTAAACTTTCAACACTTAAGCCAAGCATCATACAAGCATCTCTGGTAAACAATTCATTTACTTCGGTCCACATATTTGTTTCAACCATGTAGGAATATGGTGATTCTTCAATTCCTTGAGGTACGTACAAAAGCATTCCCATCAAAGTTTGTACTTCTGTAATAAATTATTTTTCTTTAAACATAAACAAATATTATGAAAATTAGATATCTGCTATTTGCAGGATTATATATTTTAAATGAAAATATTATCCTTTTAATCTTATATTTTTCCTCGTTAGATTTCTTTCTATCTTAAATTAAATTAATTTTTTTTATGGTTATGTGTCAATACTATTTGTAGATTGTGTTCTCATTTTTCTATAAGATTAAATTAAATTTTAACTTTTTAATACATACATTCTTAAACTTTATTTTTTATATTGAATTATAATTTTATCAAGTTCAAGACATAGACATACATAAGGGCGCCCACATGGAGGGACTGGGAGAACATCTCTAGCTTATCTGCAAGTTAAAAAAATGTATGTCCAATATCTCAAATTTGTAAAATCGATTACAAAATCATAGGCATAGATGGACAAAGATAAAACTAACTTCTTAATTTGTAAGTTTAACTATTTCCAATGAATCGTCCAGAATAATATATATTTATACGAAACATTGTACTCATAATTTTACATGCGTAATCTAACAACAATATAATAGAATGACAAAACTATTATTAACATTAACAGAATTAAATTTTAACCTTTTTCATGTTTTTCAACAAATTGTCCGAAATTTGCTCGAGCATATGCAACAGCTTTTGTTTGATGTTCAACTCCCTTTTGGATTAATGTCAGAAATGCCAATCGGTGTAGCTTGAACTCGAGAGAAGAACTCTGGAACATATTATAAATTGTTGATGGTATTTACATAACAAAACAAATCTATTAATTGTAATTAAAATAATAGGTTTGTTAAATTTTTAATAATGAATGTTTTATTTTTGTAATTATTTCTTAACAATTTAATTATATTTATGACAAAAATTGATAAGTCGAATATTCCAGGTTTGTGAAAAAAACAAGTTAATACGTTTTAATTGGAACAAATTACACTTTACAACTTATCAGATAATAAAACTGCTAGATTTTTGTACATTATGTGTATAGTATTAACATTGAGTACATAGCGTACAGTATATACGCAATGGAATTAAGTTTTGACATTGGTTGTATGTTATTTAGTCATTATCTAAATGCAAACTGATTTATACACAAACGACCCAAGTTCATTTTGATATTTTAAGAAACATCTAACTATTTTTAGAAATAACACCTTAAACGATAGTATTAGAATAATTGAAACGGTTTCATTTATTAAGCAATAGATATCCATTACCATACTGTAGATACAGAATTGAAATACATATTGTAAACACGCAATGATATAATATTTCCTATATATTTTCTTAAGATCATTAGAAAAAATTAATTGTTATTTGATAAAAATATGAAAAATAATACAAATATTAATGATGAAAGATATCATTATATTTACTATTTGCTGTTATATACATACAATTTTAAACTTAAACAGTAAAACACAATATTATGTTATTGTACATTAAACCTTTAACGATTATCAGAAAGGGTTTTTTTGCAAAATATAAAACACATGTCCTTGTTAAAGGCACTTGAATTTGCATATTTATACACAATAAAAATATATACAAAATGATTTAAAAATTAATAAACAAAAACCATAACATATTTAAGAACCAAAAAAAACTACTTATACTGTTCGCTCAATTTAAACACAAATATAATACAGAAATTGATATCATATACTTAAGTATGTGTTGTTCTAGTCAAATCTATATACTTTTTTTTTAATATCAAAATTCACATTGACAAATACGGTGCAAAAAATTAAAGCAGTCATACATGCACACAACAACCAAGTTATGTTAGAAAACGGAAAGGAGGCAGTCTAATTGAAGTAAGCCTAATATTAAGTATCAAAATCATAATTATATTTTTAACTTAATCGAATATGTCCTCGGTTAAGTGGTTAGTCTGTAGTAAATAAATTATACTTTATATTAATTATGAGTTGGCAAAATTACACTACTGAGATCATGATTTAAATAAGTAAAAACACATCACTTATTGTTTTTATAGAATTTAATTTTGTTTCTTAACAATTCACCGAGAGACCGCAATCACGATATGCAAAACATTAATATGATGATAAATCTATCATATTAATTAAACAATTTTACCTATTAAAAGACATGATTGAAATATAGTAATAAGATACTATTATTAAAAGGAAATCGCCATAGTAAATAATTTAGTGTATTACGAACATAGTTCAATCATTTCTATCGGATGAAGTTGAATAAAAAATATACTATGTATTATTACGCTAACATAAAATAGCTTTTATTCGCGGTAGGATAGATTTTCTTTCCAGTTTTAAAGGACCTACCTTATAAAACTGTTGTAATATTTTTCTCGCCAATTCGATTCTCTTGATCTTTTTCGTCTTCGGTCTCGGTTTCATTAAGCCACCAGTAAACTTGTTCCGTTTTGCGTGTAAAGGGATCCGAATAGGCATACGAGAAGCAGACGAGAACCTCCTAACCAAGGGGTATGGAGGATACATCTATTTCGAATGTAGAAAAAAAACAATTTAGGTAATTTTTTAGTAAATAATAATTTAAAAATGTAAAAATACAACTACACAATAATAAGAATTTCTAGGATCCGGGAAACTAAAAGTTTCCTTTTTATGTTTTTTATAATATAGAAAGTCTACAATGGTTGTTAAAAGAAATACTTTAATAAAAATAATTTCTCTTCTATAAAAACTTAATAGTTTATTCATTATAAAATTGATTATATCATAATACCTACCTTTATACCAAGCACAGTTATTATAGCATTTATTAGGCAAGTAGCTGCAGTTAAAATAAGTCATAACACATTTTTTCTGACTAGTTTTAAAACCATTATCAAGGACAGAAAGAGGTAGAATTCAATTTCCTATCATGTTTCTTTTTAGAACCATTGACAATATATTATTAATTCAATTATAAGGAATTTTTTTTAATAAAAGAGTCTAATAGTCTTACAACAAGTAAATCGGCTAAGACAACCCAATTAGAAGTATTATTCTCATAAGCAAAATTCAAAACTTTATTCTTAAAATAGTAAATTAAAATTAACCTATTGCTAACACCTGTATCAAATTAGCACCATCTAAGCATTATACATTTTAAAGAATTCATCCACCATAATTTAATGAGAGGGAAAACAATATGTTTCATGAGACAAAGGACTTCAAATTCAATTTGTTTGATAAAACCAACTTTGAAATATTGGGATATATTATAGGATGAATTAGCAAACTAATACATTTTAATTTAATGTGCATAAAATAAGGTTAATAATTTTAAAAAAAACTTGAGTAAGCAGCCACAAGTTTAAATGCGTAGTCTGTATGAACTTAGTTATGCAGTTTAGATTTTTTTTTATTTATGTCTACCAAATAAAGTTTAAACTGCAACCTATTTATTAATGGATATTGATATTAATAAAAGCGGACTAATGTCCTGACTATGGACAATAATTATTTGAGTTATTACGGCAATGGTTAGAAAGAATTATGGAATAAAACAAATTAAAAAAAAAAACAGAAAGCCCTACAGCAGCGTAAGCAACCTATCTCATATTTAATCTATAGTAATAAAAATCCTCTATTTTTCTTAATAAGGTATCAAAAATTTCCAAATTATTATTGTAATAAAATTTAAGTTATTAAACACTTAGATAATCATATGATATTAGTATGCCAAACTTTAAAGAACAACTAAAATTATTATTGAAAATTTGAATCGAACTTAAGTTATTTATTTGTAAGAATACTTAACTTTGTTAGAAGGGCACAATTTTTGTTCCTGGTTTTAAAGTATCGTTTGAAATGAGAATACTTGAGGAAATTTCTTTAATTAAACAAATTGTATAGCAATGTGTTAATTTAAAAGCATTTGTTTTTTTTTTTAAATATTTTTAATATTAACCAAATAATAAATTTGTTGCATTACGTATAAATGATCATGTAAAAGTAAAATTGTAAGTATTCAGTATTAAATGTCAGACCATAAAACATAACATCCATGTAAATTCTTCTTAGCTTTAGTTTAAAGTTAAAAGTCTTGATTAAAACACAAATGGATAAAATATGTCACTGTTAACACTTCTAAGTGACAAAATGTCTAAAATTACAATTTAAAAATAGAATATTGAGCTCTACTAGATAAAAAGGCGTGATTTTCATTTTATTACAGGAACTAAGAAATTTTTTTAAAAAATTAACTTTCCACAGATTATCAATAAAATTGAATGTATGGTTATATAAAAACTTATTATTATATATTTTTATTTAAAAAAAAAAAAAATTAACTGACAGTTAAAATGCTCATAATTTTTGCTACTTTTAACTTGATAAATTTGTGCTTCTGTTTCTAAGCATGCACTTATACCGAGTTTAACAGAGAAAGTCATTTGACACTTGAATAAATAATATGTTGCTTACAAGCTTTTTTGATACTGGTTTTGTTAGAGTAATAGTTTCGGTTTAGTATTTTCAAAGTAGATGTGTCTTCTGAACTTTCAAAAAATATGGATTTATTCAATATGTTATACAAATACAATTTTAGCGAACTGTTTTGGAAATCAAGAATGGATAGTAGTTTTTAAAAAAAGGCCTACTTATTTTATTGGATTTGTACATAAATATAAGTCTGAATCCATAGATTTGTACAAATTGTTTTACTAATGTAGTATCACTACAAAATATGTTACTTTCGACTAACTTGAATATACATGATGTACAAGACAGTATATAAAAAATGTTACAACCAATGTATACAAGTCAGTTAATATAGTAATCAATTAGATATTCAAAAGAATCATAACTGATTATAGTTATAATATTTTGAATAGTTTATAATTTATATATTTTCTGATTTCTTTTATAAATTATATAATTATAATTAAAATTTATGTCATAAAACTGGTTATACAGACGGATAATGTAAAAATATTTTTTTTCAAATGTATTCCATACAAACACTTTATCAACTAATAAGTCTAAACACAAATTTTAAATAAAGCAAGTGTGCTTGGAATAACTAATTTTCAGGTTAAAACTCTTGTTCTAAACAATTTTTGTCGATTAAATTTAAATGCATTTTATCATATTGTTTAATTCACTTTTGTCTAAAATCATTTTTTCATTCTATAAATTAGAAATCTATTTACACATATAGAATGGTATACGTTTTTCTGAATTTAAGTATTAATTAAAAGTAAGAAAATTGATTAACTGAATATATCACAAGCGATTCAAGCAAAATACATTTGATAGAGGGATTATTAATTAATATGGGCTGAAAAGTACCCATAAAAAGCTAAGACCAAATAATGTGATTCTTTTTATAGAATAATGTGTTACGTATTACAATTTTCGTTACATGGACCTAGTCTTCAACTAATGGATGTCTGTCCTGTTATAGCCATTAATAATTATACAAGAATATAATACATTTCTATAATAAATAAAATTACATTTTAATATAAAAATGTAAAATATATACAAAAGCAATCAATTTTACAAAAACGAATGGTGCAGTAAAAAACCAACAATGTATAAAACTATTTTACAGCTACAAGCATACAAATTATATACTAGGAGAGTGTATTCTAAAAAAAAGAATAGTAAGCAAATTATAATAATATTGTGAACTATGACAGTATATGTGAATCACTTTTAAGACATTATGATTCGACTATTTACATTGAATAAAGAAAACAAAATATGTTCTGACTAAATTTAAATTAAATGTTTAAAAAATAGAATAACTTTTGTTTATTTTTATTAATAAATTTATTAAAAATATTATTATTTAAATTTATTTATTAAATATTATCTTATTCAAATATAACTTAAAATACTCTTACAACTACATATGAAAATGGATCGACAAATCTGTGGGTAATATCGAGGGAAAATGGATTTAAAAATGAATTATAATTCTAATATTATGTTGTAGTGTTTAAAGTTACTTTATGATAAGCTAATTAACAAAAAAAAAAATCAATAAACTAATAACATACCTGAATTTCTAATTGCGAACGATTTTCTCTTGCCCACTCTAAAGCCGGACAAATATCTTTTTTTTTAAGAGATTCTACAATGGTATTTAACTTGGCAAACGGTTCTCTTTGACCACATTCGACTTCTATACCGGATTCCTGTATTTTTTGTAAAAAGAAAAAAAAAAAATTCAGATTTTATTTTTTTTATAAAATAAATACTTAATAAAACTTGTCTATTCAGAATACAATATAGTAGAAATGGTGTTTATACGCAAATCAAATAATTGATAAATCTAATAATTACTGGCCTCTGATAGCTCATCGGCAATATCCCACATGCCTTGTCTATAAAAATGCTGACATATTATTCGGTTAACTAAGTCAGTTTTTGTCGGTCCCGAAAAAATGTCTTCTCTGCTAGTTGCAGCGAAATCCGATATAAAATTCTGTAGACAATTCATTAATGTTATACAAAATCTATAAAAATAATCAAAATGCATTACCCTGTCGATTGCTTTGCCCACTTTTGATACAGTACTATGCAACTCCCTGTGTTCTGTTGCTAATTTGTGCGTGTCTTTCTTGCATTTGTCGAGAAATCCTTTTACAAGCACAACTGATGTTTTGTTAGATTCTAGAGCTAAACACAAATAAACAATATTTATAATTTCAGATTTATTAATTAGTATTAACCTATATTGTATAAGTTTTTTTAACATTAATATTTGTCTACTAAAAAATTATCATTATCACAAACATCGGCTATCAGTTATATACTTTCAGTCATTCATAAATTCTTTTAAAGGAATTTCATAGTTTCAATATACACTATAATCCACAAGCATACAAACAACAAGAACCGTTACAATAAAAAAATGAACGCAATATATAATTCATTATAATATATTAAATAAATTGAAAAAATTATTTTTGCTTAAAAAAAGGTCCAAATAAAATCTTTATTTCAAGAGTTTATATAAGCATTTAAAGGTATAGATCAGTAATGAAATGCAAATGAGTAATATTGTTAACCGTGTTATTTTCAATATTTATTTTGTTATGTCTCAATAATATTAGTGATGAAATCAAGACGTCCTGAGAATTCAAGAAAATCTCATATTAGTCAGTAAATAATTCTACAAGTAAACACAATGGTCTTATTGTAACCTAAAGGCGAAAGGCACTATTAGCCTCCGAAAGACGACTTTAAATATATTAACTACTTTACAAAAAATATATTTACTTACCATCTTCAGATTTTTTAGAAAGTAAATCACATTTGATATTCTCAAGACTGTCGATAAGCTGCTGTAATACATTGTCGACATTTTCACGTATTTGTCCAAATTTTGATAAAACTTTGTCAACCTCTCGGTCAACTGCTAAACATGCATCCATTACCCAAATACTTCTGAAATAATACCTAAATATCTTATTGTAGCACGGAGAACGTACCAATAATAATAAGTAATACTAATATTGAACTTTGATTATTCATACATACCTTTGGATATTTGTACTACGTATTTTTTATTATTGCAAAAGAGTTGCAGGTTTTCTTTTGTCTTCACGATTTATAAGCAGAAATGTTGACGCAAAACTCAAAATAATACTTTGGATGTTAATTTTTAATATAAGTATGTTTTAAACAATTTAAAGTACAATTTTTTCGTCCGATCCAAGACAATAAAATGTAAATATTTTTACTAATCTCCCTACTGGAGACCGAGGACGCCCTACCAAGTATATTCGTATTATAAAAATTGGATTTATTAAATAATAAATTGTAAATTAGTCAGTTTATCTGTTATCGTTGACTACTGTCAGGAAATTCTACGATTACGGGCACGTACAAATATTTCTTTGTGATTACAAAATGACTAATTACTAACAACAGCCGTGATTTCAGTTTTTATGAAAAATAAATAACACCAATGTTAATAACACGTAGGTAGGTAGCTGGTATGGGAGACTATTCAGTATTCGGGTTGTTATCACTTTTACCAGTGTTCATGTTTTCCCACGATTATATTGTCCGGTGGAACTAACGGTCGTTCGATGTAGTGCATACGAGAACTTGGGTAGCTCATTTCCAAGCTGGTTGTTGAACTCTGTACCGCTATAGATTCGCTTATACATTTGTTCATTTTAGAGAGGGGGGGGGGGAAAGACATAACTTATTGATTAACCTTTTATAGAGCATGCGCTTCTCTCCCCGGAAGACGGAAACTCGTACCAACCTTATTCGCACAGGCAATGCGTATAATACATAGACCTATAAAGAATTATAGACTTTATAGGTATTATGTGAATCCCGAATCTTTAAAATGTTGTACAATAAAGACAAAAATTGATCTTTTCCTACATACGATTATGTACATATTATGTCCAAAATGTAAAATTTATTTTTGCGTTCCGCCAAATGTTTAAAACAATTTTTCTTATGCAATTTAAGCTTATAATTTCAATTAAACATTGTTAACTAACAATTATTTATATTTCTATATGAAAAACATATTTTACTTACCCCACCTGACCTTCATAATGAGACTAATATATTATCAAACATCAATGCTCCAACGGTTAACCTATAATTTATTTCAGTTTTCATACTTTAAAGAATTAAAAAGCTTTTCAGTTAGGATCAACATCGAAATAGTTAACAATTATTCAATATTATAATATATATGTAAATTACAAGATCTAACTGAACAAGCTAAATATACTTCGACGTGGTAGCTCAGTAGCTTCTTTATTCTCAAATATTCCATTGACATAACAATAGGATTTCTATACGTAAATTTCAATAGGTAAATTTAACCCTTTCAGTCCCGACTTTTTTATTTGTGGAAAAAAAAATATAATAGCGTCTTTATCAATTTTTTTTGTTTAAAGAGAGATTTATTAAAAAAATTGATAACATATAATCAATATTATATTTTATTCTGGTTCTAACAATTTTACGAATTCAAAGATACCGCTAGATCCCGTATGGTTAATCTAAACGAAATGAAAATTAATTAAAATGTATGTACATTACAAAATTATATATGAGCCAAAATATTTTTCAATTCTGTAAAGGTTTTTTGCACTAACTGAAGCAAACCTTTTATCACCTTTTTTAGTGGAAGTTTTCATGAGTAGGTCTGAAATAAATATTAAAAAAGTCCGGTGCAGTATTGTCTGTTTTCTAAATAGATGGTGTTTGAACAAAAGGACACAAGTCAAACATCATAGTTTTTCAGTAGACACAAAAAACATTTTATCATTCTGATCATACATTTTTAAAATAAATAATCCAACAGTCATCCGTGAAATAACTTAATAAGTTAATAACGATAAATAACTTACTTGGCCACGAAAAAATCAGAATCGCCTGGACAATAAATAAACTATAATCATTACTTTTACGTCGACTCAAATAATTATTTTTTCTTAATAAAATTCAGTGGTTTTTTTTAAAAATTAATTTTTATTTTGAGTTTATTGTGACTTTTTAAATGAATAAAAGAGATCGAAAGAATTATGTTTACCAAGATTCTATTTGTTGACCAATTTGAATGTGTGTTTATATTATTATTATTTATTTAAGATTTATTTAGTACTAAACAGGAAAATTCAAACATAACTTTATACAACCATATAATATTCTTTTATTCGTATTAAACTATTCTGATGTGTTTGACTAACAATCACAAATATATATTTTTTATTAATACAATTTTTTATCTAAATCCACTTAAGTTACTTTAAAATATGTTTGAAGTGGTGATGAGAAATCAAAAATCGTGATTTAAAAAAATAACGCATTTCAGCGACTTTAAAAATCTTAAAATTATTAAATAACATTACAGTATAAAGCTGTGTTCCTAAGTAAAATGTTCTGGTGGAAATTAAAAGCAAAACGCATAATTTTGACTATAAATTGATTTCGGATTCCGGATTCCATTTCAACAAATCCGAAATCCAAAAGCACTTTATCTTTTCGGTGTAGTGTTTTATTTTTACAATTTTATCGATTACCTATATTTAACTTAAGTACACAGCTAACAATATTTAATACTTGTATGATTTTTAAGTGGCTTAAATAGCGTTTTTTTTTTTGTGAATATACAGATTTTTGGATCCCCATCACTATAGTTAATATATTAATATGTTACCTACTTACGATTATTACTTCTCATCAACTCAAGCAATTTTCTTTCCGATGAAACTCAATTATTTCTTTAGACATTTTTTTTGATAGTTGGTTTTTTGTGATTTTTTTAATAGATAACAGTGATCGAAACTCGAAAGGATTGAAGATTGTGATACTGAAGATACTGAGACGGCAGAATTTTTGAAAAAGGTGCGGCGACTATTGAAAAAGCATTTGTTGATCAATTCCAATACAGGTATGTTTGTATTAAAGTTATTCAAATAGTATTTATTATTAAGTATAAATTAGAAAAATATTTAAACAACATAGTGTTAACCGTAATCTTACAAAAATTAAAAACACTTTTTACTGTTAAACTATTTATTATGTTGCGGTAATATACATATTATATTCAAACGTTTTTTGAGATTTGGTGGGAAATCAATACAAAAGTTATTAAGTCGATACACATTTGTAATGTTTTATGTTTTTTAAAATCTATGAACCAAGTACGATCAGCTAAATGAAGATTTTTGAAGGGGATAAACCCAACACTGAACACTGCAATACATTGCAATAGACAGACGACCTATTCTAATCTTAACCGGCTAATTCTAATATACTATCGGTTTCTGTGTATTTTTTATACTGTAACTTTTATTATTACGATCTATGACCGATCGAATGGCGAAGGACAAAAGACATGGCGTGTATATCATTATGTTAATCCATTTTCCCTGTCTTGGTAGCTAGACGGTTTTCAAATCAATACAACTGACCAATAGATATAGTGTGATTACGCCGTATTCGGTGTAATGAGTAATACACACGCATGTTTTGGTTGTAGCCATGCATATTTTATTCGTTCTGTTTTATGTTCGACAGTTTTATTTGGTATAACACTTTAAAAATATTAAACTGAAAAAAAACTATGATTTGAATCCCCTCTATGATTTTATCACCCTCCTAAACTTAAACAAATTTTGATATATTTTATCCATTTATTTTACTCAGATTATCTCCAAATTCGTGTCTGTTTCCAATTGTGTGTTTTAAATATAATATATAATGTTATAAACAATTTCAAAACGTACAAATCAAATAAGACATCTAATAAATAATCACATCTTATACAGGATTAAAGTATATAGGTATGAATAGTGTTGAATACCTTTTACATTTTTAACAGAATCAAAAAATTACAACTGTAAAAACTAATCACTTATCCCGGTTGATGAAAATATGCATTGAGCCCCCAAAGATATTAAATTACGCAAATTAAGTAAAACTAATAAATAATAATGTGCAATGCTATTTAAACTAATTTTTCTTTGTAAAAATAATACAAAATAACCGTAGTGTTAAAAAGTAGATTATTTCTAAAAAACTTAACACTGAACATCCAAAAAATAGACCAGCAGTTCCTCCGATAGACACTTTAATCATTAAATATAAAAAAAAACGTATGTAGATGATTCTTTAATAATTATAAAAAAAAAATGAAATAAATAATAAACATCACCCACCTAGGACGTCGGTAAGACCAAACAGCAAATTTCTTTTTAAACGCATTTTGGGGAATTTTATTAATCCCCATTTTAGGTTTGTTCCAAGAAACCTAAAAAAAAAAAAAAAATATTGAATCATAATTTCTCACACGTTACTTAATGTAATAAGTTATCTATGATAAGCCAACCTAAGACTACCTTCATTCAGTGTAAGGTTAATAATTTCCTTATACAAAAATTAGAAATTCAAAATCTATGTCAATCATACATATAGTAAATAATGGTTATAAATGGTAGGCGTTAAATTTATGTTCTTTATGGTGTAATAAAAAAATCAGAGCATTTTATTGTTTGAAGTTATGTGACGCTCTTTAATATAAATTATAATAATTATTATAATACACAGACATAAATGTCGATTGTTGGTAATGTTTTTTTCGGTAATTACTAACTTTGGTGTTAGGTTAAACATTTAAACATATTGTTATTAATTATTTAATGTCTTATACATTAAACGCTTTATAGGTATATTATATTTGCATGCGAGTTTAATGTGTTGTTAATTTTATCCATTTTGCAAATGTAAATAGACATTTAAAGTACTGTTTACTAGCGTTCGGTTTACCATTGTATTGTATTTTCTCCTTCTACAATGTAGCTGACATCATCACAGGGCGGCAAACAACCGCAATTAACTTTGGAATTATCGCCAGTCGTGTTTCTGAGTTTCACTAAGTAATCTGTACAAGCAAATATATGTTTTTAATTTTGATCTAATCAGAACTATGTAGGCCGGCAGTTGACGTAACCTTCGTATTGATCCAAACAGTGCATTCCTTTTACGTCACAGATTTTATGATTTGCTGAAAAAATTCGCTACAATTAGTTTTAGATGCAAGCACCGCAGTTACCGGTCAGTTAGTTTTTTTGTGAATAATTATTGTATTCTGTAATTGTTGTACTTACTAGGCCTGTAAAAATAGGGAACGCATCCGCAGAGTTTTATGGCCTGTTTCATTCGACATTCGTTGCGGCAAATGTTGTAAGTGTAAATAGGACTTAACTCCAAGTTGCTCTCGTGCTTGTAACGACACCCTCTTTGTTTGGGTGAGAGGGATTGGATTTCAGGTGTGCTGTATATGCTCAAAGCTGTCACGTCCAGTGTCTTGTAGAAGCTTTCCGGCGACGAATATATCCGGTTGGCTATGTCGGGTGCTTCGTGCGGCGAATGTAAGAATCCCTATAAAAAAACTAAAGTTAAGTAAGTCCCAAAATCGACGCGAAACCCTTCTAATTATCTTATCTATCGGTTAATTTATAGGTTAGTATTGGTTTTATTTAAAATTTTGTATGATTACGCTTAGGGCTTGGGGTCGGATGGAGTTTAAGATGAACCACTAATACCAGTAATGGCCAGTAAGTTTGTTTTAAATATGGATGTCTCTTGCGGCTTTTCGAGGATAAAAGTTAAACTTACTTACCATGTAACCAAAGTTCATGGAAGTTATTTGCGTGAAAACGTCTCCATCTAACGGTGTCCCGGACAAAGAACCCGCCGGTGGTAATATACTCCTGTTGTTCTGCATCCAGTAACTATGGATTTCAAAACATGATTATTATTACTTCTGATTTCAGTGTAGATAGGCACTAGTAAACGGTTGGTTTGTCGCTAACTTGAAGTCATTGTATTGTGAGATTTCGCCGTTGTAGGTGTGGCAAAAGCCCAGTTCGGAAATGGTGGGCACCAGGTTGAATAGCGCGTACCCTTCCATGTTACTGTTGGTTATTGTGTACAGCACGTGGATTTGTAGTTTCTCCACAATAGTCAAGTAGTGGTCAGGCGTTATTTTGGTGTAAAACGGAACATTGTCAAACGTTCCGTAAGTGGCGTTTGCCAACATTTCCAGGAACGCTTTCATTTCCTGTTTTTCGTCTTCCGAATAACCTGGAAATCTACCAAGGCCCGTTATTGTTATCCGATCAATAGATACATCATTACATGGATATGTCAAGATATGATAGATCTTACTCTTTCTCGACCATTTCTTCGAATTTTTGTTCGTCCATGTTGTTGATTGGACATAGGGTGACGGCCGGCAAAGCTGTAGACCACTCTTTATAATCCCTTTCCATGGATATGACCGTGGGGTTCTCTTGATAACGAGTCCAAGTCGACGTACCCAGGACCACTGAGCCGTATATACAAAAACATATCGCTATCACCCACAAAAATCTGGAATTCCAAACTCGCTTTAGTGTATAAAATATAAAGATTTCTGTTCACCTAACAACAGTGTTTACCTTTCGATGAAATGTCGTTTTTCAGTGGTCAGGTGATTGAATCCATGAATGTTAGACGATGAAAAAAACAAATTGACAAACTTTGTTGACGTCGTTTTCAGTCTGACCACTGCGCGAGTCCTATCTTTTTTCACGTCCGAATCGTCAAACTTAAAAAGGACATTTTGTATTTTCGGATTTATTTCGTTCCAGTACATTTTCACCAACCTGTCGACGCCAACTTTCGTAAAGTAATAAAGTACAAATCGTTCGCATTCAAACACATGCAAATATTATACAGCAACGGTAATCAGTGTTGAATTATTTATTTGGTCACAGTGAAATCGAATATATTTTCTGCTAATAAAAAATTATTTATCAATATTGTAGCCCAACTTAATGACCACTATCCTGATTGTCATACACGCGAACACATTTGCTATATTTTATGCATAATAAGTATAGAAATTACATAATAAAATATTTATAAACAAAACTAATATTCATATAATGCGTACCAGCTGTGAATTATTTAAAAGTTTAAATCCCAATTTTCAATTTTAAAGTAAATATCCTGCTGAAATAATTCACTAGAAGATTGGCTATTAATAAGCATAGGTATAGGTACATTGTACATGCCATCACTGATAAATTTGCGATAAAATATAAATCATTATTGTGAACTTTCTCCTTGACTGTTTCAAATTGAACATACATTTTTTCGTTGACATAAAACTCTTATTCCCCAGACCCACACAACGTCAATAGCATCATAGATTTCATATACAATTCCAAGCGTATCAACAAAATTTAAAAATATAACTGTTTCTTTCATATAATTACTCATATATAATGCATAAGATTGTTATTTAATTATGTAAAATAATGACAGTCCAATGACCACAGCTGTCGCGGACTATATTTAATAAAAAAAAAAAAACTCTTATTCGTCGAACAATCGTTAGGCCTGTGAATACCATTGCGTAGATGACCATTGATTACGTCACGAAGGGTTTAATAAACAAATTTAAAAGTGATGGCACTAGTAAAAATTATTTTCGGGGGGGGGGGGGGGGAGATGGTCAACCCCTGACGCCAGAGTTTAGCAATGAGTTGTGTCGTTTAAAATATAAAATGAAAAAATTATTCGCTCATAATGAATACAGAATTATAGTCTCATAATAAAAATAGAAATATCCATATTAAGAGGCTATTACACTAGCATTTATTAAGGCACATTTGTAAAGGTAATTTTTCACTAAAACTTAACATTAAGCTAAATTGTTGTTTAAACATATATTATATTACCGTAAAAAAAAAAGATCTACTTTGATATTTAATTTTTTTTCAATTATAACGTATTAAGGTTCTATTTTTGTACAAAAACATATGTTTCTACTTAAAAACGTACTGTTCCTTCGATTTAAGTTTTACAAAAACATTTAAATTCTTCATAGCATTTTTAAGCTATCACTGTGGTACAATTTTAAATTTTTTTTAGTTAATTAATTATTTCAATGTAAAAAAAACAGTTTTTAACTTTTTTAAACTAAATTAATTTATTAACAAAAAAATAATTTTAAAATTATGCCACAGTGATAGCTTAAAAATGTTATAAAGAATTTAAATGTTTTTGCAAAACTTAAATCGAAGTTTTCTTAGGAACAGTACGTTTTAAAGTAGAAACATATGTTTTTGTACAAAAATAGAACCTTAATACGTTATAATTAAAAATAAAAATAAAATATCAAAATAGATTTTTTTTTCTGACGGTAATATAATATAATTAAACAATTTAGCTTAATGTTAATTATAGCTTAATACAATCGATGCTTTGAAAATGTTGTTAAAAAATGTTTTCAAAACTTAAATCGGAGTATTCTTAGGAACAGTACGTTTGAAGTAGAATAAGTTGTTTTCGACCAAAAATACACAGGTGTAAAGGCCCCTTAAAGTAGATTGTATAGACCATTGTTTACTACAATAAATGTGTAAACCTTTATATTTAATATTAACATAGATAAGAGGAATCCATTTTGATATTAAATTTTTGTTCAACTTGTAAACGCATACAAGCCATATTTTTGTATGAATTTTTTTCTTCTTCCAACATACCTAAAATTACACCGATTTAAGTTTTGAAAAACATTTCTATTCTTCATTAAATTTTCAAGGTATTAATCGTGGCACGAATTTAGTTTTAGTTACTTAATAATTTCTGTGTGAAAAATGAAAATTTTTTACGTTGTTTAATTGTGTTAAAATGTACTTCGATTGATACATCAAACAAGTAATCGCAAAAATCTATATCTGTTTTTAAAATTATGATGAGTGTGCCTATGTTATAAGTCTTAACTAGACTCAGGAAAACTTTACAGGATTATTGGTGAAACGATCGAGGTCATACACGATTTTATTAGTGTTTATATGTTTATATGAATTTAAATTTTTACATTATACAATGCATGTTTTTGAGTTTTAAATTTTGAATAATGATTTTTTTTAATTTTAGACTTAGACCCTTTTTACTATCGAATTGATATAACATTATATTATTTATTCTATACTATGTTGTTTGCGAAATTAAATAAATAAAAATATCACGACCTAATGCGTGACCTGACTGGTTATGTCGGTAAAGAGGGATGCGGTCGCCACCCAGCGGTGATGAATGTAGTTAGCATCCGCTGCCGGTCGGGTACGCGATGAGACCGAGTCGACGCAGCACAAAATGTCCTACAAAATTAATGTATAACCCAAAAATGGCCAAAATTTACTTGTGTCCTTTTGCCCAAACACCGTCCAAATGTAGTGTTATTTTCTCCGCTCTCCGGAAAAAAATTGTATCATAGTTATGTTATAACATTTCGGTCCGTTTAAAAACTATGATTTTTTTATGAGGTACAATTATATGTATAATGAAAATTTAAGTAAGATGTTTTTGTATTTTGGCCACAAAAAAAATTAAAAATGTACGCAATCTTAAGATAGATCGCGCCACACACACAAATTATGCTATTTGTAAACTCCTCTATAAGCGTCTTAACCGATGACGTGAACTTGGCCGCTCTCCTGTTCTCCAGCAGGTTGGTCTTAGCCTCCGCTCGGATTAGACTCTTCAGAGCCATCGCTTTGACCGTCATGCCCTTAACAATTACCCTACTAGGTTCTTCTTCTGATTTTGGTTCGCCTTGACTGACTCCATAAACCAGTCGAGTCCGCTCATTATCTTATGATAAGTGTCGGCCCTCGTGGTCCTTGATTTCTTATTAGCTACTCTAAAGTCCATCGAAGAGGAGGAGGAGAAAGAGTTCCGCTCTCCTGCTTCCTCCGCTTTCGCTGTCCTGGATAGACATTTTAACGTTTTTGTATATATTTGAGTAAAATAGTAGTTTTTAGCAACGAACTTGGTTTTCACAAAATGCGTCTTCCACTGGAAAGTTCTTGACCAGCGAAAGCTCTCTCCACCGTCAGTTGATCCCAGATGCTAGCCAAACTCAAAAAACACAAAATTACAATTGAAAACGCGATATATGCGCCAAATTATATATATATATATACATATAGCTATATAGAAAATCTCATACATATATTCGGTAACGTTCAGCGTTCGCACAGATTTTCCGATTGACCCCCAGCCCAATAACGTAATATACATGTTAAAAAAAGTAGATGTGTACATATAGATAGTTCAGGTATACAAATTACTACCGTGTTCACGTACGACGTTTTTCGTGGTTTTGGTAAAATATATTTGATATTGGTATTATTTATCATTTTTTTTAAATATTATTAAAATGATAAAAAAAGTATACAAAAATACATTGTTTCGAAAATTTGGTTACTATATATGACAACTTTAAATATTATGCGAACAAAATAATTTATAGATTTAAATTAATATGGTTAAATGCTGCAACCACACGTCGTTCCGTACTTGTGGTATCAAGTGGTCGATAACATGAATTAACCAATCAGGAAGCAACGTTCAACACGAAATACGCGAACACGGCAACCCGCAACAGTGGAATAGCGCCAGTATAGGCCTAATTCCTAAAACTATAGTTTAACCACAGAATTTATGAAGATGTTTAAATCTATTCTGTGACTTAACCCACTTTAAAAGTAATTAGCCATTGTCTTTATTGTGTTGTATGTCGTTTGTGTTAAGTCATCAATAGTAAACATTAAATAAAACACGAGCACGAAAATGAATAAAATTCAAGAAAGTAATGCATGTAATTTGTATAAATTGTCTTTAGTGGACATTATTATAATGATAAATAGTATAGTATAGTTTTATAATAATAAATTATACACAGGGTTATTCAAATTTAATGTTTCAAATAGTATGAAATTCTATTTTGAAAACGTATAACATTATTTTTGAATGATCATTGAACCTACTTTATCAACTTAGTGTAATACTTTAAATGGAAGTTATCATTCTTGTTTATATCTTACCCTAAGTGTAACAGTAGGTACAATAAATTATGTTATAGTATTTTTTTACATCCTAGTAAAATATGAATAGTTTAGAAATTTATTGTCCTTTAATAGAATGTAACTGTGATATCCCGGATTCCATAATAAAAGTACTTTTAAATAAATTACTTTTATTGTCTATGATCAATTTATTTTCAGTAGGTAATTAACAAAATTTTTCCAATGTGTTACTCATTAAAACAATATTTTTTTTCACACTTTTAATTACTTTTTTATGCTTTTAAATCACATCGACCTTTTTTGAAAATTACTACTGAACCATTTTTACTAGCTATGTTTTCTTTTTTTTATTTATTTATCGATAATATATACGCCCTATCAGTACAGTACAAATAATAATGATAAATTAACAATGTTTTATAAATTAAAGAGTGTATTATATGATAGATTAAATTTAATTAAACTAGATATTTTAACCTGGTTGAGTCATTATAAAAAAAATCAAAGTTGATTAACGAGTTTGCTGTTGTCAGCATTCTATTAATTGGAGCGAAACGACTGTAATTTTGACGAGAGGTTGGGGAGTAAAATGTATGTGATACACGAGTATTAACACGAGGGACTTTGAAAGGAATGAGGCTCAATAATTCAGGACAGTCGATTTTAGAATTTAATAATTTATGGAGCCAAAGTACATCATTCAGTTTTCTATGCTACACTAGGGGCTCAATATCAAATTCCAATGCTAACTGTTCAATAGATAAATTTACTTTATTTGTTTTGTATGCAAGTACCTTCAATAACCTGTTCTGGATACGTTCGATCCTGGACACTAGATTAGCTTGGTGAGGGTTCCAGATAACAGAGCCATATTCTAAGATCGAACGAACCAAAGAAAAATATAAGACTTTTATGCAATTTGAATTTCTAAATTCTGAACAGTTGCGACGTATAAAGCCGAATACCCGCAGTGCCTTATTACATATCATATTTATATGGTTATTAAAAGACAGATCATTTGATAGTAATATGCCCAAGTCTTTTATTTGCGTTACTACCATTAGATCAGAGCTATTAATTTTATAGTTAAATTTTAAGTTTTGTTTTCGTCGTGAAAAAGTTATCTGTGAACATTTTTCAGCATTTACACTAAGGCCATTTAATATGCACCATGAATAAAACTGATTCAAATCATATTGCAATTTATTACAATCATCAATTGAATAAATCGGTAAATATAGTTTTAGGTCATCAGCAAAAATTAGGAATTTACAATTTATAAAGATATTGGTAACGTCGTTAACAAATATTAAAAAAAGTAAAGGCGATAGGTGATCTCCTTGAGGAACACCTGTTGTAACATTAATACTCGCCGAGATAGAATTGCCTAATTTAATATGTTGAGATCTATCACATAAATATGAATTAAACCATTTTAACATTGGTCCAGAAATGCCACTATATTCTAATTTTTTTATCAAAATAGACAGGTCAACACTATCAAAAGCTTTCCTTATATTGGTGTACACTGCATCCACCTGAATACCTTTACTAACTGTTGACACAATGTCCGTATAGTATACTGTATACTAGTAAATTTGTTACGGTTGATTTAGCATAGCGAAAGCCGTGTTGTTTATCAGAGATAATATTAGTAAATACTGATACGAATTTGGTTGCTATAATTTTTTCTAAAATTTTAGGTAGTGCACTCAGACGTGATATAGGGCGATCATTTTTAACAGCATTTCGATTGCCCGTTTTAAATATAGGGTAAACATAGCTAGTCTTCCACTTATCGGGATAACAACCGGAGGATAACGAGAGATTAAATAGGTAATGAATGGGGCAAGATAGCGTATAATGACAGTTACGATAAATTATTTCTGGTATTAAGTCCGGGCCATTTTTATAATCATTAGATAGAGAACGGAGAGTTTCGAATATTTCAGCTACTGTAAATTCACAGGTACTTATATTGATATCAGATTCAAAACCATAAATAGGATTAGTTATTTCAGTACATTTGGTATAGTAGACCGATTCAAAATATAATTTAAACATATTAACTGTCTCATCTAAGCTAGTTGACACAGTGTCTCCGTAAGTAATATTATGCGGAATGGTATTTGATTTCTGTTTGTTTTTGACAAATTTCCAAGTATATTTTGGAATATTAGTTAGAGAAGATTGTATTTTTTCTAAGTGTTTTTCATAGCATAATTTCGATAATAGTTTACATTTTTTTCTTGTCAAAGAGAATTCTGTGTAATGTGTGTTAAGACCGGTTAACTTATAAAGTTTATGGAGTTGTTTCTTTTTTTTTATTAACATGCATAATTCTTTGGTGAACCAGCTAGGAAACTTGTAATTATACTATGTTTTTTTAGGGACAGCTTTTTCAATTGCATCTAGTATTATTTTATAGAAAATATTCAAAGCAATATTTATATCATTTTCTCCATTGACACTAGACCAATCAATATTAGCAAAGGTAATATTCATGTCATTATAATTAGCTTTACTATAGTCCAAGTACGTAATGTTTGAGCAAAGGTAATGCACACTCGGCAGTTAGCACAGGATGATGTTTATCTAGTAATACAATACTATTATCTAAAGGTTGAACATTAATAAGTGGGTTGTTCGAAAAAACTAAATCAAGCTGGGTTCCACGACTATTTAGTACAGTATTCAGTTGATACAGATTTAGAGATGAAAAACAGTCATTGACGATTTGCGAACAAGTAGAGCCATGGCTATTACTTACTAACCCTACTTCATTACTTATAAACCTACTATGAGGAAGATTATAATCACCATATAGTATTAAGTTCGTTTCCAAGGGGAATTTATTTAACAAACATTCTACAGTTTCAGTATGAGTAGTATAATAACTGGGTGGACTTGAAGGCGGAATATAACAAACTCCAATAATACACTTGAAATTAATACCCCACTTGAGTAGCACAAATAATTGTTCTACATTATCGGTTGTTAGATTAATAACATCTGTGTTAAATCGTTTATCTACCAAAATACTTACACCACCTCCTCTCTTAAGTTTACTCGTCTTATCGCTCCGGTCGGTACGAAATACATTGTAACGATCAAAGTCTAATTCTGCATCATTGATATCTACACTCAACCAGGTTTCCGTAAATACAAAATAATCAAAGTTAAATAATGGAATATTACATCTTAAAATATTAAATTTAGTGCGTAAGCCCCTAACGTTTTGGTAATAACCACATAATGCTTTTATCTTATTTACTAGAACCTTATTACAATTATGACATTTATTTTTATTAAATATAAAACTTTATAAAAAAAAAAACCGTCAAAATATGGTGTAGAATATTATTTTCTATATGATTCCAAAATTTTAAAACTTTACAACTACTACAAAGTAGAGACAGGATAAATACAGTTAGTAATATATACGTTAAAATAACAATTTTATTGGTACTTTACTAGATTTTTATAAATAATGGCATAATTGATATCTACTGACAAACGTTTTAGTCAAATATTAACACGCTTATATTAGCTTCACTTGTATGTATGTTTGTATGTAACTATGTAATTTGTTTGTATGTAACTATGTAACTAAAAGAGATAGGCAACCGAACGTACATGCGTGTATTCATTGTTGTTTACCTGAAGTTTTCAAGTAATAGAGACACGTATGCACTAGAATTAAAAAAACACGATTTTAAAGCACATCGAACTAAAAAGTGGAAAATAAATATAGTTTAAAAAAACTAAAAACACGCTTAAATAGTAAAATAAACTAAAAAGTAGAAAATATTTTTTAATATGGAAATCAATTAATAATACTATTTATTTTTTATTAATTGATTTCTATATTGAAAATTATTTTCTACTTTTTAGTTTATTTTACTATTTAAGCGTGTTTTTTAGTTTTTTTAAACTATATTTTTTTTCTATATTTTGCCCCTAAAAAGCCACGACCAGAAATCGATAATGTTCCACCTTGAATTATATTTAAACAATATATTAACTGTATACAATGTTTTTCTTTTAAGTTTAACTATTACAGGATTATTTTGTATTGTAATTGATTTTAGGTTGGAATAATGGTAATATAGACAATTCACCGGGAGTTTTAAATAAAATTGAAAATATTGTTATAGAAATGGTAACAAATTTAATTAATAATAAAACGCTAACTGTAAATTTTGAAAAATATTCACTATGGTAATTATGTAACAGTATATTATAATAAAATTATCCGTTAGAATACTTTTAAGAATTAAAATTATATTTTAGAATATTATATACAAATAATAATAGTTAGATCTACCCAATGGTATTCACAGGCCGAACGATTGTTTGACGAATAAGAGTTTTATGTCAACGAAAAAATGTATGTTCAATTTGAAACGGTCGAGGAGAAAGTTCACAATAATGATTTATATTTTATCGAAAATTTATCAGAATATAACAACGCATAACGCTTGTACGACCAGGTAATGACATGCACATTTTACCTATACCTACCCATATAATAGGGCTGATCAATAATACAAGATGGTAAAATTAACGTAAGACACTCATTTTATCAAAAACATACAATTTCATAGATTATTTTTTTAAACAGTTTTTTATACGCTGTTGTATAATACAGGGTAATTCTTTTATTATGAACCAGTCAATATCTCACTGGGTTTTATTAATAATTAATTTTTTTTTCATATTGTTTTTATTCAATGTGATCTCAATTTTTTACATTTTGTTTTTACCCCCCTCACAACTTAGATTTTTTAATAGCAACTTTTAAAACTTAAATGGTACCGTACATATTTTATTACCTTTTTAAATAGAAAAAAATATATTGCAAATTTTAACTGGTCGATAACCAGTTTCGGATAACTATTTTTGAATTAATAAGCGTTTAAAAGTTAGGATAGGGAAGTGGAGTGTATTATTATTTTTATCTGCGCGCATTTCTCAACTGCATTACATACCTAATGTTTTCAAAGAGAAAAAAACTATAAAATTGTAATTATTTTCCGAGAAAATAAGTGTCTTACGTTAAATTTATCACTCTGTATAACACACGAATTAAATTCAAGTACCATATAATATGTCTAATTGACTGCGATATAAATCGCATTTATACAACGTTGATTTTTGAACCATGTACTACAGGGAATTGTATTATGGAAATACAATTTTATTCCAGAACAATTTGAATGTTCGTAAAGCTCTTATCAACATATGCTGTTTGTTGGGTACTACGTCTTGGAACCTTGGCATCACACTTACTTCTAGTGGTTTAGTTGCTGGCGATTTGATTGTACATTTGTGCGACGGTGAAATTATAGATTGTTCAATAACTCCAGAGGGTAAATAATGTTTATTTAAAAACTGATATTGAATAAATAATCTAATGTCGATTGTTTTCCACAAGAATACAACGATGTGCATAACTTTACTCTGCTTTTCCTCCTTATTTTATAATACTACACGCAATTATTGTGTCATGAAAATCCATTTGCTAAAATACGAGTAATTATTACCATTTTCGCAAAATATTTGTTATTTTATTTTCGTTTATTGTTTTCTATTTTGTTTACTCACTAAGTGAGCATTCCGCTTATTTTTTTTAAATAACCTTTTATTTATATACAGTTAATGTAAATGAAGTTATTCCATATATACTTTAATTATTGTTTTACCTGCTGTAGATTTAACAGGCTAACTAAAGGTTTATTACTACAATTTTTTTAAAAACTTTAAATTTTTAAAGGCGTTCAAATACCTCAAGATATTTTATCAATCCAGCACTTCCAAACAAACGCTAAATATATTTTAATAGTTGAAAAAGACGCGTCATTTCAAAAAATGCTCAATGAAGGTATCATGAAAGTACAAAACAATCATTATCCATGCATAATGATAACTGTAAGTGCCCTATATCCTTATTTATTTTGTAACTCATCTAACTAATATATTAAAGTATTTTCTATTAAAATCCGAATCTAGTAAAATGAACAGCTATTAACAAACAATTATTCCCACTAATTACCATAACTTACGAGGGGCAGTCTTTTCATATACCTATATACTTTCTGTTTCCCACGCAGACAGCAAAATATGAAATTTCTTTTACAAAGATATCGTAAAGCTGTGTTTTTACTAGGTACACATGTTTTATTATTTTTGTTTTCAGGGAAAAGGATTTCCCGACATTAATACAAGGTTATTCGTTAGGCAGCTATATATCAAATCGAATCTACCAATACTAGCTTTAGTTGACGCTAACCCATATGGCATTGAAATCATGTGCACTTATAGATTTGGATCAAAAGTAAGTCCATTGGATGTTTTTTCAGTGCGAGATTTCACATCTTCTTCAGCAATGCTCTCTCTCTCACTGTCGGTTGCGACGCGAAACAAATCTGATGTGCTCTTTCCAAACCATTCCCTTATAGATTATGAAGCCATGATTTTCGTCTTCTGCCAAGTCTCCTTCTTAAGTATTGAATACCTACTATAGCTAGTGTTTACTAGCTCAGCGTCCTTGTTTATTCTCCTAAGAACTTCGTCGTTTGTAATCCGGGCAGTCCTCGGAATCTTGCTTCTATCTTCTTTACAATGGCATCGTTCAGCGTCCAGGATTCCACACCGCAGAGCAGCACAGAGAACACATAGCATCTTATGTGTCTCATTTTTGTTTTAATTTCACATAAAAAACATTACGGCGTTCTATTGTTGCTATTATATTTTTTCAGGAAATGGCACACCAAAATGAAATGTTATCTGTGCCGTGCATAAAATGGTTGGGCGTTCACCCTTCAGATATAGTGTCGTTAAATCTTCCAACTACTCCATTGAGCGTACTAGACCGACTAAAAATCGAATCTCTTTTAAAAAGACCTTACATACGTTCTAATCATCAGATTTTGCAGCAGGTGACTTCAAGTTAAATAATTCAAAAAAAAACATTTTAAACAATAATTTAAGTAGAGTTTAAACTGTGGTTTATAATTTTAATACATGTTACACACCGTTATGATTTCGTATTTCCCGTTTACAGTTTATTAATGCTGTAGGTACTTACTTTGATGGTAAATTTGATCTTATCAAATAAATTTGACATTTTTTTTTCAGTTAAATGAATACTTAAGAATAAAATTACTTATATTTATACAACTACACGTAGCAATAATATTTTAGTACAAATAATTAAACTTACTGAATAAAACAACATGTCCTACTTGGCGAACTCATCATGGTCTTAATTTATAACAATTTTTTTCGTCTTGCCATAATTTCATAACATATTATAACACAATACAAACAACTTATTTGCTTCAGCTTTTAGCCCTGAAGTACCTAAATAAGAAAGCTGAAATCGAGTCCTTAACCACGTTCACGTCAAGTTATCTCACTGGAGTGTATATCAAAGAGAAATTGCTCAGTCATGAATTTTACTGATTATTATAAATTATAATTAGTATAAAATATTTTGTTTTTTAGCCATTATTTTAAAAGAAGTACGTCAATTTTGTTGTTATTTTATTTTTAAATTTATAATTAATTTCACTTAACTACTAATACTAATATTATTTAGTGTATGATCAAAATATATATAAATATCAATAATGTGTTATACCCACTTGTTATTATTTTGTAAAAAAAATGTTTAAGTCGGTTTGACCGTAAGAAGTGATGAGGTTAGGAGGTATAGGAATTAGCGACGTCTGGGCTTATACTCTCATGTAATGAAAATATTTTTTTTAAATATTTCATTCAAGATAACATTTATTTTTTCACAGTAACATGAGATTAAAATATTAAATTACTTTAAATCACCCTGTATATCTAAGGTAATCAGATATATAAATAAAAAACACTTTTCAATATTCAGCACTAATTCCTCTATTATTAAAAAACCGCTTGTTGCCCAATGGTCCAATCAATACCAAATCAGAATAGTTTTTATGTCTACTTAAAGCCTAACGGCTAAAATTATAAAACATTATTTTATTAAAACATTCAAATTATAAGGTGAGTGCCTTTATGATTTAAAATACCTTCTAATTAAAAAAAATAATACAATGGAATGTACTTAACGTTATTGTTAAGGACACTAGGACAGTGCAACATAGAAAAGATTACGGTCTGTGCACCAACATCCGGGTGGTAATATATATATTTTATAAGAACTATTGTAATTGAATCGTTTATTTATGAAACGTAATATCACAATTATGTTGGAAATTACTTTTTTTAATACATATATTCTGTGGCTATAGACGGATCGTTTACCTACTTTTGAAAGTAGTGAAACTCGTATCATAGTTCATTTTATTATGGCTATTCAAAAATATACAGCTAAAGTTCCTATTAATTTATATTAATATTTCTATTGATTTATATATTTTTATAAAAACATATTATGTTTACAAGCTATAATAAAATATATTGGTAAAGTAGTTTTGGCTTACATCACTCAAGAGTTAAGTACCTAACTCATTAATCATTTGTTAATGAAAAAGGTCAAATTGTTCAATTAAAAATTTACTTTTAAATAAAAATTTATTTAATAAATTTGAAAAATTGGTATTCACAAATTAAAATAAGTATATTGCAGAAGAGTTTAAACAAAAAAATTATAATTTATTCAAGTAAAATTGTATGTGAAAAACCAATTATTTTCAATTTACCGAATTTTAACTATTTGGACTAAATCGTTTTCATAAATAACCGATTTAATTATTGTAATAGGGTTTTTCGGGTTTTTCTCGGGACCACACTATATGAAATAAAAGAAAAAGTGTCTATACCCCTTCTGGAGAAAAATGTCAGGATATATTTTTTTCCTTAATCCTATCTCCTTAATACCGGTTGTATTGCATCTAAAAAATATTTCACACAAGTTTCAAAGTAAAGTCAGTAGGTCTAAATAAAAAAAAACGAAGATAACTTCTTAAAATTAAAGGATATTATGCATGTAACCCTTTTACATTTCTAGGGAATCGTAGCTTCCTCATTGACGAATCAAAATAATAATACTTATGAAAACACAACATTGTAACTGTTAGGGGTGATTAACTTACATAAGACATTCATTTTCTCGAGAAAAAATTAAAATTGTAGGTAGTTTTACTTTTTAAAAACATTTATTTTATCAAATTTTCAAATACTATAAAATTAAAAAACTTGGTCTGTGTGGAGCTGTATATGATTCACAAAGTATCTGCGAGTCTTTCTGATATTTATCATTTAAAAAATATATATTTGCAATTAAGCACACATAATAAAGATATTTATTTTTTGTTTATTAAGTTTTACAACATTTAATTGGATCACACAATCAATATTTAAATGTAATTAGAATAAATACATTTTAAGGTAATTTCTTAACATTCTGTTATTAAATAATTTGGATTCTAATGAATAAACTTGTAAAAATATTAATTATTACTTAAAAAATGTATTATAGGTACTCCAAATATTCTTAACTCATATGTACAGTTTAATTTAATATATACAACATTTTATTACTATAGTAAAAATATAAACATTAGTTTAATTAACATAAAAATTAAAGTATACTTTGTTTTGTCAAATATAAAAATAATAATTTAAGGATTGAATACTTTAAATAAAACTTGATCAAATAAATTCATTATAATTGATTGCACGTAAATCTAGTAACTGTAGAATATCCATCCACAAATTTTGTTCTGAATAAAACATTAGCGTTATTAAACATACCATCTTTAAGCGACACAACTATAAATTGGGACTGTTTAAAGTGTTGCTTTAACATTTTGCCAATATTTTGTGTATGTGAAAGATCCAATGCAGCATCTACTTCATCCAAAATATACAACGGCACCGGATTAAATAACAGCATTGCTAGCAATAATGACAGCGCGACTAATGATCGTTGACCTCCACTAAGTTCATCCAAACTATCTTTCCACAATCCATTAAACGCTATACGAATTTCTAAACCAGCTGTTATGTCATTTGGGTTTACTTGCTTTAAACAAGCTTGAGCACCTGGCAATACAGTACTAAATATTTTACCAAACTCTAAATTTACACGTTTAGAGGCACGTTCTAAAGTTTGTCGTTTTTTAACTTCAAGTTCTTCAATTACTTCGTTTATTTTATTTTTGTCCTTGGTAATTAAGTCAAGTTTAGCGAGCAACCTATTGTATTCTTGAATATGTTTGTGAAGATTATTTAATTTAACAGGATCAACAACTTTTGATAGTTGATCGAATTTTTCTTGAAGTTCGTCAACCAACTGCTTACATTCATCTATAAACAAATTTATAAAAATAATTATTTAAAGATACTTATATTTTAAATAAAAATTATGTATTCAGGGTAAGTTTTCAAAACAAAAATAATTGTATAATATTTATATTGTCTGCCTCTCCCCAACATGCTTTTGCTTTCTTTGAGAGGGGGGTGGGGGGTTGTGTTAAGATTCTCAAGTGTGGGGCCTGTTTACATAAGTTTGGACAATGGTCGTAGCATTTAAAGAAATAGCTTTTAGCTTTGATCTGCATATGAGAATGTATTGTTTTTACAATCAGAAATCGTACTAGTAAAGTACTTTATTGGACCAAAAATTGCATCCCTACAACTTCAAAATTGAGAAAAACACTAAAAACTGTACATATTTTTCTACTTTAAATCACGGTGCTAGATAACTTGTTTAAAAATAGTCGAATTAGTTCCAAATTTGAGAATAGTAAGAATAAAGAATATTTTTAAGGCATAGTAGTGCTACCGATAAACGTTGACAAACCAAAAAGATATCATAAACCCTTTTTCCTAGATGGGGTGGAAACTCGTATTTCTCTATGGTTATACAGTAATCCAACATATAATTATGTTTAAATTTATTCAACTATAATATTACAAATTTCGAATAATAAAAAACATATTTATTTCTTAGGTAAAATAAATTGATTGATATCAGTGGCTAGGGACGGCAATTCAAAAGAGCAAATATCACACTTATTTTGTAGAAGGGTTGTAAAGAAACTCATAACTAAAGAGGAAAATAAGGCTGAAGCAGTGGGTCAAAAACGTTTTGTTCGATTAAACAGAACACTACACCACGACAGGGATTAAAACAATTTTACTTAGTAAGATCTTTATAGGATACTACACATATTTTTTTACTGAAAATAATTTTAACCAATCCATTTTACGTTTAAAAATATGAAATCTTACCTGAATTAAAATTTGTATAATCCATTCGTTTGGCAATTAATTTTTGACTATCAGGCATTTTTTTTTCAAGAAATTCAAACTTTTCTTTGAACTCATCTAAAACTTGCAACGTTTTTTTCTTTTCTCTTTCTAATTCCAACAACTGAATTTTGTAATTTTCGACATCGGCAATTAATTGCTTATGCTTATTATTTGCCTGCTCAATTTGATTTGATTTGTGTAGCACTATACATTTTTCAGCTTCGTATTTTTCATACGCTTCTTTGTAGTTGTTTTCGGTTCTTTCTAAATCTGTCATAAAACACTTAAGGTCCTTTTCAAAATTGTCTTTTTCATTATTTAATTCAGACAACTGATTTTCATCTTCTTGCAGTTGACACATTAAATCTTTTATTTCAAGCTCCAATTTATTATAATTATTTTTCTTTTCATCATACTCAGCTTTGGCATTTTTTATGTTTGTCAAAATGCTATTCCGAGTTTTTTCAGCATCACTGAGCTGTTGTTTTAAAATATTTTGTGAATTTTTCATTTTAATTTCTAAATCTTTAATTTTAGCTTGCAATTGTTTTTCGTTTGTTTTGCTTTCGGCAAGTTTTTCTTCGAGTTTTGCTATTTGCTGTTTTACGTCATGTAATTCAGTAACTTGCTGATGAGGCTGTCCTAAGTGTACATCTGATTTAATTTTTTCTAATTCTTCTTGGACTGTGATTTGCCTGTCGCTCACATCTGCAACTTGAGCTGGTAAATTAGCTATTTTAGTTAGTCTATTGCCCACTTGTTCAAGCTCAGACTTCTTAGTTTGAAGCTTTAATGCAATTTCATCATGAGTAGCTAATAATTGTAACACAAGCTTTTGAGTATTTGCTCCTCCAGTAAGACTACCAGAAGGATTGAAATGATCACCCTCAATAGTAAAACAATGTTTATTTACTCGACTATCAAAACATACTTTTTCAGCGATTTCTTTCGAAGTACAAATGAATGCTTGACCAAATACCCACTGAATGGCATTTAAATGTCTTTTATCATACTTAATAAGAGACATCGCAGGAAAAACATTATCAGCTCCTCCTATTTGTTGAGCAATACGAATAACATTAGTTGGTAAACTATCAGACTTAATTTTGCTTAAAGGTATAAAATTCATACGATTAGAAAACCTATTAGTTTCTAAAATATCTTTACCGACGTTATCATCTTCCACTACAATGAAATATAATTTGCCTCCT